TAAGAACTACCCCTTGATACAAGGGTGGCAGGGTTTAAGAACTACCCCTTGATACAAGGGTGGCAGGGTTTAAGAACTACCCCTTGATACAAGGGTGACAGGGTTTACCCCTTGATACAAGGGTGACAGGGTTTACCCCTTGATACAAGAGTGACAGGGTTTACCCCTTGATACAAGGGTGTCAGGGTTTAAGAACTACCCCTTGATACAAGGGTGTCAGGGTTTAAGAACTACCTCTTGATACAAGGGTGTCAGGGTTTACCCCTTGATACAAGTGTGTCAGGGTTTAAGAACTACCCCTTGATACAAGGGTGGCTGGGTTTAAGAACTACCCCTTGATACAAGGGTGACAGGGTTTAAGAACTACCCCTTGATACAAGGGTGACAGGGTTTAAGACCTACCCCTTGATACAAGGGTGGCAGGGTTTAAGAACTACCCCTTGATACAAGGGTGACAGGGTTTAAGAACTACCCCTTGATACAAGGGTGACAGGGTTTAAGAACTACCTCTTGATACAAGGGTGACAGGGTTTAAGAACTACCCCTTGATACAAGGGTGACAGGGTTTAAGAACTACCCCTTGATACAAGGGTGACAGGGTTTAAGAACTACCCCTTGATACAAGGGTGACAGGGTTTAAGAACTACCCCTTGATACAAGGGTGGCAGGGTTTAAGAACTACCCCTTGATACAAGGGTGACATGGTTTAAGAACTACCCCTTGATACAAGGGTGGCAGGGTTTAAGAACTACCCTTAATACAAGGGTGACAGGGTTTAAGAACTACCCCTTGATACAAGGGTGGCAGGGTTTAAGAACTACCCCTTGATACAAGGGTGACAGGGTTTACCCCTTGATACAAGGGTGACAGGGTTTACCCCTTGATACAAGGGTGTCAGGGTTTAAGAACTACCCCTTGATACAAGGGTGTCAGGGTTTAAGAACTACCTCTTGATACAAGGGTGTCAGGGTTTACCCCTTGATACAAGTGTGTCAGGGTTTAAGAACTACCCCTTGATACAAGGGTGGCAGGGTTTAAGAACTACCCCTTGATACAAGGGTGGCAGGGTTTAAGAACTACCCCTTGATACAAGGGTGAGCTGACAGAAGGACTAAATCTTACGGTCGCTGATTTGACTTTGTCCAATGCAAACACGTCTTGTTTCTAATCACTTGCGTCTATCCTCATACAATGGAATGGTATTTATTGAACGAGAAACACGTCGATTACTTCCCATGTGTCGCACTGTATTTATTGAACTACAAACCTAACCCTAACCCTTTGTGCCTAAAATCTCCAAAAAAAAAACAAAAAAAAAACAACTCACCTGACTTGTATCTGTCCTTACTTGTGTAGAAACATAGTTATCCCACTTGATTTTTGATTCGAGATTTATTTCATCGTGAAACTTGAAGAAACATTTGTTTAATAATATATCACACGCACGTGAAATGTTTGTGTTGAGTTGTTTTATTGGAGTCGTGTACATCAAGCTGCAACAGGTGTTCTGTTAAGTGTACAACCCACCTGTGCTGTGGAACATCCCTAATCCTAATCCTAATCCTTGTCGTGTGCTCGGCTCATCCGACACGACAACAGTTATGACGTAGTTATGACGTATCCCGTCCTGCTCTACACCAGTCACTCAACTGTCGAGTCACATTTCTCCCCAGTCACATTTCTCCCCAGTCACATTTCTCCCCCGTCAAGTTGCTGTGTTGCTTGACACAAAAGTGCCGAGACGTTGCGACACTCCTGTCAGATGGTACGGTTTCACTTTGATGTGGAGGGTAGGGCGACCAGGGGAGGGGGGTGAATTGAATAGATAACACAGCACACACACGAAAAACGAGTTACGGGTCTTAGACTGGATCACTCTAGCGGAACTTTGTGCCATGTATAAGCCCTGTGTGTTATGACACACATCCACGTATACGTTATGCATGAGTTATTTTCTCCTGGCCTGTTGGAGTTGGCTCCCTTAGCTTTGAACAGTGCGACGACTTGAAAGTAAACAGGTTTCAGGTTTACTTAGTTCCAGCATGTTGACTTAATATCAGGGAAATGTTGTCAATTTTATTTCGACTTTAATCATAACCATTCAGAAATAGAATTGACCCACCATAAATTAATTATTACCGGGATACCAGTAGAGATAATCAACGGGGTGGGGGTATGCTAATATCCCCCCTACCCCCAAACGGACGTATCCCAAATTATTATTATATACATTAACCAAACAGTTATTTTATAAGAGCAACAACTATTTTATATTGTTTGAATAGGGTGAATGATTTCGCATAAACAAATGTTGGCTTAAAATGGTCTGAATAAAAATGTTATGTCTAGCGCTTCAAGAGACGGATAATGGATGGATCTTGTATTTCAGAAGTGGGTCATACGGCATCCCATCATTCACATCCCATACATTTTTCATAAGCTGCCCTTTGAAGAAAGACACAGAAACTGTAAAGGGGAGCAACCTAGTATAATTTATAAATTGATTTCAATTCCATAGTTCTTTCCCTTAGTTTAAGCACTTCGATCAATAAACTGAAAGCCGCTATAAAATAAAGCAATGCGACTATAACTGAATTTTTCTCGTTAAGTGGTACACGTAAAACAACTTCAACGTAAAACAACTGTGCACAACATGGAAATAAACACATGTTTACACACATATAGTATTGTATTATGTGTTATAGTTAATATTGGATCTAAAGGCTTAAGTGTGGCCTACAAACGGCTTCATATTACTGGGGTGACGGGGGGGGGGGGGGGGGGGGGTTGGCTCGCTTAGGGCAATTTAGGCGATGTGTATGGAGGGAGGGGCTCAGAATCTGTGACATTACTCTAAACATTAAAAAAAAATATGTGAGAAACTAAATACCACGGTCTTTTTTTTAGCTTTTCTTTATTAAAATAGTGTAATAAAATTAATTTATGTTTAAATGTTTTGTTATTGAAACCAAGTAGGCTTAGGATTAGCTTACAAGATAATCTTTAATTTGAGTAACAATTCAATTAATTCATCTTTAAATCTTTTCAAGATAATCTTTAATTTGCGTAACCATTCAATTAAATCATCTTTAAATCTTTTGTAAGAAAATGAAATCTTTAAAAAATAAGGAAAAAATAGAAAGATAAGTAACATCGTGAGTAAAATGTTTGTCATACAAATAGGACATGTCGTACAAATAGGACATGTCCTACAAATAAGACATATCATACAAATAAGACATGTCATACAAATATGACATGTCCTATTTGTATGACATGTCATACAAATATGACATGTCATACAAAACGACTACACAGGGGCGTCGCGATTTCGGGTGTCAGCCTGTGCCGTCCGCACCCCCCCCCCACCCGGCCTCGTGACGCCTCTGTATCTACATTAAATTGTCATTGTACAAAACTAGACATCTTATGTGATGGTTGTAATGTGACTGATAACTTCAGTCATGCTTTTAAGTCATATAGCACGTGACTTGCGTTTGACCAATCAAAGAGAGATGCATCGAATGGGTTGTCAAAATAGAGAATGCATAGTAGTCACAATAATAGAACAATAAATGTAATCAATTTTAATTGCTGACCGCATTTCACTGATTTACAAAGTACTCATATTATATTGATACTGACATTTTTTTTTGCTACATGTGAAAACAAGAGTCGTTTTTATTTGCTTGCAAAAAAAAAAAATCTTCCAACATAAAATTTAACAGTTGCATATTTTATTTTTACAAAATATATAAAAGTATGTATTTTTATATCAAATGTTTTACAATCTAAAATTAATGATGCTCCTATTACCATTGCTTTGAGCTTCAAAAATTCATTTCACTTGTGAAAATTCTTGAATTACTGACTTACAGTAGGCCCCTACTTGATGTCATACAAATAATAGATCACATGCCTAAACCAAACCTAAACATAATCCAATAAGTTGTGCTATACATTTTAGAGAATTTGTATTAAAGATTCTGGTATTTTTCCAACAGGAAATTTTGTAGATCAGCCCTAACATGAAGAAATTTATGCCACAAGGTGAGCCCAAGTCGTGTACAGGACAGCTAACCCTAACCCTAACCCTATGCCACAAGGTGAGCCCAAGTCGTGTACAGGACAGCTAACCCTAACCCTAACCCTATGCCACAAGGTGAGCCCAAGTCGTGTACAGGACAGCTAACCCTAACCCTATGCCACAAGGTGAGCCCAAGTCGTGTACAGGACAGCTAACCCTAACCCTAACCCTATGCCACAAGGTGAGCCCAAGTCGTGTACAGGACAGCTAACCCTAACCCTAACCCTATGCCACAAGGTGAGCCCAAGTCGTGTACAGGACAGCTAACCCTAACCCTATGCCACAAGGTGAGCCCAAGTCGTGTACAGGACAGCTAACCCTAACCCTAACCCTATGCCACAAGGTGAGCCCAAGTCGTGTACAGGACAGCTACGAGGGCGGTGAAACAAGGGCAGGTAACTTTTGGCCCTGAAGATAAGGCCAGGAGTTTGCTGATCTTGTCTGCTGTTCCGTTGTTAGGTAAGGGCGGGATCCCAATGATGGAACACATGATGGTGTAGATGTCAACAGCATTGATGTAGTCTACGGTAGATGTGGGTTTAAAACCTGTCGCATAAATATTGATATATTGGAAATCTGATTAGTATATAAAATGTTTTTTTTAACAAGGTCATTGTGATGTCTAAATAATTTAAACAATGGTAGATTTCGCAAAGATAAATAGACTACAGAAATCGTGGAAGTTAAAAAAATATTACTTTGCCAGATTTAAAATTTAAAAAATGTTACTTGGCCCAACAGCGTAAAAGATGCCTCTCATGTCAACTTCGATGTTGTCGTATCCATGACTACCGAGAAATGTGGAGTTGTTTTTCCTGGGATAGGCTCGGAGTGGCTAAAAGCGGAAATAACATTGTATTAGCTGTTTGACTTGTAGGCATTAATAACATTGTATTAGCTGTTTGACTTGTAGGCATTAATAACATTGTATTAGCTGTTTGACTTGTAGGCATTAATAACATTGTATTAGCTGTTTGACTTGTAGGCATTAATAACATTGTATTAGCTGTTTGACTTGTAGGCATTAATAACATTGTATTAGCTGTTTGACTTGTAGGCATTAATAACATTGTATTAGCTGTTTGACTTGTAGGCATTAATAACATTGTATTAGCTGTTTGACTTGTAGGCATTAATAACATTGTATTAGCTGTTTGACTTGTAGGCATTGGGTTAGGGTTAGGGAATAACATTGTATTAGCTGTTTGACTTGCATGCATTGGGTTAGGGTTAGGGAATAACATAGTATAAGCTATTTGACTTGTAGGCATTGGGTTAGGGTTAGGGAATAACATTGTATAAGCTGTTTGACTTGTAGGCATTGGGTTAGGGTTAGGGAATAACATTGTATTAACTGTTTGACTTGTAGGTATTGGGTTAGGGTTAGGGAATAACATTGTATTAGCTGTTTGACTTGCATGCATTGGGTTAGGGTTAGGGAATAACATAGTATAAGCTATTTGACTTGTAGGCATTGGGTTAGGGTTAGGGAATAACATTGTATTAGCTGTTTGACTTGCATGCATTGGGTTAGGTTTAGGGAATAACATAGTATAAGCTATTTGACTTGTAGGCATTGGGTTAGGGTTAGGGAATAACATTGTATTAGCTGTTTGACTTGCATGCATTGGGTTAGGGTTAGGGAATAACATAGTATAAGCTGTTTGACTTGCAAGCATTGGGTTAGGGTTAGGGAATAACATTGTATTAGCTGTTTCATTTGCAGGTATTGGGTTAGGGTTAGGGAATAACATTGTATTAGCTGTTTGACTTGTAGGCATTGGGTTAGGGTTAGGGAATAACATTGTATTAGCTGTTTGACTTGTAGGCATTGGGTTAGGGTTAGGGAATAACATTGTATTAGCTGTTTCATTTCCAGGTATTGGGTTAGGGTTAGGGAATAACATTGTATTAGCTGTTTGACTTGTAGGCATTGGGTTAGGGTTAGGGAATAACATTGTATTAGCTGTTTGACTTGTAGGCATTGGGTTAGGGTTAGGGAATAACATAGTATAAGCTATTTGACTTGTAGGCATTGGGTTAGGGTTAGGGAATAACATTTTATAAGCTGTTTGACTTGTAGGCATTGGGTTAGGGTTAGGGAATAACATTGTATAAGCTATTTGACTTGTAGGCATTGGGTTAGGGTTAGGGAATAACATTGTATAAGCTATTTGACTTGTAGGCATTGGGTTAGGGTTAGGGAATAACATTGTATTAGCTGTTTGACTTGTAGGCATTGGGTTAGGGTTAGGGAATAACATTGTATTAGCTGTTTGACTTGTAGGCATTGGGTTAGGGTTAGGGAATAACATTGTATTAGCTGTTTGACTTGTAGGCTTTGGGTTAGGGTTAGGGAATAACTTTGTATTAACTGTTTGACTTGTAGGCATTGGGTTAGGGAATAACATTGTATAAGCTATTTGACTTGTAGGCATTGGGTTAGGGTTAGGGAATAACATTGTATTAGCTGTTTGACTTGTAGGCATTGGGTTAGGGTTAGGGAATAACATTGTATTAGCTGTTTGACTTGTAGGCATTGGGTTAGGGTTAGGGAATAACATAGTTTAAGCTATTTGACTTGTAGGCATTGGGTTAGGGTTAGGGAATAACATTTTATAAGCTGTTTGACTTGTAGGCATTGGGTTAGGGTTAGGGAATAACATTGTATTAGCTATTTGACTTGTAGGCATTGGGTTAGGGTTAGGGAATAACATTGTATTAGCTGTTTGACTTGTAGGCATTGGGTTAGGGTTAGGGAATAACATTGTATTAGCTGTTTGACTTGTAGGCTTTGGGTTAGGGTTAGGGAATAACATTGTATTAGCTGTTTGACTTGCAAGCATTGGGTTAGGGTTAGGGAATAACATTGTATAAGCTATTTGACTTGTAGGTATTGGGTTAGGGTTAGGGAATAACATTGTATAAGCTGTTTCATTTGTAGGCATTGGGTTAGGGTTAGGGAATAACATAGTATAAACTGTTTGACTTCACCTGTAGGTATTGGGTTAGGGTTAGGGAATAACATTGTATAAGCTGTTTCATTTGTAGGCATTGGGTTAGGGTTAGGGAATAACATAGTATAAGCTATTTGACTTGTAGGCATTGGGTTAGGGTTAGGGAATAACATAGTATAAGCTGTTTGACTTGTAGGCATTGGGTTAGGGTTAGGGAATAACATTGTATTAGCTGTTTGACTTGTAGGCATTGGGTTAGGGTCAGGGAATAACATTGTATAAGCTGTTTGACTTGTAGGCATTGGGTTAGGGTTAGGGAATAACATTGTATTAACTGTTTGACTTGTAGGTATTGGGTTAGGGTTAGGGAATAACATTGTATAAGCTGTTTGACTTGTAGGCATTGGGTTAGGGTTAGGGAATAACATTGTATAAGCTGTTTCATTTGTAGGCATTGGGTTAGGGTTAGGGAATAACATTGTATTAGCTGTTTGACTTGCAAGCATTGGGTTAGGGTTAGGGAATAACATTGTATAAGCTATTTGACTTGTAGGCATTGGGTTAGGGTTAGGGAATAACATAGTATAAGCTGTTTGACTTGTAGGCATTGGGTTAGGGTTAGGGAATAACATTGTATTAACTGTTTCATTTGTAGGCATTGGGTTAGGGTTAGGGAATAACATAGTATAAGCTATTTGACTTGTAGGCATTGGGTTAGGGTTAGGGAATAACATAGTATAAGCTGTTTGACTTGTAGGCATTGGGTTAGGGTTAGGGAATAACATTGTATTAGCTGTTTGACTTGTAGGCATTGGGTTAGGGTCAGGGAATAACATTGTATAAGCTGTTTGACTTGTAGGCATTGGGTTAGGGTTAGGGAATAACATTGTATTAACTGTTTGACTTGTAGGTATTGGGTTAGGGTTAGGGAATAACATTGTATAAGCTGTTTGACTTGTAGGCATTGGGTTAGGGTTAGGGAATAACATTGTATAAGCTGTTTGACTTGTAGGCATTGGGTTAGGGTTAGGGAATAACATTGTATTAACTGTTTGACTTGCATGCATTAATAACATTGTATTAACTGTTTGACTTGTAGGTATTGGGTTAGGGTTAGGGAATAACATTGTATTAGCTGTTTGACTTGTAGGCATTGGGTTAGGGTTAGGGAATAACATTGTATTAGCTGTTTGACTTGTAGGCATTGGGTTAGGGTTAGGGAATAACATTGTATTAGCTGTTTGACTTGTAGTCATTGGGTTACTACTTGAATTGTAGGTATACTACTATTATCAGTAGTACTACTACATAAAATTCTTTCGGGAAACTAAACATTGCATCAGTGACAATTGAAAAAAAAATATTGAGGTTTTTTAAGTTTTAACTAGATTGTAACTATTTTATTAGGCCTTATGAAGTAGTTTTTTTTAAGTTTTAGAATACAAATCAAAATGTAGTTTTTCAAGTAATGCTAAACTATTCAATCAATTCAAGATCTGCTGCGATAGCATAAACAATTTATTATATCAATAACGACAACTCTGATGACCCCTAATCTTTGTACAACTAACATGGATTATGGTCCATCCAACGTCTGCAACACAAGTGATGTCAGCCACGTATTTGCCGTTCTTGTAATGGAACCGCTCAGGTATGTCCGACCGTTGAAACACCTTCATCTGGGGACTCAGGTTGGCGAGAAGGGAATACACCTAAACACACACACACATCAAGGTTGGTGAGCAGGGAATACACCTAAACACACACACACACATCAAGGTTGGCCAGCAAGGAATACACCTAAACACACACACACACATCAAGGTTGGCCAGCAAGGAATACACCTAAACACACACACACACACACACACACCTCAGGTTGGCCAGCAGTGAATACACCTAAACACACACACACACATCAGGTTGGTGAGCAGGGTATACACCTAAACACACACACACACATCAGGTTGGCCAGCAGGGAATACACCTAAACACACACACACACATCAGGTTGGTGAGCAGGGTATACACCTAAACACACACACACACATCAGGTTGGCCAGCAAGGAATACACCTAAACACACACACACACACATCAGGTTGGCAAGCAGGGAATACACCTAAACACACACACACACATCAGGTTGGCCAGCAAGGAATACAGCTAAACACACACACACACACATCAGGTTGGCCAGCAGGGAATACACCTAAACACACACACACATCAAGTTGGCCAGCAAGGAATACACCTAAACACACACACACACACATCAGGTTGGCCAGCAGGGAATACACCTAAACACACACACACACATCAGGTTGGCAAGCAGGGAATACACCTAAACACACACATACACATCAGGTTGGCCAGCAAGGAATACACCTAAACACACACACACACACATCAAGGTGGTGAGCAGGGAATACACCTAAACACACACACATCAGGTTGGCCAGCAGGGTATACACCTAAGCACACACACATCAGGTTGGCCAGCAGGGAATACACCTAAACACACACACACATCAGGTTGGCCAGCAGGGAATACACCTAAACACACACACACACACACATCAGGTTGGCCAGCAGGGAATACACCTAAACACACACACACATCAGGTTGGCCAGCAGGGAATACACCTAAACACACACACACACATCAGGTTGGTGAGCAGGGTATACACCTAAACACACACACATCAGGTTGGTGAGCAGGGAATACATCTAAACACACACACACATCAAGGTTGGCCATCAAGGAATACACCTTAACACACACACACACACACATCAGGTTGGCCAGCAGGGAATACACCTAAATTCTGGAAATGTCAAAAAAATTTCAATAGAAAAATAATGCACTAGGTCTAAGGCAACTCCTAGGCTTGCTAGTCGCTGATGCAGAACTTCACGTTTATAAACCGATTAAGTCACACTTGTTTGATCCCCAGTAAATGCCCCCTACCCCAAAACTCACCTAATTCGTAACGTTAACAGTACACATTACTTTTGTCACTTTTAGAAAATTAGAACATTCTCGCACTTTGACCCCTCACCTAAACGTGTATTACATGTGACATGCACATGTGACCTACTTTATCCCGTGCCCCTGTGTCGGGTGTGTAGATGCTGACCACCGCCCCAACGTCTCGTATGGTCACATACAGCCCAGGGTCGCTGGTCAAGGCAGGGGTCAGGTCAATGGTTCTAGAGGTGTCCACGGGGGTCATGCCGTGGTCAGAGATCAGGATCAAGTTCACCTGGAGGGTCAAGGTGAGATGGATTGACGACAAGGTCAAGGTGAGATGGATTGACGACAAGGTCAAGGTGAGATGAATTGGCGACAAGGTCAAGGTGAGATGGATTGGCGACAAGGTCAAGGTGAGATAGAATGGCGACAAGGTCAAGGTGAGATAGAATGGCGACAAGGTCAAGGTGAGATGGATTGGCGACAAGGTCAAGGTGAGATAGAATGGCGACAAGGTCAATGAAAATGTTTACCTTCTGGCTGACGATCTGGTCAAGAAAACTTGACAACACCGCGTCAAGGTCACGTAGAGTTTGACCTAGTTCAGGTGAATCTGGGCCGTACTGGTGACCCACCGCGTCCGACTTCTCATAGTACACGGCTGTGGGTGAGATCTATGGGTTTAGCCGTACCAACAGCCACAAGATTCGAAAGAAAATAATGTCACACAATATGCAGCAAAAACCCACCTCCACCCAATATAAGTAACAGCCCCTCCACACCCACCAACGACACCCCCCCCTCCACACCAACCAAAATCATAACGACCCCCTCCCCCAACACACACACACGCACATCAAAACAAAACAACCAAAGTACCAACGGACATTCATCGACTCGAATCTTATCAACAGTTAACCGATTCTAAATCTAACCACGACAAAACGGATGGCTAACACCTGACTCTCTGGAACAAACAGGTAGCCTGCAGACAGACAGATAGCCTGCAGACAGACAGGTAACCTTCAGACAGACAGGTAGCCTTCAGACAGACAGGTAGCCTGCAGACAGACAGGTAACCTGCAGACAGACAGGTAGCCTTCAGACAGACAGGTAGCCTTCAGACAGACAGGTAGCCTGCAGACAGACAGGTAACCTGCAGACAGACAGGTAGCCTGCAGACAGACAGGTAGCCTGCAGACAGACAGGTAGCCTTCAGACAGACAGGTAGCCTTCAGACAGACAGGTAACCTGCAGACAGACAGGTAGCCTGCAGACAGACAGGTAGCCTGCAGACAGACAGGTAACCTGCAGACAGACAGGTAGCCTGCAGACAGACAGGTAGCCTGGAACCAATGACAGATCTCTAGTGGATGAGGCAACACATGCCAAGGAAACACGGAGGGCAGGAGGGCAGGAGGGCAGAAGGGCATCAAACGTTGTCTAAATTGTGACAAACGTCTAAATTGGAACAAACGTTGTCTAAATTGTCTAGACGTTGCAATCTATACCCATCTGAGTAGCAAAGTATTTGGGAGAGAGGGGGGGGGGCGCACTAATATATGAAGCAGCGCAAAAAGAAATCCTGCAAATCGACCGTTACACATGCAAGTATTTATCTCAAAGACGTTTGTGTGATGTAAGTTTTCTTTTCTGCTGCAAGAATAATGTAACAAAACCACATGCATGCCTGACGTTGACAAAACCACATGCATGCCTGAGGTTAACAAAACCACATGCATGCCTGATGTTAACAAAACCACATGCATGTCTGACGTTAACAAAACCAAATTCATCTTCAGACTTGACACAGTTTAAGTACAACTCATTACCATCCGATTAGTCTCGACAAGAGCATGCATAAATAATTAAACAAATCTACGTTTTGCTTCAGTCGTTTAAAAATTAATTAACTTATCATTTTTATGACATTACAAAACAATGACTGACATGTGGACAACAACAACCACTGACATAAGTACAACAGCCACTGAAATAAGGAAAACAACAAACACTGACATAAGAGCTTATGTTACCTGTGAAGTTAGTGCTCCCATTATGTTACCTGTGATGTTAGTGCTTCCATTATGTTACCTGTGAAGTTAGTGCTCCCAGTATGTTACCTGTGAAGTTAGTGCTCCCATTATGTTACCTGTGAAGTTAGTGCTCCCATTTATAAGCAAGAGCCTATGTTACCTGTGAAGTTAGTGCTTCCATTATGTTACCTGTGAAGTTAGTGCTCCCATTATGTTACCTGTGAAGTTAGTGCTCACATTATGTTACCTGTGAAGTTAGTGCTCCCATTATGTTACCTGTGAAGTTAGTGCTCCCATTAGTCAGCAAGAGCCTATGTTACCTGTGAAGTTAGTGCTCCCATTAGTCAGCAAGAGCCTATGTTACCTGTGAAGTTAGTGCTCCCATTAGTCAGCAAGAGCCTATGTTACCTGTGAAGTTAGTGCTCCCATTATGTTACCTGTGAAGTTAGTGCTCCCATTATGTTACCTGTGAAGTTAGTGCTCCCATTATGTTACCTGTGAAGTTAGTGCTCCCATTATGTTACCTGTGAAGTTAGTGCTTCCATTATGTTACCTGTGAAGTTAGTGCTCCCATTATGTTACCTGTGAAGTTAGTGCTCACATTATGTTACCTGTGAAGTTAGTGCTCCCATTATGTTACCTGTGAAGTTAGTGCTCCCATTAGTCAGCAAGAGCCTATGTTACCTGTGAAGTTAGTGCTCCCATTAGTCAGCAAGAGCCTATGTTACCTGTGAAGTTAGTGCTCCCATTAGTCAGCAAGAGCCTATGTTACCTGTGAAGTTAGTGCTCCCATTATGTTACCTGTGAAGTTAGTGCTCCCATTATGTTACCTGTGAAGTTAGTGCTCCCATTCGTCAGCAACTGGATACTGTCACCCATGTCTAATCTGAACTCCTCCAGAGTGGGGACGCCCCTGTACTCCCTACAGTAGGTTGGTGTGACGCCCCTGATGGTCACCTCACAGCCTGGCCAGCGGAACATGTAGCAGGTTTTGTTCTGTTGAAAACATGTCGCTGTGTTAGAACTTGTTGCAAACATGTTGCTGTGTTAGAACTTGTTGCAAACATGTCGCTGTGTTAGAACTTGTTGCAAACATGTCGCTGTGTTAGAACTTGTTGCAAACATGTAGCAGGTTTTGTTCTGTTGCAAACATGTTGCTGTGTTAGAACTTGTTGCAAACATGTCGCTGTGTTAGAACTTGTTGCAAACATGTCGCTGTGTTAGAACTTGTTGCAAACATGTTGCTGTGTTAGAACTTGTTGCAAACATGTTGCTGTGTTAGAACTTGTTGCAAACATGTTGCTGTGTTAGAACTTGTTGCAAACATGTTGCTGTGTTAGAACTTGTTGCAAACATGTTGCTGTGTTAGAACTTGTTGCAAACATGTTGCTGTGTTAGAACTTATTGCAAACATGTCGCTATGTTAGAACTTGTTGCAAACATGTTGCTGTGTTAGAACTTGTTGCAAACATGTAGCAGGTTTTGTTCTGTTGCAAACATGTTGCTGTGTTAGAACTTGTTGCAAACATGTCGCTGTGTTAGAACTTGTTGCAAACATGTTGCTGTGTTAGAACTTGTTGCAAACATGTTGCTGTGTTAGAACTTGTTGCAAACATGTTGCTGTGTTAGAACTTGTTGCAAACATGTTGCTGTGTTAGAACTTGTTGCAAACATGTTGCTGTGTTAGAACTTGTTGCAAACATGTTGCTGTGTTAGAACTTGTTGCAAACATGTTGCTGTGTTAGAACTTATTGCAAACATGTCGCTATGTTAGAACTTGTTGCAAACATGTTGCTGTGTTAGAACTTGTTGCAAACATGTCGCTGTGTTAGAACTTGTTGCAAACATGTCGCTGTGTTAGAACTTGTTGCAAACATGTCGCTGTGTTAGAACTTGTTGCAAACATGTTGCTGTGTTAGAACTTGTTGCAAACATGTTGCTGTGTTAGAACTTGTTGAAAACATGTAGCAGGTTTTGTTCTGTTGAAAACATGTCGCTGTGTTAGAACTTGTAGCAAACTTGTCGCTGTGTTAGAACTTGTTGCAAACATGTTGCTGTGTTAGAACTTGTTGCAAACATGTTGCTGTGTTAGAACTTGTTGCAAACATGTCGCTGTGTTAGAACTTGTTGCAAACTTGTCGCTGTGTTAGAACTTGTTGCAAACATGTTGCTGTGTTAGAACTTGTTGCAAACATGTTGCTGTGTTAGAACTTGTTGCAAACATGTTGCTGTGTTAGAACTTGTTGCAAACATGTTGCTGTGTTAGAACTTATTGCAAACATGTCGCTATGTTAGAACTTGTTGCAAACATGTTGCTGTGTTAGAACTTGTTGCAAACATGTCGCTGTGTTAGAACTTGTTGCAAACATGTCGCTGTGTTAGAACTTGTTGCAAACATGTCGCTGTGTTAGAACTTGTTGCAAACATGTTGCTGTGTTAGAACTTGTTGCAAACATGTTGCTGTGTTAGAACTTGTTGCAAACATGTCGCTGTGTTAGAACTTGTTGCAAACATGTCGCTGTGTTAGAACTTGTTGCAAACATGTTGCTGTGTTAGAACTTGTTGCAAACATGTTGCTGTGTTAGAACTTGTTGAAAACATGTAGCAGGTTTTGTTCTGTTGAAAACATGTCGCTGTGTTAGAACTTGTAGCAAACTTGTCGCTGTGTTAGAACTTGTTGCAAACATGTTGCTGTGTTAGAACTTGTTGCAAACATGTTGCTGTGTTAGAACTTGTTGCAAACATGTCGCTGTGTTAGAACTTGTTGCAAACTTGTCGCTGTGTTAGAACTTGTTGCAAACATGTTGCTGTGTTAGAACTTGTTGCAAACATGTTGCTGTGTTAGAACTTGTTGCAAACATGTTGCTGTGTTAGAACTTGTTGCAAACATGTCGCTGTGTTAGAACTTGTTGCAAACTTGTCGCTGTGTTAGAACTTGTTGCAAACATGTTGCTGTGTTAGAACTTGTTGCAAACTTGTCGCTGTGTTAGAACTTGTTGCAAACATGTTGCTGTGTTAGAACTTGTTGCAAACATGTTGCTGTGTTAGAACTTGTTGCAAACATGTCGCTGTGTTAGAACTTGTTGCAAACTTGTCGCAGTGTTAAATAAGAACTATATTTCGGGCATTTCCAAAGAACAAACAATTGCTAACGACAATAAACAAAATATATTTCTTTTATAAAATGGAAAAGGTTAGACCGATAAAAGAACAAGAGACTATGAGGGACTGACCGATAAAAGAATAAGGGACTATGAGGGACTGACCGATAAAAGAATAAGGGACTATGAGGGACTGACCGATAAAAAAATAAGGGACTATGAGGGACTGACCGATAAAAGAATAAGGGACTATGAGGGACTGACCGATAAAAAAATAAGGGACTATGAGGGACTGACCGATAAAAGAATAAGGGACTATGAGGGACTGACCGATAAAAGAATAAGGGACTATAAGGGACTGACCGATAAAAAAATAAGGGACTATGAGGGACTGACCGATAAAAGAATAAGGGACTATGAGGGACTGACCGATAAAAGAATAAGGGACTATAAGGGACTGACCGATAAAAGAACAAGAGACTATGAGGGACTGACCGATAAAAGAATAAGGGACTATGAGGGACTGACCGATAAAAGAATAAGGGACTATGAGGGACTGACGTATAATGAATCGTTTTGTCCAGTTCTCGTTTCAGTTGACATACATTCTTTGGCTAGTTATCTGTGGCTAGTTATCTGTGGCTAGTTATCTGTGGCTAGTTATCTGTGGCTAGTTATCTGTGGCTAGTTATCTGTGGCTAGTTATCTGTGGCTAGTTATCTGTAGTGATTTGTATGATATCAGCGGCTATTGTTAAAACGGTTGATTTAAGCCAGACCCAATCAAAACCGAGTTGATCCCAAGAGAATTGTTAGTTGACCTCCGACCTTGTGCGCTAGTGTGCCCGCCCCTGACAATATGTGTAGCCGACCCCACCCTCGCACGTTGCGAGAACTTACAAGCCGTGTAGCCGACCCCCACCCTCCCACGTTGCGAGAACTTACAAGCCGTGTAGCCGACCCCCACCCTCCCAGGTTGCGAGAACTTACAAGCCGTGTAGCCGACCCCACCCTCGCACGTTGCGAGAACTTACAAGCCGTGTAGCCGAGACCCACCCTCGCACGTTGCGAGAACTTACAAGCCGTGTAGCCGACCCCCACCCTCCCAGGTTGCGAGAACTTACAAGCTGTGTAGCCGACCCCACCCTCGCACGTTGCGAGAACTTACAAGCCGTGTAGCCGACCCCCACCCTCCCACGTTGCGAGAACTTACAAGCCGTGTAGCCGACCCCCACCCTCCCAGGTTGCGAGAACTTACAAGCCGTGTAGCCGACCCCCACCCTCCCAGGTTGCGAGAACTTACAAGCCGTGTAGCCGACCCCCACCCTCCCACGTTGCGAGAACTTACAAGCCGTGTAGCCGACCCCCACCCTCCCACGTTGCGAGAACTTACAAGCCGTGTAGCCGACCCCCACCCTCCCACGTTGCGAGAACTTACAAGCCGTGTAGCCGACCCCCACCCTCCCACGTTGCGAGAACTTACAAGCCGTGTAGCCGACCCCCACCCTCCCACGTTGCGAGAACTTACAAGCCGTGTAGCCGACCCCCACCCCCCCACGTTGCGAGAACTTACAAGCCGTGTAGCCGACCCCCACCCTCCCACGTTGCGAGAACTTACAAGCCGTGTAGCCGACCCCCACCCTCCCACGTTGCGAGAACTTACAAGCCGTGTAGCCGACCCCCACCCTCCCACGTTGCGAGAACTTACAAGCCGTGTAGCCGACCCCCACCCTCCCACGTTGCGAGAACTTACAAGCCGTGTAGCCGAGACCCACCCTCGCACGTTGCGAGAACTTACAAGCCGTGTAGCCGACCCCCACCCCCCCACGTTGCGAGAACTTACAAGCCGTGTAGCCGAGACCCAGATGGGCTCCCCACCCTCCCACGTTGCGAGAACTTACAAGCCGTGTAGCCGACCCCCACCCTCCCACGTTGCGAGAACTTACAAGCCGTGTAGCCGAGACCCACCCTCCCACGTTGCGAGAACTTACAAGCCGTGTAGCCGCCCCCCACCCTCCCACGTTGCGAGAACTTACAAGCCGTGTAGCCGAGACCCACCCTCCCACGTTGCGAGAACTTACAAGCCGTGTAGCCGAGACCCACCCTCCCACGTTGCGAGAACTTACAAGCCGTGTAGCCGACCCCCACCCTCCCACGTTGCGAGAACTTACAAGCCGTGTAGCCGACCCCCACCCTCCCACGTTGCGAGAACTTACAAGCCGTGTAGCCGAGACCCACCCTCCCACGTTGCGAGAACTTACAAGCCGTGTAGCCGACCCCCACCCTCCCACGTTGCGAGAACTTACAAGCCGTGTAGCCGACCCCCACCCTCCCACGTTGCGAGAACTTACAAGCCGTGTAGCCGACCCCCACCCTCCCACGTTGCGAGAACTTACAAGCCGTGTAGCCGACCCCCACCCTCCCACGTTGCGAGAACTTACAAGCCGTGTAGCCGACCCCCACCCTCCCACGTTGCGAGAACTTACAAGCCGTGTAGCCGAGACCCACCCTCGCACGTTGCGAGAACTTACAAGCCGTGTAGCCGAGACCCAAATGGGCTCCCCACCCTCCCACCAGTGGGCGTGGTATTGCTCCTTGTTGGTTCCGATGAGGAAAGATTCGTTCCTGGCAGTGTCATACATGTAGTTCCCAGTCATACCGTGGCTTTCTGTGTGTAGACCTGGGCAAACATACACACTTGTCATTACCGTGTACACAATTGTCATTAGCGTGTACACACCTGTCATTAGCTTGTACAAACTTGTCATTAACCTATAGACGCCTGTCATTAGCATTTACCCTCCTGTCATTAGCATTTACCCACCTATCATTAGCATTTACCCACCTGTCATTAGCATTTACCCACCTGTCATTAGCATTTACCCACCTGTCATTAGCATTTACCCACCTGTCATTAGCATTTACCCACCTGTCATTAGCATTTACCCACCTGTCATTAGCCTTTACCCACCTGTCATTAGCGTGTAGTAGTTGGGGTAGGAGAGGGTGGGGAAGTCACTTTTCATGTACCCACCTGTCATTAGCGTGTAGTAGTTGGTGTAGGAGAGGGTCGGGAAGTCACTTTTCATGTACCCACCTGTCATTAGCGTGTAGTAGTTGGTGTAGGAGAGGGTCGGGAAGTCACTTTTCATGTACCCACCTGTCATTAGCGTGTAGTAGTTGGTGTAGGAGAGGGTCGGGAAGTCACTTTTCATGTACCCACCTGTCATTAGCGTGTAGTAGTTGGGGTAGGAGAGGGTCGGGAAGTCACTTTTCATGTACCCAGCTCGTACTCCAAGGTCACGAACACGCTGGAAACTTTTAAGGTTGAACTGTGGATAAAACAGGTCGATTGGTGTTGCTGGTGTCGCTACGTAGGAACTGTTGCTGTTGATGTTGTCATTGTGGTATTGTTGCTGCTGATGTTGCTACATAGGTATTGTTGCTGTTGATGTTGTCATTGTGGTATTGTTGCTGCTGATGTTGCTACATAGGTATTGTTGTTGTTGATGTCGTTGTGGTATTGTTGCTGATGATGTTGCTACATAGGTATTGTTGTTGTTCATGTCTTTGTGGTATTGTTGCTGATGATGTCGCTACATAGGTATTGTTGTTGTTGATGTTATTATTGTGGTATTGTTGTTGTTGTGGTATTGGTGTTGTTATTGTGGTATTGGTGTTGTTGATGTTGTTGTTAGATCAGTTTTTGATGCTATATACATAAATCACTTTTGAAGATTTAGTGTTATTAATGATTTATAAAATGCGATTAAAACTTTCTCATATAATCCCTAATCCCTTACTTTCTCATATAATCCCTAATCCCTTACTTTCTCGGCATAATCCCACCTAAATCCGTCAAGCAGTACAACCAATAGGGGTTCTGACGTTGTCATGGCAACACATGACCACGTGACACAGGCAAGCATCGCGAGCTCAAATGACGTCATAGTTCAACAGGAAGCTGTTTGCTGTCGTCAATATGTGAAGCAGTTTGCTGTAGACAATATGTTAAGCTGTTTGCTGTAGACAATATGTGAAGCTGTTTGCTGTCGTCAATATGTGAAGCTGTTTGCTGTCGTCAATATGTGAAGCTGTTTGCTGTAGACAAAATCAACACCTGCAGCATGAAAAACTCGGCCTGTCCTCATTATTTGAGTAAGCAGATAATGACCAAGTCAAAAAATCAGTTTGAGTCTTTTAAGTCAGCAGATAATGACCAAGTTTAAAAAAAAAAAAATTAAATCGTGCAGTAATGGACGCAGCAGTGTTTGAAGAGTTGGGTTCGACCAATATTGTTGACCAATATTGTTGACCAATATTGTTGACCAATATTGTTGACTAATATTGTTGACTAATATTGTTGACTAATATTGTCGACCAATATTGTCGACCAATATTGTTGACTAAGAAAAAAAAATTTATTTAGATTCACACATCAACGTGGTCGTAAAATAAAAAGTAATTATAAGAAACTTAAGCCTGGAAATAATTCAGATTAAAAATGTACAACATCAATGTTATAAAAGTTGAAATTCAAGAGAACTCGAAAATATTGTTTTGAGTTTAAGGCTACATTTCTAATTATTTTGATAACGCCTAAGTTATAACCCGAAGCTTCACTTTTGAAGGACGAGCATTGATTGGCTGTACAGTAACTCCGTGATCGATATTCTAAAACAAAGTTAAAAATAAAAGAAAAACCTCATATTAATTTGTACTCAAAAATTTACCGATAAAAATTGTTTTAAATAAAATTACTTTTTAAAACCAAATGTCCTAGTTCAGCCATGATGGTTGTCATTTTGTGTGGTAAAATATGCAAACAACAAAATTGATTTTGCATATTTACTTTCTCGCAATCGGAGTATAGAGTAAGTACTAGTGCGAAAAACTGAAATCGATATTTTCACAAAGCTCGACGTTTCACACATCCCTGATTGAAAGAAACCAATTTTACAATCTTTTCTGTATATCTGTGTGTGTCTCTGTGTGGCTGTGTGTGTCTCTGTGTGTCTCGGTGTGTCTGTGTATATCTGTGTGTGTCTCTGTGTATCTGTGTGTGTCTCTGTGTATCTGTGTGTTTGTGTGTATCTGTGTGTGTCTCTGTGTATCTGTGTGTGTCTCTGTGTATCTGTGTGTTTGTGTGTATCTGTGTGTGTCTCTGTGTATCTGTGTGTTTGTGTGTATCTGTGTGTGTCTCTGTGTATCTGTGTGTGTCTCTGTGTGTCTGTGTGTTTGTGTGTATCTGTGTGTGTCTCTGTGTATCTGTGTGTGTCTCTGTGTATCTGTGTGTTTGTGTGTATCTGTGTGTGTCTCTGTGTATCTGTGTGTGTCTCTGTGTATCTGTGTGTTTGTGTGTGTCTGTGTGTGTCTGTGTATCTGTGTGTGTCTCTGTGTATCTGTGTGTGTCTGTGTGTTTGTGTGTGTCTGTGTGTGTCTCTGTGTATCTGTGTGTGTCTGTGTGTTTGTGTGTGTCTGTGTGTGTCTCTGTGTATCTGTGTGTGTCTGTGTGTTTGTGTGTGTCTCTGTGTGTCTCTGTGTATCTGTGTGTGTATGTGTGTTTGTGTGTGTCTGTGTGTGTCTCTGTGTATCTGTGTGTGTGTCTGTGTGTTTGTGTGTGTCTGTGTGTATCTGTGTATCTGTGTGTGTCTCTGTGTATCTGTGTGTGTCTGTGTGTTTGTGTGTGTCTGTGTGTGTCTCTGTGTATCTGTGTGTGTCTGTGTGTTTGTGTGTGTCTGTGTGTTTGTGTGTGTCTCTGTGTGTCTCTGTGTATCTGTGTGTGTCTGTGTGTTTGTGTGTGTCTGTGTGTGTCTCTGTGTATCTGTGTGTGTCTGTTTGTGTGTGTCTGTGTGTGTCTGTGTATCTGTGTGTGTCTCTGTGTATCTGTTTGTGTCTGTGTGTTTGTGTGTGTCTGTGTGTGTCTCTGTGTATCTGTGTGTGTCTGTGTGTGTGTCTGTGTGTGTCTCTGTGTATCTGTGTGTGTCTGTGTGTTTGTGTGTGTCTGTGTGTGTCTCTGTGTATCTGTGTGTGTCTGTGTGTTTGTGTGTGTCTGTGTGTTTGTGTGTGTCTCTGTGTGTCTCTGTGTATCTGTGTGTGTCTGTGTGTTTGTGTGTGTCTCTGTGTGTCTCTGTGTATCTGTGTGTGTGTGTTTCTGTGTGTCTGTGTGTGTCTGTGTATCTGTGTGTGTCTCTGTGTATCTGTTTGTGTCTGCGTGTTTGTGTGTGTCTGTGTGTGTCTCTGTGTATCTGTTTGTGTCTGTGTGTTTGTGTGTGTCTGTGTGTGTCTCTGTGTATCTGTGTGTGTCTGTGTGTTTGTGTGTGTCTGTGTGTGTCTCTGTGTATCTGTGTGTGTCTGTGTGTTTGTGTGTGTCTCTGTGTGTCTCTGTGTATCTGTGTGTGTCTGTGTGTTTGTGTGTGTCTGTGTGTGTCTCTGTGTATCTGTATGTGTCTGTGTGTTTGTGTGTGTCTGTGTGTGTCTGTGTATCTGTGTGTGTCTCTGTGTATCTGTGTGTGTCTCTGTGTATCTGTTTGTGTCTGTGTGTTTGTGTGTGTCTGTGTGTGTCTCTGTGTATCTGTGTGTGTCTGTGTGTGTGTCTGTGTGTGTCTCTGTGTATCTGTGTGTGTCTGTGTGTTTGTGTGTGTCTGTGTGTGTCTCTGTGTATCTGTGTGTATCTGTGTGTTTGTGTGTGTCTGTGTGTGTCTGTGTGTGTCTCTGTGTATCTGTGTGTGTCTCTGTGTTTCTTTGGACATAATAACTTGAGTACCGTACATCTTAGTTGATGAAATGGCATATAGAAGTATAACATCAAATGTGTAGTTCTGTATAAACTTTTCAGCGATTTCCGGTAACCGGAAGTGGAACTTATTATACTTTCGGTTTTTCAGAATCCTATCAATTGAGTACTATTTCTGATAGGTCATCGAATTTTCATAAATAAGTAAAATATGTAATTCTCTGTTATCTATCAAATTTTGAATAATTTCCGATTATCGGAAGTAGTAATTTACGCTATTTCTAATTTCTCAAAAACATATGAATTTATAAAGTACTAATGATCCGCACTATTATACACACATTGCTTGCTGTTCACTTGGTGCGAAGTTCTCTTTTCTACGAGATTCTATTCTATTTTAAAAAGTTTAAGTAAGTAAATATTGATTAAAAGAATGCCTATATCCCAAGTTGCCATACTTAGTAGTGTTATATAAGAATATTCGAGAAAGTTCAGGGGATATCACTCCCGCTTTATGTAAAATTGTGTTTTAAAACATCAAATACTTCCATGTTAAGCCCGCCATAAACAGTCATGTTTGTATAACAATATTTATTTAAATAACATCGTATAGCCTTTAAAAATATTTCCTTCAACATTTCGAGAGTATTCAAGACCGCGTCCATTGAAATAACTAAGGGAAATAACTCAGTGTTAGTTTTCAGCCTAGTGAACTGCGTTTTGTTTACCAATTTTTACAGGTGGTGTGGATGCTGTGAGGTAATCAAATTCTCCATTTCTGACGACAACAAATTTAAGTACATGGCGCATTATAACAATCACTTATATTGAAGATGGATTTCAACTTATATAGGCCCTCAGTAGGCCTTTATCACCTATAAATCTATCGTTAATATCCATCGACTTGTCTACTATGTAAACCAGGGGTCTCCAAACTACGGCCCGCGGGCCGCATGCGGCCCGCGAGGTCCTCTCATCCGGCCCGCGGAGCTCTTTTTGTCCACGGAAAAAAACGTTTGTTGATGATGGCTAAGGAACTTTGCCCAGAAAAATCAAAGACATGCCTGGAAGAAACTGGCCCCCGAACTGAAATTTGATAGGTAATGCGGCCCTCGGACTGAAAAGTTTGGAGACCCCTGATGTAAACTATAGAAGAACTAAAGAAGGAAAATGGTTACTAGAAAGTATAACAAAGGCTTGTAAAAAACGTTTTATTTCACATTAAAGCAGGAAAGCCAATCACATTGTAAGCATGTGCACTTACTTTTTCCTTATAGATGTTAGTTTTTTAAGGCAACTTCAACTAAACCAAGTAAAAACATTTTAAAGAAGATTAGATAGTTATCTAATATTTAGCTGGTGTGTTTCACACAGCTTGTAAACAAATACAGGTGTGTTGTTCTTACCTGAGTGCTGGGGTCAAGTGGGGAGCTGTCAAACACGGCACAGGTACACGCCGTCTCCTGACACGGCTAATCAAGTCATGGCAGCATAATTACATGGCTAATTAACTTACAGAAGTTAATGAAGGTCAGAGCGGAATAAACATGTTCTCTGGTCTTCTGTTGGAGCTGTCAATCAATGACACGGCCCCGCCCACACATACACACGTGCCAGTGTGTTGTTGCGCTCTGTGAAACTTGCACTTTAAGTTGTTTACAGATATTTGACTCGTAAAGACCACGTGACAGTTCTATCATGGCCGCTACAATATGAAAACAGGATGTGGCTCTCAGCCCATCCGTGGGGGGGAGGGTAGGTCACGGGGAGAAGGTGGAAGGAAGCCAGTGTGTGTATACTGACCTACACAGTGTGTATATACTGACCTACACAGTGTGTATATACTGACCTACACAGTGTGTATATACTGACCTACACAGTGTGTATACTGACCTACACAGTGTGTATATACTGACCTACACAGTGTGTATATACTGACCTACACAGTGTGTGTATACTGACCTACACAGTGTGTGTATACTGACCTACACAGTGTGTGTATACTGACCTACACAGTGTGTATATACTGACCTATACAGTGTGTATATACTGACCTACACAGTGTGTATATACTGACCTACACAGTGTGTATATACTGACCTACACAGTGTGTATACTGACCTACACAGTGTCTATATACTGACCTACACAGTGTGTATATACTGACCTACACAGTGTGTGTATACTGACCTACACAGTGTCTATATACTGACCTACACAGTGTGTGTATACTGACCTACACAGTGTGTATATACTGACCTACACAGTGTGTGTATACTGACCTACACAGTGTGTGTATACTGACCTACAGAGAGTGAACCTATAGACCTACACAGTGTGTGTATACTGACCTACACAGTGTGTATATACTGACCTACACAGTGTCTATATACTGACCTACACAGTGTGTATATACTGACCTACACAGTGTGTATATACTGACCTGCACAGTGTATATACTGACCTACACAGTGTGTATATACTGACCTACACAGTGTGTATATACTGACCTACACAGTGTGTATATACTGACCTACACAGTGTGTATATACTGACCTACACAGTGTGTATATACTGACCTACACAGTGTGTATATACTGACCTACACAGTGTGTATATACTGACCTACACAGTGTGTATATACTGACCTACACAGTGTGTATATACTGACCTACACAGTGTGTGTATACTGACCTACACAGTGTGTGTATACTGACCTACAGAGAGTGAACCTATAGACCTACACAGTGTGTGTATACTGACCTACAGAGAGTGAACCTATAGACCTTCTGAGTGTGTTGTATACCGACCTACAATACGTTAAGCATCGGGTTAGGTCAGGTTAAGCCCGGTTAGGCCCGGTTAGGCCAGGTAAGGCCCGGTTAGGCCCGGTTAGACCCGGTTAGGTTTATTTAACGAACACAAAAATAGTTGAGGGAAAGAACTCGTGGGCAGGGAATCATTTTCTCAAATTAAACACAATTAAACACAAGTTAACACAAGTTAACACAAGTATTAGCTGAAGGATGTGTCTTCAAGTATGTAAACAATGTGAGACGTTTGTTCAAGATTTATTGTCCTGTTCCTGTTTCACGATACCAATCACGATACCACACGACGATACCACACTACGATACCACACATTGACTGATATTCGTCAGAACAAAATCTATTCTAGCGTCGGTGCTGAAAAAAAAACGAGATATTTTTTAAGCTTTATACTCCAGTCTAAGTGAACTTTATACTCCAGTCTAAGTGAACTTTATACTCCAGTCTAAGTAAAACTTTATACTCAAGTCTAAGTAAAACTTTATACTCCAGTCTAAGTAAACTTTATACTTCAGTCTAAGTAAACTTTATACTCCAGTCTAAGTGAACTTTATACTCCAGTCTAAGTAAAACTTTATACTCAAGTCTAAGTAAAACTTTATACTCAAGTCTAAGTAAAACTTTATACTCCAGTCTAAGTAACCTTTATACTCCAGTCTAAGTAAACTTTATACTTCAGTCTAAGTAAACTTTATACTCCAGTCTAAGTAACCTTTATACTCCAGTCTAAGTAAATTTTATACTCCAGTCTAAATAAAACTTTATACTCCAGTCTAAGTAAAACTTTATACTCCAGTCTAAGTAAAACTTTACACTCCAGTCTAAGTAAAACTTTATACTCCAGTCTAAGTAACCTTTATAATCCAGTCTAAGTAAGCTTATACTCCAGTCTAAGTAAACTTTATACTCCAGTCTAAGTAAAGTTATGAAATGGACGTTGGGACATTTTTAAAATACAAATGTAATACAGGCCTAGGCGTCTTGTTTCTGCATTTTTCACAACGTGATCGCTAGTCTGATCTAAACCACAAATTAGTCCTAATGCGTTTTAATTAGTCCTTATGTTAATGACAGTTTCAATTAGAACCTAAGTTTTTGACAGTTTTTATTAAAACATTGCGTTAATGCTCTTTAAATTGTTAGCAATAATAAAATATAATCTTAATTTAATGCAAAGGTTTTAAAATATGGGATAACAAAAAGCTACTTTTGATTTTTTTCAAGAGTCGGTTAATCTTGAGTGATGACCCATTATTTGGGGCGGGGCGGAGTCCGAGAATGGAACACATGATGTTGTAGGGGTCGACAGCATTGATGTAGTCCACGGTTGACTGGGGTTTGAAACCTGGGAACAGAAGTTGCTCTAGCAGTTGCTGAAGTTGTGACAAATCCTATGTGACATTTCGGATGGGCTGTCCGAAAAGTTGGACATAATATGGTTCATCTGTGTGGTAGAATGGTCACCCTTACTTAGGGTGTCGCCTAAGATTGTAAACTTCATTATTGTTTAAGATGGCTTAAACATTAAAAACTTCATTATTGTTCAAGATGGCTTAAACATTAAAAACTTCATTATTGTTCAAGATGGCTTAAACATTAAAAACTACATTATTGTTCAGATGGCTTAAACATTAAAAACTTCATTATTGTTCAGATGGCTTAAACATTAAAAACTTCATTATTGTTCAAGATGGCTTAAACATTAAAAACTACATTATTGTTCAAGGTAACTTAAACAATTAAAAACTACATTTACTTTCCTTTGATGTGATACCAATTTTATTTATCAAATTTAGTCGGTAGCCTAAAAAATGATTTGAGAAAAAACGCGTTTGTTTTTAAATGGCTACGATGATAAGACTGAAACTCAGTGATACGGTGGGTTAGTTTTAAAGGAGTGTTGTTGCCGACCGTTCAGCAGAAATGTGTCGTCTGTGTAACACATATGGTTACCAGCCAAGGGGGGATAAGAATAAAGTTGTAATTCATTGGGTTGCGGCCCCTGTAGGTCCGCAACTGTTGTAGTTTTTTTTTTTTTTTTTTTGCATGCTCTTCGGTGAGCGATTTAACCTGTGTCCCTTGTCATGTGACTTAAGATTATGGGAAGTTCGTGCCTAGCTGTGTCTGAGACCCAAGGCTGCTGTCTGTGGACACGGAGGGTGACGGTACCTAGAGGTAGATCATGACAATGTAGACCTAATGAAGGTAATATTATGTTTTATATTACTGTGCTACTCCTACTAGTGCTGCATGTTGCAGACTAGGGGTGGAGTATCTTTGTTAGATTACTTTTCTGTATTATTCCTGCTAGTGCCGCATGTTGCGCACTAGTTAGGTGTGTAGTATTTATTTAAGTAGTTCTTGCTGTGCTGCGTATTGGCAGTAACATATTTTATTGACCCGTGTATGTTCGTAGCCTACACGTGGTATTGTCATTGATGTAACCTTTTGTTTACATTTGTTTTAGGGCTACAGTTTCCTTATTCATTATTCATCTCTAATCGTCGTTTACTACTGTTCTTCTACATCGCCGTTAATGGCTCGATGTAATGTGAATAAAGTCAATTAGTGGACAACAGCGTCGCTTCAATTTGTCCTAAATCTCAGGGTCAGCCCGTCTTAACCACAAAACCTGAGTGGGTAAAAAAAGCATCCCCACTGAGTGAGGGTTACATCTGCTAGATTTATTTCCATTCAAATACATGGCGGCCAAAATGGGCGGGCTTAGTTAGATGATGTCTAGATTAAGTTATTTTTTCATGTTTTGTTTTTATCCTGTATGCTTTCAAAAAAAAAATAATAATGAAATTATTTTAGTAGGATGCAATATATAATTTTCTATAGTTTACACTACTTTTGAGTAAGTTTACAACAATGTTAAATAAAGCAATTCACATTTTGCTTACTTTTATTATGTTCTGCTTGATATTATCAGCGACTAGATTAAAAAAAAAATGTACAAATGGCAATTTTGCGTCAAATACGAATCGCCCATTCTTAAAATTAGATCAGTATCGTTGAATAATATAAAAAAATAACGATTTTAAGAATATATTTCTGAAATGATCATCAAACATTGTTTAAATAACGAAATCACGGTATCGTCGTTTTCGGCAGCCATCATTATCATGACGACGGTAAAAAATGTAGGTCAAGTGACAACCTGCCCTTACTTTATCTAACACCCAACAACTAGATTATCTCCCTTACTTGGTGCACCAACTAGATTATCCCCCTTACTTGGTGCACCAACTAGATTATCCCCCTTACTTGGTCCACCAACTAGATTATCCCCCCTTACTTGGTGCACCAACTAGATTATCCCCCTTACTTGGTCCACCAACTAGATTATCCCCCTTACTTGGTTCACCAACTAGATTATCCCCCTTACTTGGTCCACCAACTAGATTATCCCCCTTACTTGGTCCACCAACTAGATTATCTCCCTTACTTGGTCCACCAACTAGATTATCCCCCTTACTTGGTCCACCAACTAGATTATCTCCCTTACTTGGTGCACCAACTAGATTATCCCCCTTACTTGGTCCACCAACTAGATTATCCCCCTTACTTGGTCCACCAACTAGATTATCCCCCTTACTTGGTCCACCAACTAGATTATCCCCCTTACTTGGTCCACCAACTAGATTATCTCCCTTACTTGGTCCACCAACTAGATTATCCCCCTTACTTGGTCCACCAACTAGATTATCTCCCTTACTTGGTCCAACAACTAGATTATCCCCCTTACTTGGTCCACCAACTAGATTATCTCCCTTACTTGGTGCACCAACTAGATTATCCCCCTTACTTGGTCCACCAACTAGATTATCCCCCTTACTTGGTCCACCAACTAGATTATCCCCCTTACTTGGTCCACCAACTAGATTATCCCCCTTACTTGGTCCACCAACTAGATTATCTCCCTTACTTGGTCCACCAACTAGATTATCCCCCTTACTTGGTCCACCAACTAGATTATCTCCCTTACTTGGTCCAACAACTAGATTATCTCCCTTACTTGGTCCAACAACTAGATTATCCCCCTTACTTGGTCCACCAACTAGATTATCCCCCTTACTTGGTCCACCAACTAGATTATCCCCCTTACTTGGTCCAACAGCATAAAATATTCCCCTCATGTCTGCTTGATTGTTGTCGTACCCGTGACTGGCGACAAATGTGGAGTTCTTCTTCGTTGGGAAACCGGAGAAAGGCTGAAATACAGTCAACATTGGGGAACCACAACATTGGGGAACAAAAGGGTGAAATACAGTCAACATTGGGGAACCACAACATTGGGGAACAAAAGGGTGAAATACAGTCAACATTGGGGAACCACAACATTGGGGAACAAAAGGGTGAAATACAGTCAACATTGGGGAACCACAACATTGGGGAACCAAAGGATGAAATACAGTCAACATTGGGGAACCACAACATTGGGGAACCAAAGGATGAAATACAGTCAACATTGGGGAACCAAAGGATGAAATACAGTCGACATTGGGGAACCAAAGGCTGAAATACAGTCAACATTGGGGAACAAAAGGATGAAATACAGTCAACATTGGGGAAAAAAAGGATGAAATTCAGTCAACATTGGGGAACAAAAGGATGAAATACAGTCAACATTGGGGAACAAAAGGATGAAATACAGTCAACATTGGGGAACCAAAGACTGAAATACAGTCGACATTGGGGAACAAAAGAATGAAATACAGTCAACATTGGGGAACAAAGGGATGAAATTTAGTGAACATTGGGGAACAAAAAAAAATACAGTCAACATTGGGGAACCAAAGACTAAAACACAGTCAACATTGGGGAACCAAAGACTGAAATACAGTCAACATTGGGAAGCCAAAGGCTGAAATACAGTCAACATTGGGGAACTGAATGTTTCGGTTTTCCAATTAGATTTCGCTTGAAATCTAAAGTGCATCCTTGAGTTCACCCAGCTCTGACGGGTACCTGACTCAGGTTAGGGAAGATAAGGCGGATGGGCATAGTGCTGACCACATGATTGATTCGTTATTCAAAACGTTGGTTATTCATTTTCGATTAATTAATACCACATTCGATTGGGGATTAATAATTATTGATAATCAAAACCACACTCAAGTGAGGGTTAATCATGATTAACCGCAGACAGATCTATTAAAGAAGAGAAATAACTCCAACTGACATGAATTATGGTCCATCCCAGGTCAGCCACACATGTGAGAGGGGAGACATGCTTTCCATGCTTGTAGAAAAACCTGCTGGGAATGTCCGACTTTTTGTAGACTTTCATGTGAGGGCTAAACGTCTTTAGTAGGGTGTACACCTAGTGGGAAATTTTAAAGCGTGATTTACAAACTACTAACTGTAGAGCACGCGATGGTCTACTAGATTAACGAACTCATTGTCTTATTCAATTTTTTTTTTAAATGAATACAATCATGTACATTAAATAGATATATTTTTAAACAGCATTCACATACGATAATGAAACGAATGTCTTTAAATATAATATTGCATGACTATAAATATAATACATACAAGAGTTGATCTCTCATACAATTTCAGTAATGGGAATTCATGTGTAAGTAAATATGAGTACCATCCATTTTACATCAGTACACATACATGCATATACAGATATATATATATATATAGAATATATATATATATATGACGTTGGGGGGGGGGGGGGTTGTGTGGGGGGGTTTGTGTGTGGGGGTTTGTGTTTGTGGGTTTGTGTGTTGGGGTTTGTGTGTGAGGGTTGGTATGTGGGGGTTTGTGTGTGGTGACTTGTGTGGGGGGTTTGTGTGTGGGGGTTTGTGTGTGAGGGTTGGTATGTGGGGGTTTGTGTGTGGTGACTTGTGTGGGGGGTTTGTGTGTGGGGGTTTGTGTGTGGGGGTTTGTGTGTGGGGGTTTGTGTGTGGGGGTTTGTGTGTGGGGGTTTGTGTGTGTGTGTTTGTGTGGGGGTTTGTGTGGGTGAATTTGTGTGTGTACGTGAGGTGTGAATGAGCCCAAGTACACGTGACCTGCCAAGTCCGTTGTTCCAGTGGTCAGCAGTTGCAGGCTCTCGTCTAGAGCATCCTGGAAGTCTTCCAACGTCTGCTCGTATGTAAAGTTACGACAGTAGGTTGGTGTGATGGTCACCTCACACCCCGGCCAATAGAACATGTAGCTGCTTTTCTTCTGGTGCGTAAAAAGTTTGTTCATCAACATAAGTTGGTTCATTCTGGGATTTATTTTTAGATGGAAGGTGATTATTTTACCAAAAGAAAACTACATCAAGTAGCGCCAGATGTTTATTTCAGTGTACATCATGTCACGGAGAATTATTGGATAGAAGTCGGGAAAAAATTAGTTCCAATATTTGGGGTTTTAATGTTGGAATATCAGCATTTTAAAAATACATCAAAACTGATGCGTCAATAAGTATAATAAGTTGCTTGTCAAATAGAGAAAAATTAATAAACACATACACAGCTCACACAAACACAACAATGCACCTGTACACACACAAACAACGGTACCCACCAATGACCCACCTGTAGACCCACCAATGACCCACCAATGACCCACCAATGACCCACGTGTAGACCCACCAATGACCCACGTGTAGACCCACCAATGACCCACCTGTAGACCCACCAATGACCCACCAATGACCCACCAATGACCCACGTGTAGACCCACCAATGACCCACCTGTAGACCCACCAATGACCCACCAATGACCCACCAATGACCCACCAATGACCCACCTGTAGACCCACCAATGACCCACCTGTAGACCCACCAATGACCCACGTGTAGACCCACCAATGACCCAACTGTAGACCCACCAATGACCCACGTGTAGAAATACCAATGACCCACGTGTAGACCCACCAATGACCCACCTGTAGACCCACCAATGACCCACCTGTAGACCCACCAATGACCCACCTGTAGACCCACCAATGACCCACCTGTAGGTATACCAATGACCCACCTGTAGATATACCAATGACCCACCTGTAGACCCACCAATGACCCACCTTTCTCCACACCCACCTGTAAAACAGCTGTAACCCATAGAGGCTCCCCACCGTCCCACCAGTGGGCCTTGAAGGAGTCTTTGTTGATGCCATTGAGGAAAGCCTCGTGTTTGACGTCATCATACATGAAGTTGCCTGTTATACCGTGGCTTTCTGTGTGAAGACCTAGACAAATGTCAAGGACATTGAAAGGTCGCGGGTATACCTGGACACAAGGGCAATACATTTCAAGGTCATTGAAAGGTCGTCTATATACCTGGACAAGAGAGGCAACAAATGTCAAGGTCATGTACAGATCAGTTCAATTTTGCCACATTAGGTGACGTCTAAACATGTATGCTAAACAAATAATACCTGCAAGTGTTGAACCATTTGTTATTCTCGGCTCACCTGTCATAATAGTGTAGTAGTTCGGGAAGGAGAGGGTAGGGTAGTCACTTTTCATGTAGCCAGCTCTTGCACCAAGTGTATGAATGCGCTTCAAACTCTTCATGTCAAACTGGTGATTTTTATATATATCTAATATATAAAGCTCAATTCTGTATGTAAAAATAAATTTGTTTGTCGTGGACATACTTCAATGGATTTAAGTGTTAGACTATTATCGTGCGCATTTGTCTAAATTTATGAGTTAAAAAATTACTATTGAAAGTGTTGGGAAATAATTTTCATTTTTCAAACTGATAGTAATAATTGTCGGCATGTTCATTAAACACAATTTTAAAAAAATATCATCTTTTACAAAAATTCTAATTATGTCTTTATTTAGTCCTATAGCGCAAACTTCCCTTTGATAAAATAGGAAAACACAATTACTTCCCTTTATAATTAGTGGAAAAGAATTTACTTTTTATTACTTTGTTTTGGTGTTGGGAAAAAAATAATTACATAATTAGCGGGGATTGATCAAGAGAAATGTTGTAGGTATTTTACGGATAAGCTTGGAGTATTATAATTGTTCATTTGGTTTGGTTTGGCAACTACGTTCGTTTAAGTGAGTGCAAAAGACTATGAATAAGTTGGGGTACTTTAGTCGTTTATTAAGCTGAAACAGGCGATTCTGCCCCGGGCTAGACTGTGAGCACTTTGCGTTTATGTTCGCGTTTGTGTTTTCATTGTGTTTAGGTTGGGTTTGCGTTAGTGGTTGCGTTTTGATTTGGTTCGTTTTTGTTCTTTCTTTTTTCGTTTTCGTTTGTGTTTTTTTCTTTGGGTTTGTGTTTGTATTTGGGTTTGTGGTTGGTTTGGCGTTTGGATTTGGTTTGTTTTCGTTTGCTTTTTCGTTTGTTTTTTTTTCTTTGTGTTCGTATTGGTGTTTGTGGTTGTGGTTGGGTTTGTTGTTAGGGTTTTGTTTTCGTTTGCTTTTTTGTTTGTTTTTTATTTGTGTTTGTATTGGTGTTTGTGGTTGTGTTTGTTGTTAGGTTTTTGTTTTCTTTTGTATTTGTAATTGTGTTAGCGTTATGTTTGCGTTTTGTTGTTTTGGTTTTGGTTGGTTGTGGTTTGGGTGGGCAATGCCGGGTTTATGATGATTACTAAACACACAGGTAATGGTCTTTAACAGAAAGGTTTTTCACAGAAGCCAGAGCAGGGCCTGACCGGGACGCCTAGTATATATATATATATATATATATATATATATATATATATATATATATATATATATATATATCCAACAAAAACTTACCTTGTCCACGTAGCCCCACCTGACACCATCCAACAAAAACTTACCTTGTCCACGTAGTCCCACCTGACACCATCTAAGAGAACAACGAGAAGTTTCTGGGACTGCAACGGTTTGAGCTCTACACAAGACCACGTGATCCAGGCCAGAAGAAACAAAGCGCGAGCTATCATCTTGTAAAAGCTGGTGAAAATTGAAATGTTTTTTTACATTCTGTCTTCACGTATTTGATATGTCATAGATATTTGCTATAAGTCATGCAACAAACAACACTTATTTTTCGTTAAATAATGGATGTAGTGTAAGATTTTTTTTTAATTCAAACGCATCGTACTAAAAAGAAACCGGGAGTGATCTCCCCTTAACTTTCTCGAATATTCTTATATAGGGAATGGCAACTCGGGATATAGACATGATTTTAATCCATTTTAAATTACTAAAAATTTAAAAAATAGAATAGAATCTCGTAGAAAAAAGATTTGCACACCAAGAGAAAGCACAAGTGCATAATACTGCGGAATATTATTAGTACTTTATACATTCACATGCGTTTTTTGGAAAATCGGAAATAGCGTAAACTACTATTTCCGCTCAACAGAATGTACTCAGAATTTGTCAGAAGGTAGAAAATTAGACCTTTTACTTACATGTGAAATTTCATTTATCTATCTGAAATAGTACTCAAGTTTTGAAAATTCAATGCAGAAAAAAAATTCCACTTCCGGTTATTGGAAATCGCTCAATAGTCGATACGTATCTACGATTTTGATATAATACTTATATATGAAATTTCATCGACCTAGCTGTAACAATACTCAAGTTATCGTGTTTACAGACACACACACATACACACATACATACATACACACACTCACACTCACAGACATACGGACAAGATTGCAAAACTATGTTTTCCGACTCAGGGAGGTGTAAAACGTCGAGATTTGCAAAAATCTTTTTTTTTTGCACGATTACAATATAGGCTGTTGCTCGTAAATTTTAAACTCCACTAATTTCAAATAAAATTATACCACAAAAAAACAGGATTTTTTTCCCTACACATTGATACCAATTTTGTGTCTCTAGCTTAATTAGGAGCTAAGATATGGCCTTTTAAAAATTTGTGGGCGTGGCTAAAACAGCTTAGACCTTCGTCATTCAAGTCTATGTTACGCAAGTAAAAAAGTTGGCACCGATGGTTTTTTTCATTGCATCATCACGGATTCGCATTTTTCGAAAAATTAAAAAATTATAATTGTATTGCATCATCCCAGATTCGCATTTTTTGAAACTATAAAAAATTATAATAAAAAAAGACTTTCTCTATACTTCGTATACACGAGAAAGTAAAATATGTTACTTTAATTAAACGTTAGGGTGTTCGTTGGTTTCAATTGTCAGTAACATTTTATTAACTACTTTATAGTTGGTGATACTACAGGTATTGTAAAGCTACACATTTAGTGAGGCTACATGTATAGTAAGGCTACATGTACAGTGGGGCTACATGTACAGTGAGGCTACATGTACAGTGAGGCTACATGTACAGTGTGGCTACATGTACAGTGAGGCAACATGTACAGTGAGGCTACATGTACACTGAGGCTGCATGTATAGTAAGGCAACATGTATAGTAAGGCTACATGTACAGTGAGGCTACATGTACAGTGAGGCTACATACACACTGAGGCTACATGTACAGTGTGGCTACATGTACAGTGAGGCTACATGTATAGTGAGGCTACATGTACACTGAGGCTACATGTATAGTAAGGCAACATGTATAGTAAGGCTACATGTACAGTGTGGCTACATGTACAGTGAGGCTACATGTACACTGAGGCTACATGTACACTGAGGATACATGTACAGTGAGGCAACATGTACAGTGAGGCTACATGTACACTGAGGCTACATACACACTGAGGCTACATACACACTGAGGCTACATGTACAGTGAGGCAACATGTACACTGAGGCTACATGTACAGTGAGGCTACATACACACCGAGGCTACATGTACACTGAGGCTACATGTACACTGAGGCTACATACACACTGAGGCTACATGTACAGTGTGGCTACATGTACACTGAGGCTACATGTACACTGAGGCTACATGTACACTGAGGCTACATGTACAGTGAGGCTACATACACGATGAGGCTACATGTACACTGAGGCTACATGTACACTGAGGCTACATGTACAGTGAGGCTACATGTACAGTGAGGCTACATGTACAGTGTGGCTACATGTATAGTGAGGCTACATGTATAGTAAGGCTACAAGTATAGTGAGGCTACATACACACCGAGGCTACATGTACACTGAGGCTACATGTACACTGAGGCTACATGTACACTGATGCTACATGTGCAGTGAGGCTACATACACACTGAGGCTACATGTACACTGAGGCTACATGTACAGTGCGGCTACATGTACAGTGAGGCTACATGTACACTGAGGCTACATGTATAGTGAGGCTACATGTACAGTGAGGCTACATGTACACTGAGGCTACATGTACAGTGAGGCTACATACACACTGAGGCTACATGTACAGTGCGGCTACATGTACAGTGAGGCTACATGTACAGTGAGGCTACATGTACAGTGAGGCTACATGTACAGTGAGGCTACATACACACTGAGGCTACATGTACACTGAGGCTACATGTACAGTGAGGCTACATGTACAGTGAGGCTACATACACACTGAGGCTACATGTACAGTGAGGCTACATGTACAGTGAGGCTACATGTACACTGAGGTTACATGTACACTGAGGCTACATGTACACTGAGGCTACATGTACAGTGAGGCTACATGTATAGTAAGGCTACATGTACAGTGAGGCTACATGTATAGTGAGGCTACATGTACAGTGAGGCTACATGTACAGTGAGGCTACATGTACAGTGAGGCTACATGTACAGTGAGGCTACATGTATAGTGAGGCTACATGTATAGTAAGGCTACAAGTATAGTGAGGCTACATACACACTGAGGCTACATGTATAGTAAGGCTACATGTACACTGAGGCTACATGTACAGTGAGGCTATATGTACAGTGAGGCAACATGTATAGTAAGGCTACATGTACACTGAGGCTACATGTATCACTTTAAAAAAAAAAAAAGCAGAATACCCTTTAAAATTTACTATGTGAGTATGGGGGATTCTTTCCCTTTATTTGGAAGTGATCAAAAAGTGAAACTGTAATCTGGAAACGTTGTGTTGATATTCATTCATTCATAATCTCAAATAAAATGTGCAAACCACTCAGTGAGATGTGCTCTTCAGTTATTTAACGTGTAAATCAGCAGTCATTAGCTGCACTATTGTTAGCCTTTTAGAGCCACATGACTTTAAGTTTAAGTCTAAGGACAAAATATAACATGCCTTTTTTCAAATTTGAATATTCTAATAAGAATTTATTTGATATCTTTAGGTTATTACTGAATTTTTGTTGTACATAAACTCACATGTTGTCATCGTTGAATGATACACAGCTATTAATTCAATCCAGCTTCTGATTCTTTGTAAATTGTGGCCATTTGTTGAATTTAACCACTTATAATTGTTCCCCTTTTGAGTTTTTCTTTTGGTTTTTGTACATATCAAACTTAGCTCCATCACATATTTGCCATTATGTAAATTATTATTAACTTAAAATATGTTGTAATTTGTTTTTGGAAACTAAAAGTTTAAAAGAATTTTTTTTTTATAGTTTAAACATGCATAGTTATAGGAAAAACGAAACGTGACGGCACATGGAACATACTAGGCATGCTGCCCAGCTTCGCTTAGGCTTTCGAAAACATTGAGAATTTGAATGCTTAATTAATTCGCCCGAGGGTCGGTCTACGACCTCAGGAGTTATGAAGAGGTTCCTACATGGACATTTTTTTTTTCGATTTATAGCTCTTATAAGGCGCCGGTCAGTCGAAGTCAGTTTTGACCCCCTCATCGTAGACTTTTCGGCCAACCGGCCCCCGTGTTCTGTCGCCCCAAGGCAAGATCCTGCCAAATTTGAAGCGCCTGCGGCACCGGGAAGTGCCCTATCGGACACCCGACAATCTAGATCTAGATCTAGAATCCTAAGGGAATTTATTTTTTAAGTTTAGCCCGAGCATAATAAAAAAAATACATTATCCAAGTTGACTTGCTGTGTCTCGAACCCGCACCACCTGCGTGGTTTATAGTACACTAACATCTCCGCTATTTAGGCACCTTTTAAAATACGGAGAATGAAACACGTATTTTAAAATCTTAACTTACGCGAATATGCCTATTCTTTCGAATTAATTTTTTTTATCCCAAATTAGCCAGTTCCAAACAAAGATTTTGTATAAAATAAATGTAAGCCCTGCTAGGGGGGGGGGGGGATACCTTAAATCTACTCTACCCTTCCCTAGGCTTATCTAACTAACTACCGTCCGGTCAGTGCAAGCCCGGCTAAACCCAGGCTGGTTAATAACCTAACCTTAGTCTAAATTAAAAACAAAAAAACTTTTAACAATCATATAAAATTTATTTAACAAAATATGGAACCAAAAGTTATTATAAAAAAACTAGAATCTAGATCTAGACAAAACAAAACACTCAAGACATACAAAACAAACAGAACTCAACGAAACAAAACATTACGTTTGACCATTTGATGGTGTTGCGCCGACTTATGATGTCTAGGATGGTCCAGGCCCTGACACACAGAAACCTCCCTTCATCCATTCTCGACATCCAAAAGTCCACACCAAACAAAACACTACGTAAAACCACTACGTACAATACGTTACGTATACAATACATTACGTAGAAAATACGTACACAACAAACTTTTTACACCAAACAAAACAATTCATATATAACAAAACAATTCATATATAACAAAACACCCAGCCAAGTTGCCCAAGCAACCTCACTCCACGCGTGAGGTGCGCCACGCGCCCACACAGAAACCGACCCTATCTAAATCTTGCCGCGGGTCAAAAAAAGGAAGAAAATCGTCCGAGCGGTCAATTTATACTGACCGCTTCGGGTGGGGACCCCGTGGCCGTTCCCCATTGGACCACCATGCACTCCCAGATTCGCAACAAATAAAATAATACAAAATAATCCATTCACCCGCTCACATTCACCCCTTTTAAAAATCTTACAGTCCCTGTAAGACAAAAAAATGCATATAACAATCTTAAAATAAAACATGCACCCATCTCTTACATTCGAATACGCCTTTATTTTTTATTTTTCTTCTTTAAATAAAATTGTGGTTATACATTTAAAACATCTAACATATTATTTTCAACAAAAGTCCGTATAAAGTTCTCCATATATCGCTGCCGATTCTGACGTGATGTCCGGCGAGAATATTTTGCGGACAGACAGAGGGAGAGAAGAGCGCACACAGCCTTTTATATATAAGGATAGTAGAAACGAGTCTGAATCCGGAAAAATGCACACAATAAATTGACGTCATTGATTCTCGAGTAAACAATGAATTAAAAGGCCATAGTAATGACGTCATCGATACTCTGCAATAAAAACACTGGCATTACCGCCTAATGGACGCGAGCGAGAAAGTATTCGAGAGACCCATTAGTTACAATTAATATGGTTATAAAATCCAGTATGTCTGCTTTTTTTCGGACTTTACTAAAGATTGGATGTATTTGATGTTTTTAATATTTTCGGTAACTAAATAAAAAGTAAAAAAAAAAAAAGCAAAAAAAACAATTTGGTTTTCACGTGTAATGGCGAAATAAACAATGGCATCCTGCTATTAGATAGGCTGCCATAAATTTTATTGTACACATTGTAAGGTAAAAATGAAAAAAACTAGGTCATGGGGTTTAAATTTATTTGCATTGTTATTTAAAAACTTGATCTGTAAAGTTTTGTAAACAAATAGTTATCGATCACTGAGTTACTGTACAGCCAATCAATATTTGTCTTACGAAAGTGAAACATCAGGTTACAAATTACGATCGATGAAAATAGAAATGTAGCCTTAAACTCAACAAATTAAATTATTTTTACGGTCTAAATCTAAAAAAAAGCACGTTTTTATTCCATGTCGACAACTTGATGGAAGGATTCTCGTCAACTCACTTGCATCCATTCATTTGTCTAATCTTAAAAGTGGTTTGTGTGCATAGTTTCTTTCATGTATCTTTTCTTGTAGGGGCGAAGCCACTCTCCCCCCCCCCCCCCCCCTCCAGGGTAGAACGTCTAATTCCCCCCCCCTAAAAAACCCAAATATAATTTATTTAGAAAAAAATATCATTTTACCAGTGTCGTCGCCCCCCCCCCCCCCCCCCCGAAGAATTGTATTCGCCCTTGCAAAAATTCAAGATCTAGATCTAGATTCATAACTTTTTCTTAAGACAAGTTTTAAAACTTCTTGAAAAAAAATTATGTGATAATTGACCCTAAGGTGAATTTCATGACGTCACAATTAGACCCGCGTACTCTTGCAGTAATTCCACCAAGTACGCCAATTACGGTCCCACTAATCCAGGGATTACATTAAGTCTTATCCGTTCATACCTAGCTAGACTCAATTAAAGACTTCAAGCTGATCTCTTAGATAACAAGCAACTCCACAACTGGGCTTATGGGGTGACTTGCCGTGAAAGTTGGATCAATACGTATTGTTTCATCAGCACAAAGCCTACTATGTCTAATCATATACACAAACCTGCTATTCTTTGACGTCTGCCAGCTCTCTTCTGCCCGAGTTTTTGCACTTGACCAGAGGTGACCCTAGAAATATTCTCAACACATTTACAAATTTGAAAACGTAATACTGTTCTGGAGACGCCTCTGATTTCTAACAGCTTTACCTAAAGTTTTTGTCAATGTTGTGTTGACGGCTAGGAGATTTTTTTTTCCACTTCTTCAAGTTAAGCCAGCAGAAATCTTGTAGTAAACCCACGTCAACGATAATAAATTATGTTCTGTTTCAGTAAACGATAGAGTAGATAACGAAGATAAAAAGAAGATTGAGCCGATATGACAATGTCTGTGTATAGTACAGCCCATTCCGTTAAATACCAGACAGAATAAGAGGAGTCTGCTCATTTGTCTCCATGTCTTAGCACTTGAGAACATTTATAATTTGTATTTCAAATAGGAGATAAGACTATCTTAGTCAGTTTCGTTTGTGTCCATTGGAAAATTCGGTCTCTTGAGAGGTAGGGATGAACACGGTTACACATTTTGAAGTTAGAGTTTGTGTAGCATTACATAACTCAGAGAGTGTACCATGACTAATGAAGGTTGTTGTACAAATTTGTAACATAATTGATTTATAGACAGTGGGTTGACGTAATGGCTTTCTGTATTCAATTCATATCAGTCATCCCCCCTCACTCCTGCTGGAGTAAGGGCCACCAACTACAGCCAGAGTTCTCTGTCCTGCTGGAGTATGGGCCACCAACTACAGCTCTCCAGAGTTCTCTGTCCTGCTGGAGTATGGGCCACCAACTACAGCTCTCCAGAGTTCTCTGTCCTGCTGGAGTATGGGCCACCAACTACAACTCTCCAGAGTTCTCTGTCCTGCTAGAGTATGGGCCACCAACTACAGCCATAGTTCTCTGTCCTGCTGGAGTATGGGCCACCAACTACAGCCAGAGTTCTCTGTCCTGCTGGAGTATGGGCCACCAACTACAGCTCTCCAGAGTTCTCTGTCCTGCTGGAGTATGGGCCACCAACTACAGCTCTCCAGAGTTCTCTGTCCTGCTGGAGTATGGGCCACCAACTACAGCTCTCCAGAGTTCTCTGTCCTGCTGGAGTATGGGCCACCAACTACAACTCTCCAGAGTTCTCTGTCCTGCTGGAGTATGTGCCACCAACTACAGCTCTCCAGAGTTCTCTGTCCTGCTGGAGTATGGGCCACCAACTACAGCTCTCCAGAGTTCTCTGTCCTGCTGGAGTAAGGGCCACCAACTACAGCCAGAGTTCTCTGTCCTGCTGGACTATGGGCCACCAACTACAGCCAGAGTTCTCTGTCCTGCTGGACTATGGGCCACCAACTACATCTCTCCAGAGTTCTCTGTCCTGCTGGAGTATGGGCCACCAACTACAGCCAGAGTTCTCTGTCCTGCTGGAGTATGGGCCACCAACTACAGCCAGAGTTCTCTGTCCTGCTGGACTATGGGCCGCCAAATAAAGCTCTCCAGAGTTCTCTGTCCTGCTGGACTATGGGCCGCCAAATAAAGCTCTCCAGAGTTCTCTGTCCTGCTGTCTAGTCATGATTACTGAGGTTTCTCTGATGTTATTTTTCTACCATCCGCCCCCTGATGTAACCGTCATTTTACGATGACAATAGAGATGTATGACGTCACAGGACCTGTTCTGTTACATTCTATCGCACCGAGGCACTGAAATATCAACATCAACATCAAGTTTTACTTCAGCACTAAAGGGTGACACAGCGACATAACCATTGTACTACAGTCGACAGTCAGGCTACAATTTACCTTCAGTTTCTGTAGACAGTCAGGCTAGTTTTGTATTTAAAATGCTACAATTTACCTTCATTTTCTTAGAGTTCTTAATGTGGTTAAACCATAGACAAACTAGTCACATAACTGACAAACTAGTCACATAGCTAACAGACAAACGTTTACTTCCAGAAAACAAAACATGGATCAACGAATCTTTCTTCTCTTCACCATCATTACCTTGTCAACTGCTGAAGTGCAAACAGGTTGTTGTATTTTCTATCAAACTGTTGTTGCTGTTCTTTCTATCAAACTGTTGTTGTTGTATTTTCTATCAAACTGATGCTGTATTTTCAATCAAACTGTGGTTGTTGTATTTTCTATCAAATTATTGTTGTTGTTGTTGTGTTTTCTATTAAACTGATGTTGTATTTTCTATCAAACTCTATTTTCTGTTATTGTATTTTATGTACTTCTGAGTAGCTTGTTATTAGTTGACCTGAAGCTATTGTACGGCAAATAAAAGTTCCTTTACTAATGGGTTAGGGTTAGGGTTAGTTCCTTTACTAATGGGTTAGGGTTAGGGTTAGTTCCTTTACTAATGGGTTAGGGTTAGAGTTAGTTCCTTTACTAATGGGTTAGGGTTAGGGTTAGTTCCTTTACTAATGGGTTAGGGTTAGTTCCTTTACTAATGGGTTAGGGTTAGAGTTAGTTCCTTTACTAATGGGTTAGGGTTAGTTCCTTTACTAATGGGTTAGGGTTAGGGTTAGTTCCTTACTTATGGGTTAGGGTTAGGGTTAGTTCCTTTACTAATGGGTTAGGGTTAGGGTTAGTTCCTTTACTAATGGGTTAGGGTTAGGGTTAGTTCCTTTACTAATGGGTTAGGGTTAGGGTTAGTTCCTTACTTATGGGTTAGGGTTAGGGTTAGTTCCTTTACTAATGGGTTAGGGTTAGGGTTATTTCCTTACTTATGGGTTAGGGTTAGGGTTAGTTCCTTTACTAATGGGTTAGGGTTAGGGTTAGTTCCTTTACTAATGGGTTAGGGTTAGGGTTAGTTCCTTTACTAATGGGTTAGGGTTAGGGTTAGTTCCTTAGCATTTACCCACCTGTCATTAACCTTTACCTACCTGTCATTAGCATTTACCCAGCTGTCATTAGCATTTACCCACCTGTCATTAGCATTTACCTACCTGTCATTAGCATTTACCCACCTGTCATTAGCCTTTGCCCACCTGTCATTAGCATTTACCCACCTGTCATTAGCATTTACCTACCTGTCATTAGCATTTACCCACCTGTCATTAGCATTTACCCACCTGTCATTAGCATTTACCCACCTGTTATTAGCCTTTACCCACCTGTCATTAGCATTTACCCACCTGTCATTAGCATTTACCCACCTGTCATTAGCATTTACCTACCTGTCATTAGCATTTACCCAGCTGTCATTAGCATTTACCCACCTGTCATTAGCATTTACCTACCTGTCATTAGCATTTACCCACCTGTCATTAGCCTTTACCCACCTGTCATTAGCATTTACCTACCTGTCATTAGCATTTACCCAGCTGTCATTAGCCTTTACCCACCTGTCATTAGCATTTACCCACCTGTCATTAGCATTTACCCACCTATCATTAACCTTTACCCACCTGTCATTAGCCTTTACCCACCTGTCATTAGCATTTACCCACCTGTCATTAGCATTTACCCACCTGTCATTAGCGTGTAGTAGTTGGGGTAGGAGAGGGTCGGGAAGTCACTTTTCATGTACCCAGCTCGTACCCCAAGGTCAAAAACACGCTGGAAACTTTTAAGGTTGAACTGTGGATAAAACAGGTCGATTGGTGTTGCTGGTGTCGCTACGTAGGAACTGTTGCTGTTAATGTTGTCATTGTGGTATTGTTGCTGCTGATGTTGCTACATAGGTATTGCTGCTGTTGATGTTGTCATTGTGGTATTGTTGCTGCTGATGTTGCTACATAGGTATTGTTGTTGTTGATGTCGTTGTGGCATTGTTGCTGATGATGTTGCTACATAGGTATTGTTGTTGTTCATGTCGTTGTGGTATTGTTGCTGATGATGTCGCTACATAGGTATTGTTGTTGTTGATGTTGTTATTGTGGTATTGTTGTTGTTGTGGTATTGGTGTTGTTGATGTTGTTGTTAGATCAGTTTTTGATGCTATATACATAAATCACTTTTGAAGATTTAGTTTTATTAATGATTTATAAAATGCGATTAAAACTTTCTCATATAATCCCTAATCCCTTACTTTCTCATATAATCCCTAATCCCTTACTTTCTCGGCATAATCCCACCTAAATCCGTCAAGCAGTACAATCAATAGGGGTTCTGACGTTGTCATGGCAACACATGACCACGTGACACAGGCAAGCATCGCGAGCTCAAATGACGTCATAGTTCAACAGGAAGCTGTTTGCTGTAGACAATATGTGAAGCTGTTTGCTGTAGACAAAATCAACACCTGCAGCATGAAAAACTCGGCCTGCCCTCATTATTTGAGTCAGCAGATAATGACCAAGTTAAAAAATCAGTTTGAGTCTTTTAAGTCAGCAGATAATGACCAAGTTAAAAAAAAAAATTAAATCGTGCAGTAATGTACGCAGCAGTGTTTGAAGAGTTGGGTTCGACCAATATTGTTGACTAATATTGTCGACCAATATTGTCGACCAATATTGTTGACTAATAATGTTGACCAATATTGTTGACTAAGAAAAAAAAAATTATTTAGATTCACACATCAACGTGGTCGTAAAATAAAAAGTAATTATAAGAAACTTAAGCCTGGAAATAATTCAGATTGAAAATGTACAACATCAATGTTATAAAAGTTGAAATTCAAGAGAACTCGAAAATATTGTTTTGAGTTTAAGGCTACATTTCTAATTATTTTGATAACGCCTAAGTTATAACCCGAAGCTTCACTTTTGAAGGACGAGCATTGGTTGGCTGTACAGGAACTCCGTGATCGATATTCTAAAACAAAATTAAAAATAAAAGAAAAACCTCATATTAATTTGTACTCAAAAATTTACCGATAAAAATTGTTTTAAATAAAATTACTTTTTAAAACCAAATGTCTTAGTTCTGCCATGATGGTTGTCATTTTGTGTGGTAAAATATGCAAACAACAAAATTAATTTTGCATATTTACTTTCTCGCAATCGGAGTATAGAGTAAGTACTAGTGCGAAAAACTGAAATCGATATTTTCACAAAGCTCGACGTTTCAGACATCCCTGATTGAGAGAAACCAATTTTACAATCTTGTCTGTATATCTGTGTGTGTCTCTGTGTGTCTGTGTGTGTCTCTGTGTGTCTCTGTGTATCTGTGTATCTGTGTGTGTCTCTGTGTATCTGTGTGTCTCTGTGTATCTGTGTGTGTCTCTGTGTATCTGTGTGTGTCTCTGTGTATCTGTGTGTGTCTCTGTGTATCTGTGTGTGTCTCTGTGTATCTGTGTGTGTCTCTGTGTATCTGTGTGTGTCTCTGTGTATCTGTGTGTCTCTGTGTATCTGTGTGTGTCTCTGTGTATCTGTGTGTGTCTCTGTGTGTTTGTGTGTGTCTCTGTGTATCTGTGTGTGTCTCTGTTTATCTGTGTGTGTCTCTGTGTATCTGTGTGTGTTTCTGTGTGTTTGTGTGTGTCTCTGTGTATCTGTGTGTTTGTGTGTATCTGTGTGCGTCTCTATGTATCTGTGTGTCTCTGTGTATCTGTGTGTGTCTCTGTGTGTCTGTGTGTGTCTCTGTGTGTCTCTGTGTATCTGTGTATCTGTGTGTGTCTCTGTGTATCTGTGTGTCTCTGTGTATCTGTGTGTGTCTCTGTGTATCTGTGTGTGTCTCTGTGTATCTGTGTGTGTCTCTGTGTATCTGTGTGTGTCTCTGTGTATCTGTGTGTGTCTCTGTGTATCTGTGTGTGTCTCTGTGTATCTGTGTGTGTCTCTGTGTATCTGTGTGTGTCTCTGTGTATCTGTGTGTCTCTGTGTATCTGTGTGTGTCTCTGTGTATCTGTGTGTGTCTCTGTGTGTCTCTGTGTATCTGTGTGTTTGTGTGTATCTGTGTGTGTCTCTGTGTATCTGTGTGTGTGTCTGTGTATATGTGTGTGTCTCTGTATCTGTGTGTGTCTCTGTGTATCTGTGTGTGTCTCTGTGTGTGTCTCTGTGTGTGTCTGTGTGTGTCTCTGTGTGTGTCTGTGTGTTTGTGTGTGTCTGTGTGTGTCTGTGTATATGTGTGTGTCTCTGTGTATCTGTGTGTGTCTGTGTGTTTGTGTGTGTATGTGTGTGTCTCTGTGTATCTGTGTGTGTAAGTGTGTTTGTGTGTGTCTCTGTGTGTCTCTGTGTTTCTCTGTGTATCTGTGTGTGTCTGTGTGTTTGTGTGTGTCTGTGTGTGTCTCTGTGTATCTGTGTGTGTCTGTGTGTTTGTGTGTGTCTGTGTGTGTCTGTGTATCTGTTTGTGTCTCTGTGTATCTGTTTGTGTCTGTGTGTTTGTGTGTGTCTGTGTGTGTCTCTGTGTATCTGTGTGTGTCTGTTTGTGTGTCTGTGTGTGTCTCTGTGTATCTGTGTGTGTCTGTGTGTTTGTGTGTGTCTGTGTGTGTCTCTGTGTATCTGTGTGTGTCTGTGTGTTTGTGTGTGTCTGTGTGTGTCTGTGTGTGTCTCTGTGTATCTGTGTGTGTCTCTGTGTTTCTTTGGACATAATAACTTGAGTACCGTACATCTTAGTTGATGAAATGGCATACATAAGTATAACATCAAATGGTTTTTCAGAATCCTATCAATTGAGTACTATTTCTGATAGGTCATCGAATTTTCATAAATAAGTAAAATATGTAATTCTCTGTTATCTATCAAATTTTGAATAATTTCCGATTATCGGAAGTAGTAATTTACGCTATTTCCAATTTCTCAAAAACATATGAATTTATAAAGTACTAATGATCCGCACTATTATACACACATTGCTTGCTGTTCACTTGGTGCGAAGTTCTCTTTTCTACGAGATTCTATTCTATTTTAAAAAGTTTAAGTAAGTAAATATTGATTAAAAGAATGCCTATATCCCAAGTTGCCATACTTAGTAGTGTTATATAAGAATATTCGAGAAAGTTCAGGGGATATCACTCCCGCTTTATGTAAAATTGTGTTTTAAAACATCAAATACTTCCATGTTAAGCCCGCCATAAACAGTCATGTTTGTATAACAATATTTATTTAAATAACATCGTATAGCCTTTAAAAATATTTCCTTCAACATTTCGAGAGTATTCAAGACCGCGTCCATTGAAATAACTAAGGGAAATAACTGTGTTAGTTTTCAGCCTAGTGAACTGCGTTTTGTTTACCAATTTTTACAGGTGGTGTGGATGCTGTAAGGTAATCAAATTCTCCATTTCTGACGACTACAAATTTAAGTACATGGCGCATTATAACAATCACTTATATTGAAGATGGATTTCAACTTATATAGGCCCTCAGTAGGCCTTTATCACCTGTAAATATATCTTTAATATCCATCGACTTGTCTACTATGTAAACTATAGAAGAACCAAAGAAGGAAAATGGTTACTAGATCTAGAAAGTATAACAAAGGCTTGTAAAAAACGTTTCATTTGACATTAAAGCAGGAAAGCCAATCACATTGTAAGCATGTGCACTTACGACTTTTTCCTTATAGATGTTAGTTTTTTAAGGCAACTTCAACTAAACCAAGTAAAAACATTTTGAAGAAGATTAGATAGTTATCTAATATTTAGCTGGTGTGTTTCACACAGCTTGTAAACAAATACAGGTGTGTTGTTCTTACCTGAGTGCTGGGGTCAAGTGGGGAGCTGTCAAACACGGCACAGGTACACGCCGTCTCCTGACACGGCTAATCAAGTCATGACAGAATAATTACATGGCTAATTAACTTACAGAAGTTAATGAAGGTCAGAGCGGAATAAACATGTTCTCTGGTCTTCTGCTGGAGCTGTCAATCAATGACACGGCCCCGCCCACACATACACACGTGCCATTGTGTTGTTGCGCTCTGTGAAACTTGCACTTTAAGTTGTTTACAGATATTTGACTCGTAAAGACCACGTGACAGTTCTATCATGGCCGCTACAATATGAAAACAGGATGTGGCTCTCAGCCCATCCGTGGGGGGGGGGGGGGGGGTTAGGTCACGGGGAGAAGGTGGAAGGAAGCCAGTGTGTGTATACTGACCTACACAGTGTGTATATACTAATCTACACAGTGTGTGTATACTGACCTACACAGTGTATATATACTGACCTACACAGTGTGTGCATACAGACCTACAGAGAGTGAACCTATAGACCTTCTGAGTGTGTTGTATACCGACCTACAATACGTTAAGCATCGGGTTAGGTCAGGTTAAGCCCGGTTAGGCCCGGTTAGGTTTATTTAACGAACACAAAAATAGTTGAGGGAAAGAACTCGTGGGCAGGGAATCATTTTCTCAAATTAAACACAATTAAACACAAGTTAACACAAGTTAACACAAGTATTAGCTGAAGGATGTGTCTTCAAGTATGTAAACAACGTGAGACGTTTGTTCAAGATTTATTGTTCTGTTCCTGTTTCACGATACCAATCACGATACCACACGACGATACCACACTACGATACCACACATTGACTGATATTCGTCAGAAGAAAATCTATTCTAGCGTCAAGGCTGGAAAAAAAATCGAGATATTTTTTAAGCTTTATACTCCAGTCTAAGTGAACTTTATACTCCAGTCTAAGTAAAACTTTATACTCAAGTATAAGTAAAACTTTATACTCAAGTCTAAGTAAAACTTTATACTCAAGTCTAAGTAAAACTTTATACTCCAGTCTAAGTAACCTTTATACTCCAGTCTAAGTAAACTTTATACTTCAGTCTAAGTAAAACTTTATACTCAAGTATAAGTAAAACTTTATACTCAAGTCTAAGTAAAACTTTATACTCAAGTCTAAGTAAAACTTTATACTCCAGTCTAAGTAACCTTTATACTCCAGTCTAAGTAAACTTTATACTTCAGTCTAAGTAAACTTTATACTCCAGTCTAAGTAAACTTTATACTTCAGTCTAAGTAAACTTTATACTCAAGTCTAAGTAAAACTTTATACTCCAGTCTAAGTAAAACTTTATACTCCAGTCTAAGTAAAACTTTACACTCCAGTCTAAGTAACCTTTATACTCCAGTCTAAGTAAAACTTTATACTCCAGTCTAAGTAAAACTTTACACTCCAGTCTAAGTAACCTTTATAATCCAGTCTAAGTAAAACTTTACACTCCAGTCTAAGTAAAACTTTATACTCCAGTCTAAGTAAAACTTTATACTCCAGTCTAAGTAACCTTTATAATCCAGTCTAAGTAAGCTTATACTCCAGTCTAAGTAACCTTTATACTCCAGTCTAAGTAAAGTTATGAAATGGACGTTGGGACATTTTTAAAATACAAATGTAATACAGGCCTAGGCGTCTTGTGTCTGCATTTTTCACAACGTGATCGCTAGTCTGATCTTAACCACAAATTAGTCCTAATGCGTTTTAATTAGTCCTTATGTTAATGACAGTTTCAATTAGAACCTAAGTTTTTGACAGTTTTTATTAAAACATTGCGTTAATGCTCTTTAAATTGTTAGCAATAATAAAATATAATCTTAATTTAATGCAAAGGTTTTAAAATATGGGATAACAAAAAGCTACTTTTGATTTTTTCAAGAGTCGGTTAATCTTGAGTGATGACCCATTATTTGGGGCGGGGCGGAGTCCGAGAATGGAACACATGATGTTGTAGGGGTCGACAGCATTGATGTAGTCCACGGTTGACTGGGGTTTGAAACCTGGGAACAGAAGTTGCTCTAGCAGTTGCTGAAGTTATGACAAATCCTATGTGACATTTCGGATGGGCTGTCCGAAAAGTTGGACATAATATGGTTCATCTGTGTGGTAGAATGGTGACCCTTACTTAGGGTGTCGCCTAAGATTGTAAACTTCATTATTGTTCAAGATGGCTTAAACATTAAAAACTTCATTATTGTTCAAGGTAACTTAAACAATTAAAAACTACACTTACTTTCCTTTGATGTGATACCAATTTTATTTATCAAAGAGATAAAGAGATGCCTGGAAGAAACTCTGAGAGTATTATTCCTGCTAGTACCGCATGTTGCACACTAGTTAGGTGTTAAGTATTTATTTAAGTAGTTCTTGCTGTGCTACTTATTGGCAGTAACATATTTTATTGACCCGTGTATGTTTGTAGCCTACACGTGGTATTATCATTGATGTAACCTTTTGTTTACATTTGTTTTAGGGCTACAGTTTCCTTATTCATTATTCATCTCTAATCGTCGTACTACTGTTGTTCTACATCGCCATCATGGCTTGATGTACTGTTGAATAAATTCAATCAGTGGACAACAGCGTCGCTTCAATTTGTCCTAAATCTCAGGGTCAGCCCGTCTTAACCACAACTCCTGAGTGGGTAAAAAAAGCATCCCCACTGAGTGAGGGTTACATCTGCTAGATTTATTTCCATTCAAATACATGGCGGCCAAAATGGGCGGGCTTAGTTAGATGATGTCTAGATTAAGTTATTTTTTCATGTTTTGTTTTTATCCTGTATGCTTTCAAAAAAAAAAATAATGAAATTATTTTAGTAGGATGCAATATATAATTTTCTATAGTTTACAATACTTTTGAGTAAGTTTACAACAATGTTAAATAAAGCAATTCACATTTTGCTTACTTTTATTATGTTCTGCTTGATATTATCAGCGATTAGATTTAAAAAAATGTACAAATGACAATTTTGCGTCAAATTCGAATCACCCATTGTTAAAATTAGATCAGTATCGTTGAATAATATACAAAAATAACGATTTTAAGAATATATTTCTGAAATGACCATCAAATATTGTTTAAAAAACGGAATCACGGTATCGTTGTATTCGACTGCCGTTATTACCATTACGACGGTAAAAAATGTAGGTCAAGTGACAACCTGCCCTTACTTTATCTAACACCCAACAACTAGATTATCTCCCTTACTTGGTCCACCAACTAGATTATCTCCCTTACTTGGTCCAACAACTAGATTATCTCCCTTACTTGGTCTAACAACTAGATTATCTCCCTTACTTGGTCCACCAACTAGATTATCTCCCTTACTTGGTCCACCAACTAGATTATCTCCCTTACTTGGTCCACCAACTAGATTATCTCCCTTACTTGGTCCAACAACTAGATTATCCCCCTTACTTGGTCCAACAAAAAACTTGGTCTAACAACTAGATTATCCCCCTTACTTGGTCCAACAACTAGATTATCTCCCTTACTTGGTCTAACAACTAGATTATCCCCCTTACTTGGTCCAACAGCTAGATTATCCCCCTTACTTGGTCCAACAGCATAAAATATTCCCCTCATGTCTGCTTGATTGTTGTCGTACCCGTGGCTGGCGACAAATGTGGAGTTCTTCTTCGTTGGGAAACCGGAGAAAGGCTGAAATACAGTCAACATTGGGGAACCACAACATTGGGGAACAAAAGGGTGAAATACAGTCAACATTTGGGAACCACAACATTGGGGAACAAAAGGGTGAAATACAGTCAACATTTGGGAACCACAACATTGGGGAACCAAAGGATGAAATACAGTCAACATTGGGGAACCACAACATTGGGGAACAAAAGGGTGAAATACAGTCAACATTTGGGAACCACAACATTGGGGAACCAAAGGATGAAATACAGTCAACATTGGGGAACCACAACATTGGGGAACCAAAGAATGAAATACAGTCAACATTGGGGAACCACAACATTGGGGAACCAAAGGATGAAATACAGTCGACATTTGGGAACCAAAGACTGAAATACAGTCGACATTGGGGAACCACAACATTGGGGAACCAAAGGATGAAATACAGTCAACATTGGGGAACCAAAGGATGAAATACAGTCAACATTGGGGAACCAAAGGATGAAATACAGTCAACATTGGGGAACAAAAGGATGAAATACAGTCAACATTGGGGAACCAAAGGCTGAAATACAGTCGACATTTGGGAACCAAAGACTGAAATACAGTCGACATTTGGGAACCAAAGTCTGAAATACAGTCGACATTGGGGAACCAAAGACTTAAATACAGTCGACATTGGGGAACCAAAGGCTGAAATACAGTCAACATTGGGGAACCAAAGGCTGAAATACAGTCAACATTGGGGAACCACAACATTTGGGAACCAAAGAATGAAATACAGTCAACATTGGGGAACCACAACATTGGGAAACCAAAGGATGAAATACAGTCGACATTTGGGAACCAAAGACTGAAATACAGTCGACATTGGGGAACCACAACATTGGGGAACCAAAGGATGAAATACAGTCAACATTGGGGAACCAAAGGATGAAATACAGTCAACATTGGGGAACAAAAGGATGAAATACAGTCAACATTGGGGAACCAAAGGCTGAAATACAGTCGAAATTTGGGAACCAAAGACTGAAATACAGTCGACATTTGGGAACCAAAGTCTGAAATACAGTCGACATTGGGGAACCAAAGACTGAAATACAGTCGACATTGGGGAACCAAAGGCTGAAATACAGTCAACATTGGGAAACCAAAGGCTGAAATACAGTCAACATTGGGGAACCAAAGGCTGAAATACAGTCAACATTGGGGAACCAAAGTCTGAAATACAGTCAACATTGGGGAACAAAAGAATGAAATACAGTCAACATTGGGGAACAAAAGGATGAAATTCAGTCAACATTGGGGAACAAAAGGATGAAATACAGTCAACATTGGGGAACAAAAGGATGAAATTCAGTCAACATTGGGGAACAAAAAGATGAAATACAGCCAACATTGGGGAACAAAAGGATGAAATACAGTAAACATTGGGGAACAAAAGGATGAAATACAGTCAACATTGGGGAACCAAGACTGAAATACATTCAACATTGGGAAGCCAAAGGCTGAAATACAGACAACATTGGGGAACTGAATGTTTCGGTTTTCCAATTAGATTTCGCTTGAAATCTAAAGTGCATCCTTGAGTTCACCCAGCTCTGACGGGTACCTGACTCAGGTTAGGGAAGATAAGGCGGATGGGCATAGTGCTGACCACATGATTGATTCGTTATTCAAAGTGTTGGTTATTCATTTTCGATTCATTAATACCACATTCGATTGGGGAATAATAATTATTGATTAATCAAATCCACGCTCAAGTGAGGGTTAATCATGATTAACCGCAGACAGATCTATTAAAGAAGAGAAATAACTCCAACTGACATGAATTATGGTCCATCCCAGGTCAGCCACACATGTGAGAGGGGAGACATGCTTTCCATGCTTGTAGAAAAACCTGCTGGGAATGTCCGACTTTTTGTAGACTTTCATGTGAGGGCTAAACGTCTTTAGTAGGGTGTACACCTAGTGGGAAATTTTAAAGCGTGCTTTACAAACTACTAACTGTAGAGCACGCAATGGTCTACTAGATTAACGAACTCATTGTCTTATTCAATTTTTTTTTAAAATAAATATAATCATGTACAATAAATAGATATATTTTTAAACAGCATTCACATACGATAATGAAACGAATGTCTTTAAATAAAATATTGCATGACTATAAATATAACACATACAAGAGTTGATCTCTCATACAATTTCAGTAATGGGAATTCATGTGTAAATAAATATGAGTACCATCCATTTTACATCAGTACACATACATGCATATACAGATATATATATATATATATAGAATATATATATATTTATATATATATATATATATATATATATATATATATATATATATATATATACATATATATATATATATATATTTATATGCAGCTTGGGTGGGTGGGGGAGTGTTTACCTTATCCACAGCAGCTGGGGTGGGTGGGGGAGTGTTTACCTTATCCACAGCAGCTGGGGTGGGTGGGGGAGTGTTTACCTTATCCACAGCAGCTGGGGTGGGTGGGGGAGTGTTTACCTTATCCACAGCAGCTGGGGTGGGTGGGGGAGTGTTTACCTTATCCACAGCAGCTGGGGTGGGTGGGGGAGTGTTTACCTTATCCACAGCAGCTGGGGTGGGTGGGGGAGTGTTTACCTTATCCACAGTAGCTGGGGTGGGTGGGGGGGTGTTTACCTTATCCACAGTAGCTGGGGTGGGTGGGGGAGTGTTTACCTTATCCACAGCAGCTGGGGTGGGTGGGGGAGTGTTTACCTTATCCACAGTAGCTGGGGTGGGTGTGGGAGTGTTTACCTTATCCACAGTAGCTGGGGTGGGGTAGTGTTTACCTTATCCACAGCAGCTGGGGTGGGTGGGGGAGTGTTTACCTTATCCACAGCAGATGGGGTGGGGTAGTGTTTACCTTATCCACAGCAGCTGGGGTGGGTGGGGGAGTGTTTACCTTATCCACAGCAGCTGGGGTGGGTGGGGGAGTGTTTACCTTATCCACAGCAGCTGGGGTGGGTGGGGGAGTGTTTACCTTATCCACAGTAGCTGGGGTGGGTGGGGGAGTGTTTACCTTATCCACAGCAGCTGGGGTGGGTGGGGTAGTGTTTACCTTATCCACAGCAGCTGGGGTGGGTGGGGGAGTGTTTACCTTATCCACAGCAGCTGGGGTGGGTGGGGGAGTGTGTACCTTATCCACAGCAGCTGGGGTGGGTGGGGGAGTGTTTACCTTATCCACAGTAGCTGGGGTGGGTGGGGGAGTGTTTACCTTATCCACAGTAGCTGGGGTGGGTGGGGGAGTGTTTACCTTATCCACAGTAGCTGGGGTGGGTGTGGGAGTGTTTACCTTATCCACAGTAGCTGGGGTGGGGTAGTGTTTACCTTATCCACAGCAGCTGTGGTGGGTGGGGGAGTGTTTACCTTATCCACAGCAGATGGGGTGGGGGAGTGTTTACCTTATCCACAGCAGATGGGGTGGGGGAGTGTTTACCTTATCCACAGCAGCTGGGGTGGGGGAGAAAATGTTGGTCACAGCCCCAGCCTCTACGATGATCGTGTACAGGTTCGGCTCGCTGGTTAAGACAGGTGTGAGGTCAATGGTTCTAGACGTGTCCACAGGTGTCATGCCATGGTCTGACACCACCAACAGGTTGATCTGAAACTAAAAGATCAAGTCAAGGAGTCATTCAGTCATGTTGATAAAGTCAAGTTTTCTATGAATCGAGTCATTCGGTCATGTTGATAAAGTCAAGTTTTCTATGAATCGAGTCATTCAGTCATGTTGATAAAGTCAAGTCTTCTATGAATCGAGTCATTCAGTCATGTTGATAAAGTCAAGTCTTCTATGAATCGAGTCATTCAGTCATGTTGACTGATGGACTGTGTAAAGCCCGAAGTGTGTGAGTTCATTGACCTGTTTGTATCTGATGATGTAATCGATGACGTCACCCATCGCTCCATCTGCGTCACGAAGAGTCTGTGCTAATTGTGATGACTCGACGCCATACTGGTGGGCGATAGAATCCGTTGGTAGATAGTACACGACTGCTTGAAGGAATAAAGTGACAGAAACACAATCATTTACAGGGAACATTCAAGGGAACAGTCAAGGGAACATTCAAGGGAACAAATCAATTTTTAAACTTACATGTGTTTTAATGACAGAAGTATTAGACACAGTCAATACGTATGTGTGTGTGAGAGCGTGTAGTACTATGTGCGTTAATCGTTTCGTGTGTGTGTGTGTGTGAGCGTGTAGTACTATGTGCGTTAATCGTTTCGTGTGTGTGAGTAGGTGTGCGTGGGAATTTTAGTGAAGTTATATGTGAATATGTGTTTGTATATGTATCTATGAGTGTGTGTGTATGTTTGTGTAAATATATTAATGTGTATATGTAATTACTATGTGTGTGTGTGCTTGTGTTTGTGGATTTGTGTGTAGTTTTGTGTGTGGGGGTTTGTGTTTGTGGGTTTGTGTGTGTGGGTTTGTGCGTTGGTTTGTGTGTGGGGGTTTATGTGTGGGGGTTTGTGTTTGTGGGTTTGTGTGTTGGGGTTTGTGTGTGAGGGTTGGTATGTGGGGGTTTGTGTGTGGGGGGTTTGTGTGTGGTGATTTATGTGGGGGGGTTGTGTGTGGGGCTTTGTGTTTGTGGGTTTGTGTGTGTGGGTTTGTGTGTGTGGGTTTGTGTGTTGGGGTTTGTGTGTGAGGGTTGGTATGTGGGGGTTTGTGTGTGGTGATTTGTGTGGGGGGTTTGTGTGTGGGGGTTTGTGTGTGGGGGTTTGTGTGTGGGGGTTTGTGTGTAGGGGTTTGTGTGTGGGGGTTTGTGTGTGTGGGTTTGTGCGTGTGGGTTTGTGTGTGTGGGTTTGTGTGGGGGTTTGTGTGGGTGAATTTGTGTGTGTACGTGAGGTGTGAATGAGCCCAAGTACACGTGACCTGCCAAGTCCGTTGTTCCAGTGGTCAGCAGTTGCAGGCTCTCGTCTAGAGCATCCTGGAAGTCTTCCAACGTCTGCTCGTATGTAAAGTTACGACAGTAGGTTGGGGTGACGCCCCTGATGGTCACCTCACACCCCGGCCAATAGAACATGTAGCTGCTTTTCTTCTGGTGCGTAAAAAGTTTGTTCATCAACATAAGTTGGTTCATTCTGGGATTTATTTTTAGATTGAAGGTGATTATTTTACCAAAAGAAAACTACATCAAGTAGCGCCAGATGTTTATTTCAGTGTACATCATGTCACGGAGAATTATTGGATAGAAGTCGGGAAAAAATTAGTTCCAATATTTGGGGTTTTAATGTTGGAATATCAGCATTTTAAAAATACATCAAAACTGATGCGTCAATAAGTATAATAAGTTGCTTGTCAAATAGAGAAAAATTAATAAACACATACACAGCTCACACAAACACAACAATGCACCTTTACACACACAAACAACGGTACCCACCAATGACCCACCTGTAGACCCACCAATGACCCACCTGTAGACCCACCAATGACCCACCTGTAGACCCACCAATGACCCACCTGTAGACCCACCAATCACCCACCTGTAGACCCACCAATGACCCACCTTTCTCCACACCCACCTGTAAAACAGCTGTAACCCATAGAGGCTCCCCACCGTCCCACCAGTGGGCCTTGAAGGAGTCTTTGTTGATGCCATTGAGGAAAGCCTCGTGTTTGACGTCATCATACATGAAGTTGCCTGTTATACCGTGGCTTTCTGTGTGAAGACCTAGACAAATGTCAAGGACATTGAAAGGTCGCGGGTATACCTGGACACAAGGGCAATACATTTCAAGGTCATTTAAAGGTCGTCTATATACCTGGACAAGAGAGGCAACAAATGTCAAGGTCATGTACAGATCAGTTCAATTTTGCCACATTAGGTGACGTCTAAACATGTAGGCTAAACAAAGAATACCTGCAAGTGTTGAACCATTTGTTATTCTCGGCTCACCTGTCATAATAGTGTAGTAGTTCGGGAAGGAGAGGGTAGGGTAGTCACTTTTCATGTAGCCAGCTCTTGCACCAAGTGTATGAATGCGCTTCAAACTCTTCATGTCAAACTGGTGATTTTTATATATATCTAATATATAAAGCTCAATTCTGTATGTAAAAATAAATTTGTTTGTCGTGGACATACTTCAATGGATTTAAGTGTTAGACTATTATCGTGCGCATTTGTCTAAATTTATGAGTTAAAAAATTACTATTGAAAGTGTTGGGAAATAATTTTCATTTTTCAAACTGATAGTAATAATTGTCGGCATGTTCATTAAACACAATTTAAAAAAAATATCATCTTTTACAAAAATTCTAATTATGTCTTTATTTAGTCCTATAGCGCAAACTTCCCTTTGATAAATTAGGAAAACACAATTACTTCCCTTTATAATTAGTGGAAAAGAATTTACTTTTTATTACTTTGTTTTGGTGTTGGGAAAAAAATAATTACATAATTAGCGAGGATTGATCAAGAGAAATGTTGTAGGTATTTTACGGATAAGCTTGGAGTATTATAATTGTTCATTTGGTTTGGTTTGGCAACTACGTTCGTTTAAGTGAGTGCAAAAGACTATGAATTAGTTGGGGTACTTTAGTCGTTTATTAAGCTGAAACAGGCGATTCATTAAACACAATTTAAAAAAAAAATATCATCTTTTACAAAAATTCTAATTGTCTGAAAATTATTTATATTTAGTCCTTTAGCACTTACTTCCCTTTGATAAATTAGGAAAACACAATTCCTTCCCTTTATAAAACATTGCATTAGTGGAAAAGAATTTACTTTTTATTACTTTGTTTTGGTGTTGGGAAAAAAATAATTATATAATTAGCGGAAATTGATCAAGAGAAATGTTGTAGGTATTTTACGGATAAGCTTGGAGTATTATAATTGTTCATTTGGTTTGGTTTGGCAACTACGTTCGTTTAAGTGAGTGCAAAAGACTATGAATAAGTTGGGGTACTTTAGTCGTTTATTAAGCTGAAACAGGCGATTCTGCCCCGGGCTAGACTGTGAGCACTTTGCGTTTATGTTCGCGTTTGTGTTTTCATTGTGTTTAGGTTGGGTTTGCGTTAGTGGTTGCGTTTTGATTTGGTTCGTTTTTGTTCTTTCTTTTTTCGTTTTCGTTTGTGTTTTTTTCTTTGGGTTTGTGTTTGTATTTGTGTTTGTGGTTGGTTTGGCGTTTGGATTTGGTTTGTTTTCGTTTGCTTTTTCGTTTGTTTTTTTTTTCTTTGTGTTCGTATTGGTGTTTGTGGTTGTGGTTGGGTTTGTTGTTAGGGTTTTGTTTTCGTTTGCTTTTTTGTTTGTTTTTTATTTGTGTTTGTATTGGTGTTTGTGGTTGTGTTTGTTGTTAGGTTTTTGTTTTCGTTTGTATTTGTAATTGTGTTAGCGTTATGTTTGCGTTTTGTTGTTTTGGTTTTGGTTGGTTGTGGTTTGGGTGGGCAATGCCGGGTTTATGATGATTACTAAACACACAGGTAATGGTCTTTAACAGAAAGGTTTTTCACAGAAGCCATATATATATATATATCCAACAAAAACTTACCTTGTCCACGTAGTCCCACCTGACACCATCCAACAAAAACTTACCTTGTCCACACAGCCCCACCTGACACCATCCAACAAAAACATACCTTGTCCACGTAGTCCCACCTGACACCATCCAACAAAAACTTACCTTGTCCACGTAGCCCCACGTAGTCCCACATGACACCATCCAACAAAAACTTACCTTGTCCACGTAGTCCAACCTGACACCATCCAACAAAAACTTACCTTGTCCACGTAGTCCCACGTAGTCCCACCTGACACCATCCAACAAAAACTTACCTTGTCCACGTAGCCCCACCTGACACCATCCAACAAAAACTTACCTTGTCCACGTAGTCCCACATGACATCATCCAACAAAAACTTACCTTGTCCACGTAGTCCCACCTGACATCATCCAACAAAAACATACCTTGTCCACGTAGTCCCACCTGACACCATCCAACAAAAACTTACCTTGTCCACGTAGCCCCACGTAGTCCCACATGACACCATCCAACAAAAACTTACCTTGTCCACGTAGTCCCACCTGACACCATCCAACAAAAACTTACCTTGTCCACGTAGTCCCACGTGACACCATCCAACAAAAACTTACCTTGTCCACGTAGTCCCACATGACACCATCCAACAAAAACTTACCTTGTCCACGTAGTCCCACGTAGTCCCACCTGACACCATCCCACAAAAACTTACCTTGTCCACGTAGTCCCACCTGACACCATCCAAAAGAACAACGAGAAGTTTCTGGGACTGCAACGGTTTGAGCTCTACACAAGACCACGTGATCCAGGCCAGAAGAAACAAAGCGCGAGCTATCATCTTGTAAAAGCTGGTGAAAATTGAAATGTTTTTTTATGTTCTGTCTTCACGTATTTGATATGTCATAGATATTTGCTATAAGTCATGCAACAAACAACACTTATTTTTCGTTAAATAATGGATGTAGTGTAAGATTTTTTATAATTCAAACGCATCGTACTAAAAAGAAACCGGGAGTGATCTCCCCTTAACTTTTTCGAATATTCTTATATAGGGAATGGCAACTCGCGATATAGACATGATTTTTAATCCATTTTAAATTACTAAAAATTTAAAAAACAGAATAGAATCTCGTAGAAAAACTATTGCACACCAAGAGAAAGCACAAGTGCATAATACTGCGGAATATTATTAGTACTTTATACATTCACATGCGTTTTTTGAAAAATCGGAAATAGCGTAAATTACTATTTCCGGTCAACAGAATGTACTCAGAATTTGTCAGACGGTAGAAAATTAGATCTTTTACTTACATGTGAAATTTCATTTATCTATCTGAAATAGTACTCAAGTTTTGAAAAATTCAATGCAGAAAAAAAATTCCACTTCCGGTTATTGGAAATCGCTCAATAGTCGATACGGATCTACGATTTTGATATAATACTTATATATGAAATTTCATCAACCTAGCTGTAACGGTACTCAAGTTATCGTGTTTACAGACACACACACATACACACATACATACATACACACACACTCACACTCACAGACATACGGACAAGATTGCAAAACTATGTTTTCCGACTCAGGGAGGTGTAAAACGTCGAGATTTGCAAAAATCTTTTTTTTTTTGCACGATTACAAGACTTTCTCTATACTTCGTATACACGAGAAAGTAAAATATGTTACTTTAATTAAATGTTAGGGTGTTCGTTGGTTTCAATTGTCAGTAACATTTTATTAACTACTTTATAGTTGGTGATACTACAGGTATAGTAAAGCTACACATTTAGTGAGGCTACATACACACTGAGGCTACATGTACAGTGAGGCTACATGTACAGTGAGGCTACATGTACAGTGAGGCTACATGTACAGTGAGGCTACATGTACAGTGAGGCTACATGTATAGTGAGGCTACATGTACAGTGAGGCTACATGTACAGTGAGGCTACATGTACAGTGAGGCTATATTTACAGTGAGGCTACATGTACAGTGAGGCTACATGTACAGTGAGGCTACATGTACAGTGAGGCTACATGTACAGTGAGGCTACATGTACAGTGAGGCTACATGTACAGTGAGGCTGTATGTACAGTGAGGCTACATGTACAGTGAGGCTACATGTACAGTGAGGCTACATGTACAGTGAGGCTACATGTACAGTGAGGCTGTATGTACAGTGAGGCTACATGTACAGTGAGGCTACATGTACAGTGAGGCTACATGTACAGTGAGGCTACATGTACAGTGAGGCTACATGTACAGTGAGGCTACATGTACAGTGAGGCTACATGTACAGTGAGGCTACATGTACAGTGAGGCTGTATGTACAGTGAGGCTGTATGTATAGTGAGGCTACATGTACAGTGAGGCTACATGTATAGTGAGGCTACATGTACAGTGAGGCTACATGTACAGTGAGGCTGTATGTACAGTGAGGCTGTATGTACAGTGAGGCTACATGTACAGTGAGGCTACATGTACAGTGAGGCTACATGTACAGTGAGGCTACATGTACAGTGAGGCGACATGTACACTGAGGCTACATGTACAGTAAGGCTACATGTACAGTGAGGCTACATGTACAGTGAGGCTACATGTACAGTGAGGCTACATGTACAGTGAGGCTGTATGTACAGTGAGGCTACATGTACAGTGAGGCTACATGTACAGTGAGGCTACATGTACAGTGAGGCTACATGTACAGTGAGGCTACATGTACAGTGAGGCTGTATGTACAGTGAGGCTGTATGTACAGTGAGGCTACATACACACTGAGGCTACATATACAGTTAGGCTACATGTATAGTGAGGCTACATGTACACTGAGGCTACATGTACAGTGAGGCTGTATGTACAGTGAGGCTACATGTACAGTGAGGCTACAAACACACTGAGGCTACATATACAGTTAGGCTACATGTACAGTGAGGCTACATATACAGTGAGGCTACATGTACAGTGAGGCTACATGTACAGTGAGGCTACATGTACAGTGAGGCTACATGTACAGTGAGGCTACATGTACAGTGAGGCTGCATGTACAGTGAGGCTACATGTACAGTGAGGCTACATGTACAGTGAGGCTACATGTACAGTGAGGCTGTATGTACAGTGAGGCTACATGTACAGTAAGGCTACATGTACAGTGAGGCTACATACACACTGAGGCTACATATACAGTTAGGCTACATGTACAGTGAGGCTACATGTACAGTGAGGCTACATGTACAGTGAGGCTACTTGTACAGTGAGGCTACATGTACAGTGAGGCTACATGTACAGTGAGGCTACATGTACAGTGAGGCTACATGTACAGTGAGGCTACATGTACAGTGAGGCTACATACACACTGAGGCTACATGTACAGTGAGGCTACATGTACAGTGAGGCTACATGTACAGTGAGGCTACATGTACAGTGAGGCTACATGTACAGTGAGGCTACATGTATAGTGAGGCTACATGTACAGTGAGGCTACATGTACAGTGAGGTTACATGTACAGTGAGGCTACATGTACAGTGAGGCTGTATGTACAGTGAGGCTACATGTACAGTGAGGCTACATACACACTGAGGCTACATATACAGTTAGGCTACATGTACAGTGAGGCTACATGTACAGTGAGGCTACATGTACAGTGAGGCTACATGTACAGTGAGGCTACATGTACAGTGAGGCTTTATGTACAGTGAGGCTACATGTACAGTGAGGCTGTATGTACAGTGAGGCTACATGTACAGTGAGGCTACATACACACTGAGGCTACATATACAGTTAGGCTACATGTACAGTGAGGCTACATGTACAGTGAGGCTACATACACACTGAGGCTACATGTACAGTGAGGCTGTATGTACAGTGAGGCTACATGTACAGTGAGGCTACATACACACTGAGGCTACATATACAGTTAGGCTACATGTACAGTGAGGCTACATGTACAATAAGGCTACATACACACTGAGGCTACATATACAGTTAGGCTACATGTACAGTGAGGCTACATGTACAGTGAGGCTACATGTACAGTGAGGCTACTTGTACAGTGAGGCTACATGTACAGTGAGGCTACATGTACAGTGAGGCTACATGTACAGTGAGGCTACATGTACAGTGAGGCTACATGTACAGTGAGGCTACATACACACTGAGTCTACATGTACAGTGAGGCTACATGTACAGTGAGGCTACATGTACAGTGAGGCTACATGTACAGTGAGGCTACATGTACAGTGAGGCTACATGTACAGTGAGGCTACATGTACAGTGAGGCTACATGTACAGTGAGGCTACATGTACAGTGAGGCTACATGTACAGTGAGGCTACATGTACAGTGAGGCTACATGTACAGTGAGGCTGTATGTACAGTGAGGCTACATGTACAGTGAGGCTACATGTACAGTGAGGCTACATGTACAGTGAGGCTACATGTACAGTGAGGCTACATGTACAGTGAGGCTACATGTACAGTGAGGCTGTATGTACAGTGAGGCTACATGTACAGTGAGGCTACATGTACAGTGAGGCTACATGTACAGTGAGGCTACATGTACAGTGAGGCTACATGTACAGTGAGGCTGTATGTACAGTGAGGCTACGTGTACAGTGAGGCTACATGTACAGTGAGGATGTATGTACAGTGAGGCTACATGTACAGTGAGGCTACATGTACAGTGAGGCTACATGTACAGTGAGGCTACATGTACAGTGAGGCTGTATGTACAGTGAGGCTACATGTACAGTGAGGCTGTATGTACAGTGAGGCTACATGTACAGTGAGGCTACATGTACAGTGAGGCTACATGTACAGTGAGGCTACATGTACAGTGAGGCTACATGTACAGTGAGGCTACATGTACAGTGAGGCTACATGTACAGTGAGGCTGTATGTACAGTGAGGCTACATGTACAGTGAGGCTACATGTACAGTGAGGCTACATGTACAGTGAGGCTACATGTACAGTGAGGCTGTATGTACAGTGAGGCTACATGTACAGTGAGGCTACATGTACATGGGCTCCTTGATAATGTCAGGCTGCCTGATGTTTATTCAAAAACCTAAACGAAGATCAATAACCAATAAATGATCTAAATTAAAAATAAAAGTAAATCCGTTTCCCGGTTTGAAACATTACACGATTATAATTAACTTACCGACGAAACTACTTATCACTTTATTCTTAAATTGATGCACCATATATTATCAAATGATCTAGGAATTGACAATGATTGAAAAATTTCACAATGGTAGAAAATATGCGCACAACGATCTTCATCTATTGACGTTTAGAAATTGTTATGATTTCTGTAACCCTATATGAAATCCTATAGTTTAAAATAAAATTATTATCAACTGATCAATACAACAGATCGATTCGTATGAGTAAATTAAAGTAGGGGCGTAGGCGGAGGGTCGGGCCAGCAAATGTACAAATAACGTCGTGATAATTGTGTATATATATATATATATATATATATATATATATATATATATATATATATATATATATATATATATATATATATATATATATATACTAGACTACCCGTTATCCTTGGATAACTGTGGGTTTGGGGGATCATCCATAAATGACATCACGTCTGTTACTTATCGTCACAAATAAACCAGTCTGCATATTCAAAAGACGTCACACCTCAGATGTTTTTGTCTTTAAAAAACACCGATTTCGGGCGAGCATGCCGCAAACCACACTATCTCCTCATAAGCTTCACATGCCTTATGTCCCGACAAGTTCCGATAGGCAACTTTATCATTCACATGTAAAATAAATGAAATTTCAAATTAAATTTTATCCCAAATTAGCCATTTCTATAGTAAAAAAACAAAGATTTATATAAAATAATTAAGGTCTGAACTAGTTTAGTAAACAAACTCATTATTGGCTTAGATTCTAGATCTAGATTCTAGATAGAGATAGAGATCTCGATTTAGAATCTACGGCTGGCTTAAGTCTAGTTTTTCTTTAGCTCTAAAACTAGAACCTAGATAGATAAATTTCTTTTATTATCGCATTAGATTTGATGATCATTGAAGCAAAAAGAAAAGATTTATATCAAATATTTAAGGACTAAAATAGTTTAATAAAGAAACAAAAAATGTATTGTGTTTTTAGAATTGTTTTTATTTTTTACAAATTAACTTTGATTTGAGCTAGATCCTAGATTTTAGATCTAGAATTGACTTTCCTTTCCTCCGACAGCTGATCTGCAAAATTTATTGCATACTCAAATTAAAAGAACTGTTGAAAATTGACAATTGTGTTGAAACCTAATAAAATAGTAAACCGACAGAAAATTTAGCTTTATAATGCGTTAAACTTTTGAGTGGCCACGGAAGACGCCATTATTGTTGTAAAAATAGGGAATCATGTGACGTCACTCTAAGGTAAGTCCTTGTTTTGAACTTTTATAATTAAAGTGGTATACCTACCAGTGAATATATCAATAAATTAATTAATGTTTTTAAATAAATGTGTGATTAACAGTCTGTCTGAAAACAAAAATTGTTCTCTACCTACATACTATTTTACAGCTCGCCACATGGAGCAGATTCTCTCCAGTAGTCAATCAGACAAACACAAAAAACAAATAAATATTCAAACACGTAAACAAACTTGAGTTTTAGTAGTATAGAGATAGATAGATACACACACACACACACATATATATATATATATATATATATATATATATATATATATATATATATATACATACATAATAGGCAGATAGTCTTTTACATAAAAGCATATAAATTGTTTTATTTTATTTTTCTAAATATATGTGCCTACTTTTATAAACATGTAGGTTACAAGTAGCGTTTTTATGTTTAATTAAAAAAAAATAGCTGCTATCTTTGCATATAATGTTTTGATTAAAATCACCTGCAAAATGCCGCTTACCCTCATGATTAGGTGATTGGTAATATAATTATATTTTAATTAAAATGTAGAAATGTGCTAGGGATTTCGGAACAATTGAAAGAAGAAAAAAATGGAAGACGAGACCTAGACGAGTTAAGCAATGAGAGAATTATAGTGGTTGGACAAGTTTAACAATGATAAGTTGGACGAGTTAAACATTGGGAGGTTGACACACAGACAAAAGAATGCACACAACTGCTAGTCTCCCATTTATTGTGCACCGAATTAAGTCTTTAGTCAGGGGATGTTAGCACGTCAAACATTGGGCTATTGATTTTATTTCTTTAAAATATGTTCTGCAAATTAACTGACGTGGAAACATTTTCATCCGACAAGTTGGAACGTAACGCGGCCAACATGCTTGACAACTTGTCTGACAACTTGTCTGACAACTTGTCTGACAACTTGTCTGACAACTTGTCTGACAACTTGTCTGACAACTTGTCTGACAACTTGTCTGACAACTTGTCTGACAACTGACCCCAACGTCGCAGAGATAGGTCAACTACAACAGATATATCTTACACAGATTAAGGCTACATGACATTTAATATTGTGTGATCTTACACAGATTAAGGCTACATGACATTTAATATTGTGTGATCTTACACAGATTAAGGCTACATGACATTTAATATTGTGTGATCTTACACAGATTAAGGCTACATGACATTTAATATTGTGTGATCTTACACAGATTAAGGCTACATGACATTTAATATTGTGTGATCTTACACAGATTAAGGCTACATGACATTTAATATTGTGTGATCTTACACAGATTGAGGCTACATGACATTTAATATTGTGTGATCTTACACAGATTAAGGCTACATGACATTTAATATTGTGTGATCTTACACAGATTAAGGCTACATGACATTTAATATTGTGTGATCTTACACAGATTAAGGCTACATGACATTTAATATTGTGTGATCTTACACAGATTAAGGCTACATGACATTTAATATTGTGTGATCTTACACAGATTAAGGCTACATGACATTTAATATTGTGTGATCTTACACAGATTAAGGCTACATGACATTTAATATTGTGTGATCTTACACAGATTAAGGCTACATGACATTTAATATTGTGTGATCTTACACAGATTAAGGCTACATGACATTTAATATTGTGTGATCTTACACAGATTAAGGCTACATGACATTTAATATTGTGTGATCTTACACAGATTGAGGCTACATGACATTTAATATTGTGTGATCTTACACAGATTGAGGCTACATGACATTTAATATTGTGTGATCTTACACAGATTAAGGCTACATGACATTTAATATTGTGTGATCTTACACAGATTAAGGCTACATGACATTTAATATTGTGTGATCTTACACAGATTAAGGCTACATGACATTTAATATTGTGTGATCTTACACAGATTAAGGCTACATGACATTTAATATTGTGTGATCTTACACAGATTAAGGCTACATGACATTTAATATTGTGTGATCTTACACAGATTAAGGCTACATGACATTTAATATTGTGTGATTTTACACAGATTAAGGGTACATGACATTTAATATTGTGTGATCTTACACAGATTAAGGCTACATGACATTTAATATTGTGTGATCTTACACAGATTAAGGCTACATGACATTTAATATTGTGTGATCTTACACAGATTAAGGCTACATGACATTTAATATCGTGTGATCTTACACAGATAAGGGTACATGACATTTAATATTGTGTGATCTTACACAGATTAAGGCTACATGACATTTAATATTGTGTGATCTTACACAGATTAAGGCTACATGGCATTTAATATTGTGGTCTTACACAGATTAAGGCTACATGACATTTAATATTGTGTGATCTTACACAGATTAAGGCTACATGACATTTAATATTGTGTGATCTTACACAGATTAAGGCTACATGGCATTTAATATTGTGGTCTTACACAGATTAAGGCTACATGACATTTAATATTGTGTGATCTTACATAGATTACGTTTGCAAGGCTATATGACATTTAATATTGTGTGGTGGCGTATCTACGGAATGATTAAGTGACTCAATAGTATTCGATAGTTCTAATAACGGTAGACAGTAGACTTGTTTCGGTAGGGGGTCGGCGTGGTCGAGTCGGTAAAGCTCTTGGTTGCTAAACCGAAAAGTCTCGAGATCGAACCCTCGGGCAGATGAGGATCGCTAGGGACAGCCAACCTTCTAGGAGAGACAATTCCAAAATCAAACAACTGCTGCCTTGTAGTTTGTTCTTAGTTGGACAAAGGCTATGGAAGCAAATCCAAAAAGAAAAGCAGGCTGAAATCGGAGTCAATGGCGCATAACCAGTTGACACGTAATCCTTGATAGTGATGGAAGCATGGTCGAGTCGGTAAAGCTCATGGCGAGGATAATCGTCCTTCACGAGCTACTGATAGTGTTTCATAGCAAAATATTTTCAGTCACAACATTGCTAGTGTCGAATTTACAAATTATGAATTACTGAAAAATAGGAATTTAACTAAATAGCGGCATATGCCACGTCGCGGGGCAGCTCATATAATTCCAGTTAGTTAAACTAGTTAGTCGGAGTTTGTAGGCCTGCCTGGCTAATGGGAGATTTCTCCTGAACTTCTAATAACAGAAGATCAGGTCATTCAAAATGTTTCACTAACTAGTGGTGTCTCCGTTCCATATTTGGAAGGCCTCATTTGACATCAATTAATTTAGTATCTGCCACTTATTTTACTGAATTTTTATTTGAAATTATGCTCTTAAGGGAACAGCTTGTCAAATTGTTCCAATCCACACCCGACCACTCCCGGAACATACCCAGACCTCAGCCGGACTATACCCGGACCACAGCCGGACCACTGCCGGACCACAGCCGGACCTCAGCCGGACTATACCCGGACCACAGCCGGACTATACCCGGACCACAGCCTGACTATACCCGGACCACAGCCGGACTATACCCGGACCACAGCCTGACTATACCCGGACCACAGCCGGACCACTGCCGGACCACAGCCGGACCACAGCCGGACTATACCCGGACCACACCTGGCTGATCTCCACAAGTCCCAAGACACTCAAATATACGATATTTTAATTGTTTTGAAGACAAATATTGTAAATATAGTTCTTGTAGATTAGATATTTAATCAAATAGGCCATCGTTGTTAGTGTGGTATTAGGACATGGCGTATGACTGCTTTGTTATGGTAGGTAGATAATCCGTGTTTCTAATCCATGTTCTAATCCGTGTTTCTAATCCATGTTCTAATCCGTGTTTCTAATCCATGAATTGTTCGTGCGAAATAAATCAATATAATTAAACAGTTGTGTATTCGTTATCATACAAGACAGACTCGCATACATACATAGACAGAAACAAATACATACACAGAGAGATACGCATAAATACACATACAGACACGCTTGAATACACAGATTCGCATACATACACATACAGACAGGCATACATTCACAGACATACACGCATACATACATAGAGAGACAGACATACATACACATGTTCAAACGCAACAGCGAAAAACAAAATGACAACATACACGCCTACGGATATTCGTGTTACTGTGTAATCAATTTTTGTGTTATCCAAAGGAGAGAGGGTTGGACCAAGTTGAAATTAATTGTGTAATCAATTTTTGTGTTATTCAGAGGGAGAGGGCGGGTTGGTGTGGTGTGAGCCCTACACACCTGACCACGTGAGCCCTACACACCTGTCCAAATGAGCCCTACACACCTGACCATATGAGCCCTACACACCTGACCATATGAGCCCTACACACCTCTCTTTGTGAGCCCTACACACCTGACCACATGAGCCCTACACACCTGTCCACTTGAGCACTACACACCTGACCATATGAGCCCTACACACCTGACCAAATGAGCCCTACACACCTGTCCACTTGAGCACTACACACCTGACCATATGAGCCCTACACACCTGACCAAATGAGCCCTACACACCTGACCACGTGATTCCTACACACCTGACCATATGAGCCCTACACACCTGACCACGTGAGCCCTACACACCTCTCTTTGTGAGCCCTACACACCTGACCACATGAGCCCTACACACCTGACCACGTGAGCCCTACACACCTGACCACAGGAGCCCTACACACCTGAACAAATGCGCCCTACACACCTGACCAAATGAGCCCTACACACCTGTCCACTTGAGCACTACACACCTGACCATATGAGCCCTACACACCTGACCACGTGAGCCCTACACACCTCTCTTTGTGAGCCCTACACACCTGAACTTGTGAGCCCTACACACCTGACAACGTGAGTCCTACACACCTGACCTTGTGAGCCCTACACACCTGACCACGTGATTCCTACACACCTGACCTTGTGAGCCCTACACACCTGACCACGTGATTCCTACACACCTGAGCACATGAGCCCTATACACCTGACCACGTGAGCCCTACACACCTGACCTTGTGAGCCCTACACACCTGACCCCGTGAGCCCTACACACCTGACCACATGAGCCCTACACACCTGACCACATGAGCCCAACACACCTGACCACGTGAGCCCTACACACCTGACCTTGTGAGCCCTACACACCTGACCCCGTGAGCCCTACACACCTGACCTTGTGAGCCCTACACACCTGACCACGTGAGCCCTACACACCTGACCCCGTGAGCCCTACACACCTGACCACGTGAGCCCTACACACCTGACCTTGTGAGCCCAACACACCTGACCACGTGAGCCCTACACACCTGACCTTGTGAGCCCTACACACCTGACCCCGTGAGCCCTACACACCTGACCACACCAGGCCTACACACCTGACCACGTGAGCCCTACACACCTGTTCACGTGGGTGACATCAAGTAAAACAAGGATGACACCATGTAAGATATGGATGACCTGTAGACATACCAATGACCCACGTGTAGACATACCAATGACCTACGTCTAGACATACCAATGACCCACGTGTGGACATACCAATGACCCACGTGTAGAAATACCAATGACCCACCTGTAGACCCACCAATGACCCACCTGTAGACCCACCAATGACCCACCTGTAGACCCACCAATGACCCACCTGTAGACCCACCAATGACCCACCTGTAGACCCACCAATGACCCACCTTTCTCCACACCCACCTGTAAAACAGCTGTAACCCATAGAGGCTCCCCACCGTTCCACCAGTTGGCCTTGAAGGAGTCTTTGTTGATGCATTTGAGGAAAGCCTCGTGTTTGACGTCATCATACATGATGCTATCATGACGTCATCATACATGATGCTATCATGACGTCATCATACATGATGCTATCATGATGCGAACTGACTCGTAATTTGACCACGAACGTTAGACCACGAACGTTAGACCACGAACGTTAGACCACGAACGTTAGACCACGAACGTTAGACCACGAACGTTAGACCACGAACGTTAGACCACGAACGTTAGACCACGAACGTTAGACCACGAACGTTAGACCAGTTATGTTCGAGCTCTCAATGTTATCACTATACAACGACTTATAAGCTTTGCTGCCTCCTAAAAGATAATTGTGTGAGCTTTAATTAAACACATTCACATTATGTACATTCCGCATTTTAAAAAAAAGTGAATTAAATTCTAAATGCCTTGGACTAATGAAATAAACAGCTTGTATCTGACTCACGGACTTAGTACCAGCGTGTACCTGACTTAGTACCAGCTTGTACCTGACTTAGTACCAGCTTGTACCTGACTTAGTACCAACTTGTACCTGACTTAGTACCAGCTTGTACCTGACTAAGTACCAGCTTTTACCTGACTCAAGTGCTTAGTACCAGCTGGTGAGTACCTTGTACTTTGTCTACAGTTTGCCATTTAATGGATGTTTTGTAATTTAAAGAAGTCATTTACATTTCTTTACATTTATAAGTAAAATCTATAATGTATAAAAAAACTATTATGAAAAATGTTCCAATTTTATTGCTCGCTGTTTGTTTTTTGTTTCCTTAAAAAATAATTAAAAATATATAAGCACATATGAAAATGCAACTAGAATTGATTAAAATGTTGTTAGAATTAAGATAAATATTGTGTTTAGTAACTCGAGCAATTAAAGCATAAAGCCAATTAAAGTAAATGTAATAAGGGTGAAATCATGCGGAATCAGAGGGGAAAAGTTGTTCTCAGTTGATGTTTCTGCCTGTGTTGATTCATCAGTTGATGTTTCTGCCTGTGTTGATTCATACCAGACTGCTCCATTTGTGGATGTTGTTGCTTGGATGGATGTATATGATGCTGCTGTAAAGCGTGTAGATAGCACATTTAGGATTGTGGTGACTTCAGGTGACTTTGCTATAGCGGTTTTTAAAGTGTTAGCTTCAGTTCCAGATATTGACTGAGTGGGTGATGTTGTAGTTCCAGATATTGACTGGGTGGGTGATGTTGTAGTTCCAGAGATTGACTGGGTGGGTGATGTTGTAGTTCCAGATATTGACTGGGTGGGTGATGTTGTAGTTCCAGAGATTGACTGGGTGGGTGATGTTGTAGTTCCAGATATTGACTGGGTGGGTGATGTTGTAGTTCCAGAGATTGACTGGGTGGGTGATGTTGTTGATTGTGTAGTAGACGGTGTCATGTTTTTGACTGTTGAGCTTTTGGACTGCGGTGTTATTGGGTAGTTGGGTGTCATTGATGGTGTTATGATAGTTGGTGTAGTTCTTGTCGTAGTTGTATTTGCTGCGGTAGTTGAAATGATTGCATTTAAGCTGTCAGCACCTTTAGAATAGATTATGGGAAAATATAAAAAGAATAAAATGTGTGATGACAGAAAAGCATCTAAAAATGATGCTGCTCATAGGCTTACCTTTCTCCATACATAAGTAAGTGAATTTCTCCGAACACTCCATCTCGTAAAGTGCCAGATTTTTTGTTGACATGACGGCACATGCACTGCTTGTCTTAGGGCCAGCGGTCTGTTGGGTGATGGGCAGTTCATTGACCCCCAGGCCTGTCTCCACCCACCTCCAAACGTCGTCCGTGCTACTTGCACCAATCCAGATGTAGTCTGGGCCCAGAGAAATCAGGCATCAGACAGTTGGCAATAAACAAATTATTATTCCATCTCTTTTGACACAACATTTTAAACCATTTTAGTCAATCAATCCTCTTTAAAAACATTATTTTTAAAAACATACATATGTAATACTAGGACATAGCACTTATGAAATTGTATTAATAATTGTTTCTAAAAAAAAATGCATTTGGACTAAACATCTTATGTTCAATTATTACAAGCCAGTGAATTACATTGATGAGACTACTTTCATCAATTTTATATGAATAATGTGTTTCAAAACTTGATTGGATAATCTTGGCAAACGTGAAAGCAAATCATCAGAATAATGATTTTAAAATAAATATTAGAGGGTATTCCAATTACTGTAAACTCCTGTCTATTGAGTGCGATGGTGTCAATAATGTTTATTTAAGCTCATGTCTACTGTATACGATGGTGTCAAGAATGTTTACTTAAGCTCATGTCTACTGAGTACGATGGTGTCAAGAGTGTTTACTTAAGCTCATGTCTATTGAGTACGATGGTGTCAAGAATGTTTACCGTAAACTCCTGCCGATGATTGCGCCACCTGTGACATTTGATTGGTTGTTCTGATGGAGGCCATGACCCCGCCATAGGACTGACACTTGGCCTATCAAGATAGGGTCAAAGGTTAAAAGTCTATGACAGAATGACACAAGTCTATGACAGAATGACACGTGTCTATGACAGAATGACACGTGTCTATGAGAGAATGACACAAGTCTATGACAGAATGACACGTGTCTATGACAGAATGACACGTGTCTATGACAGAATGACACGTGTCTATGAGAGAATGACACAAGTCTATGACAGAATGACACGAGTCTATGACAGAATGACACGAGTCTATGACAGAATGGCACGTGCCTATGACAGAATGACACAAGTCTATGACAGAATGACACGAGTCTATGACAGAATGACACAAGTCTATGACAGAATGACACGTGTCTATGACAGAATGACACAAGTCTATGACAGAATGACACAAGTCTATGACAGAATGACACGTGTCTATGACAGAATGACACGTGTCTATGACAGAATAACACAAGTCTATGACAGAATGACACAAGTCTATGACAGAATGACACAAGTCTATGACAGAATGACACGAGTCTATGAGAGAATAGTTGTTCTGTTCCACTTCTTACATATAACGCTACAGAATGCCCAAGGAAATATTCTAGTGTAATTAAGTGTAGTAATACTCTAGAAATAAGCAAAACCAATAAGCTTAAACTTATATAAGCACAAGAGGTATCGATGAAACTGAAATAAAGAAGACTAACATACCTTAGCGCTTGGCCATGGGAAGATTGTGGTGAAGTGTTTAAAGCAGTTGCCGTCTGATTGGATTGTCTCTGGCCAAACACAACCTAGAGTATAAGTACCCACTTGTGTCAGTGCACAGGTACCCACTTGTGTCAGTGCATAGGTACCCACTTGTGTGAAGGGACAGGTACCCACTTGTGTGAAGGGACAGGTACCCAGTTGTGTAAGTGCACAGGTACCCACGTGTGAGTTGCTCGTGCGAACTAAAACTACTTTAGGGTATATTTTTTCGTTCACCTACCATCAATACGACTAACAATTTTATATAAGTCAATTCCCATCAATATGCCTAACCATAATTTAAAGTCACCCACCCATTAGTAAAGGAACTAACCCTAACCCTAACCCATTAGTAAAGGAACTAACCCTAACCCTAACCAATTAGTAAAGGAACTAACCCTAACCCTAACCCATTAGTAAAGGAACTAACCCTAACCCTAACCCATTAGTAAAGGAACTAACCCTAACCCTAACCCATTAGTAAAGGAACTAACCCTAACCCTAACCCATTAGTAAAGGAACTAACCCTAACCCATTAGTAAAGGAACTAACCCTAACCCTAACCCATTAGTAAAGGAACTAACCCTAACCCATTAGTAAAGGAACTAACCCTAACCCATTAGTAAAGGAACTAACCCTAACCCATTAGTAAAGGAACTAACCCTAACCCATTAGTAAAGGAACTAACCCTAACCCATTAGTAAAGGAACTAACCCTAACCCATTAGTAAAGGAACTAACCCTAACCCATTAGTAAAGGAACTAACCCTAACCCATTAGTAAAGGAACTAACCCTAACCCATTAGTAAAGGAACTAACCCTAACCCTAACCCATTAGTAAAGGAACTAACCCTAACCCATTAGTAAAGGAACTAACCCTAACCCATTAGTAAAGGAACTAACCCTAACCCTAACCCATTAGTAAAGGAACTAACCCTAACCCTAACCCATTAGTAAAGGAACTAACTCTAACCCTAACCCATTAGTAAAGGAACTAACCCTAACCCTAACCCATAAGTAAGGAACTAACCCTAACCCTAACCCATTAGTAAAGGAACTAACCCTAACCCTAACCCATTAGTAAAGGAACTAACCCTAACCCTAACCCATAAGTAAGGAACTAACCCTAACCCTAACCCATTAGTAAAGGAACTAACCCTAACCCTAACCCATTAGTAAAGGAACTAACCCTAACCCTAACCCATTAGTAAAGGAACTAACCCTAACCCTAACCCATTAGTAAAGGAACTAACCCTAACCCTAACCCATTAGTAAAGGAACTAACCCTAACCCTAACCCATAAGTAAGGAACTAACCCTAACCCTAACCCATTAGTAAAGGAACTAACCCTAACCCTAACCCATAAGTAAGGAACTAACCCTAACCCTAACCCATTAGTAAAGGAACTAACCCTAACCCTAACCCATTAGTAAAGGAACTAACCCTAACCCTAACCCATTAGTAAAGGAACTAACCCTAACCCTAACCCATTAGTAAAGGAACTAACCCTAACCCTAACCCATTAGTAAAGGAACTAACCCTAACCCTAACCCATAAGTAAGGAACTAACCCTAACCCTAACCCATTAGTAAAGGAACTAACCCTAACCCTAACCCATAAGTAAGGAACTAACCCTAACCCTAACCCATTAGTAAAGGAACTAACCCTAACCCTAACCCATTAGTAAAGGAACTAACCCTAACACTAACCCATTAGTAAAGGAACTAACCCTAACCCATACGTAAGGAACTAACCCTAACCCTAACCCATTAGTAAAGGAACTAACCCTAACCCTAACCCATAAGTAAGGAACTAACCCTAACCCTAACCCATTAGTAAAGGAACTAAATCTAACCCTAACCCATTAGTAAAGGAACTAACCCTAACCCTAACCCATTAGTAAAGGAACTAACCCTAACCCTAACCCATTAGTAAAGGAACTAACCCTAACCCTAACCCATTAGTAAAGGAACTAACTCTAACCCTAACCCATTAGTAAAGGAACTAACCCTAACCCATTAGTAAAGGAACTAACCCTAACCCTAACCCATTAGTAAAGGAACTAACTCTAACCCTAACCCATTAGTAAAGGAACTAACCCTAACCCTAACCCATTAGTAAAGGAACTAACCCTAACCCTAACCCATTAGTAAAGGAACTTTTATTTGCCGTACAATAGCTTCAGGTCAACTAATAACAAGCTACTCAGAAGTACATAAAATACAATAACAGAAAATAGAGTTTGATAGAAAATACAACATCAGTTTAATAGAAAACACAACAACAACAACAATAATTTGATAGAAAATACAACAACCACAGTTTGATTGAAAATACAGCATCAGTTTGATAGAAAATACAACAACAACAGTTTGATAGAAAGAACAGCAACAACAGTTTGATAGAAAATACAACAACCTGTTTGCACTTCAGCAGTTGACAAGGTAATGATGGTGAAGAGAAGAAAGATTCGTTGATCCATGTTTTGTTTTCTGGAAGTAAACGTTTGTCTGTTAGCTATGTGACTAGTTTGTCAGTTATGTGACTAGTTTGTCTATGGTTTAACCACATTAAGAACTCTAAGAAAATGAAGGTAAATTGTAGCATTTTAAATACAAAACTAGCCTGACTGTCTACAGAAACTGAAGGTAAATTGTAGCCTGACTGTCGACTGTAGTACAATGGTTATGTCGCTGTGTCACCCTTTAGTGCTGAAGTAAAACTTGATGTTGATGTTGATATTTCAGTGCCTCGGTGCGATAGAATGTAACAGAACAGGTCCTGTGACGTCATACATCTCTATTGTCATCGTAAAATGACGGTTACATCAGGGGGCGGATGGTAGAAAAATAACATCAGAGAAACCTCAGTAATCATGACTAGACAGCAGGACAGAGAAATCTGGAGAACTGTAAATGGCGGCCCATACTTTAGCAGGACAGAGAACTCTGGAGAGCTTTATTTGGCGGCCCATACTCCAGACGGCAGAGAACTCTGGCTGTAAATGGTGGCCCATACTCCAGCAGGACAGAGAACTCTGGAGAGCTGTAGTTGGCGGCCCATAGTCCAGCAGGACAGAGAACTCTGGCTGTAGTTGGTGGCCCATACTCCAGCTGGACAGAGAACTCTGGAGAGCTGTAGTTGGTGGCCCATACTCCAGCTGGACAGAGAACTCTGGAGAGCTGTAGTTGGTGGCCCATACTCCAGCTGGACAGAGAACTCTGGAGAGCTGTAGTTGGTGGCCCATAGTCCAGCAGGACAGAGAACTCTGGCTGTAGTTGGTGGCCCATACTCCAGCAGGACAGAGAACTCTGGCTGTAGTTGGTGGCCCTTACTCCAGCAGGACAGAGAACTCTGGAGAGCTGTAGTTGGTGGCCCATACTCCAGCAGGACAGAGAACTCTGGAGAGCTGTAGTTGGTGGCACATACTCCAGCAGGACAGAGAACTCTGGAGAGTTGTAGTTGGTGGCCCATACTCCAGCAGGACAGAGAACTCTGGAGAGCTGTAGTTGGTGGCCCATACTCCAGCAGGACAGAGAACTCTGGCTGTAGTTGGTGGCCCATACTCCAGCAGGACAGAGAACTCTGGAGAGCTGTAGTTGGTGGCCCATACTCCAGCAGGACAGAGAACTCTGGAGAGCTGTAGTTGGTGGCCCATACTCCAGCAGGACAGAGAACTATGGCTGTAGTTGGTGGCCCATACTCCAGCAGGACAGAGAACTCTGGAGAGTTGTAGTTGGTGGCCCATACTCCAGCAGGACAGAGAACTCTGGAGAGCTGTAGTTGGTGGCCCATACTCCAGCAGGACAGAGAACTCTGGAGAGCTGTAGTTGGTGGCCCATACTCCAGCAGGACAGAGAACTCTGGCTGTAGTTGGTGGCCCTTACTCCAGCAGGAGTGACGGGGGATGACTGATATGAATTGAATACAGAAAGCCATTACGTCAACCCACTGTCTATAAATCAATTATGTTACAAATTTGTACAACAACCTTCATTAGTCATGGTACACTCTCTGAGTTATGTAATGCTACACAAACTCTAACTTCAAAATGTGTAACCGTGTTCATCCCTACCTCTCAAGAGACCGAATTTTCCAATGGACACAAACGAAACTGACTAAGATAGTCTTATCTCCTATTTGAAATACAAATTATAAATGTTCTCAAGTGCTAAGACATGGAGACAAATGAGCAGACTCCTCTTATTCTGTCTGGTATTTAACGGAATGGGCTGTACTATACACAGACATTGTCATATCGGCTCAATCTTCTTTTTATCTTCGTTATCTACTCTATCGTTTACTGAAACAGAACATAATTTATTATCGTTGACGTGGGTTTACTACAAGATTTCTGCTGGCTTAACTTGAAGAAGTGGAAAAAAAAATCTCCTAGCCGTCAACACAACATTGACAAAAACATTAGGTAAAGTTGTTAGAAATCAGAGGCGTCTCCAAAACAGTATTACGTTTTCAAATTTGTAAATGTGTTGAGAATATTTCTAGGGTCACCTCTGGTCAAGTGCAAAAACTCGGGCAGAAGAGAGCTGGCAGACGTCAAAGAATAGCAGGTTTGTGTATATGATTAGACATAGTAGGCTTTGTGCTGATGAAACAATACGTATTGATCCAACTTTCACGGCAAGTCACCCCATAAGCCCAGTTGTGGAGTTGCTTGTTATCTAAGAGATCAGCTTGAAGTCTTTAATTGAGTCTAGCTAGGTATGAACGGATAAGACTTAATGTAATCCCTGGATTAGTGGGACCGTAATTGGCGTACTTGGTGGAATTACTGCAAGAGTACGCGGGTCTAATTGTGACGTCATGAAATTCACCTTAGGGTCAATTATCACATAATTTTTTTTCAAGAAGTTTTAAAACTTGTCTTAAGAAAAAGTTATGAATCTAGATCTAGATCTTGAATTTTTGCAAGGGCGAATACAATTCTTCGGGGGGGGGGGGGGCGACGACACTGGTAAAATGATATTTTTTTCTAAATAAATTATATTTGGGTTTTTTAGGGGGGGGGGGGGAATTAGACGTTCTACCCTGGAGGGGGGGGGGGGAGAGTGGCTTCGCCCCTACAAGAAAAGATACATGAAAGAAACTATGCACACAAACCACTTTTAAGATTAGACAAATGAATGGATGCAAGTGAGTTGACGAGAATCCTTCCATCAAGTTGTCGACATGGAATAAAAACGTGCTTTTTTTTAGATTTAGACCGTAAAAATAATTTAATTTGTTGAGTTTAAGGCTACATTTCTATTTTCATCGATCGTAATTTGTAACCTGATGTTTCACTTTCGTAAGACAAATATTGATTGGCTGTACAGTAACTCAGTGATCGATAACTATTTGTTTACAAAACTTTACAGATCAAGTTTTTAAATAACAATGCAAATAAATTTAAACCCCATGACCTAGTTTTTTTCATTTTTACCTTACAATGTGTACAATAAAATTTATGGCAGCCTATCTAATAGCAGGATGCCATTGTTTATTTCGCCATTACACGTGAAAACCAAATTGTTTTTTTTGCTTTTTTTTTTTTTACTTTTTATTTAGTTACCGAAAATATTAAAAACATCAAATACATCCAATCTTTAGTAAAGTCCGAAAAAAAGCAGACATACTGGATTTTATAACCATATTAATTGTAACTAATGGGTCTCTCGAATACTTTCTCGCTCGCGTCCATTAGGCGGTAATGCCAGTGTTTTTATTGCAGAGTATCGATGACGTCATTACTATGGCCTTTTAATTCATTGTTTACTCGAGAATCAATGACGTCAATTTATTGTGTGCATTTTTCCGGATTCAGACTCGTTTCTACTATCCTTATATATAAAAGGCTGTGTGCGCTCTTCTCTCCCTCTGTCTGTCCGCAAAATATTTTCGCCGGACATCACGTCAGAATCGGCAGCGATATATGGAGAACTTTATACGGACTTTTGTTGAAAATAATATGTTAGATGTTTTAAATGTATAACCACAATTTTATTTAAAGAAGAAAAATAAAAAATAAAGGCGTATTCGAATGTAAGAGATGGGTGCATGTTTTATTTTAAGATTGTTATATGCATTTTTTTGTCTTACAGGGACTGTAAGATTTTTAAAAGGGGTGAATGTGAGCGGGTGAATGGATTATTTTGTATTATTTTATTTGTTGCGAATCTGGGAGTGCATGGTGGTCCAATGGGGAACGGCCACGGGGTCCCCACCCGAAGCGGTCAGTATAAATTGACCGCTCGGACGATTTTCTTCCTTTTTTTGACCCGCGGCAAGATTTAGATAGGGTCGGTTTCTGTGTGGGCGCGTGGCGCACCTCACGCGTGGAGTGAGGTTGCTTGGGCAACTTGGCTGGGTGTTTTGTTATATATGAATTGTTTTGTTATATATGAATTGTTTTGTTTGGTGTAAAAAGTTTGTTGTGTACGTATTTTCTACGTAATGTATTGTATACGTAACGTATTGTACGTAGTGGTTTTACGTAGTGTTTTGTTTGGTGTGGACTTTTGGATGTCGAGAATGGATGAAGGGAGGTTTCTGTGTGTCAGGGCCTGGACCATCCTAGACATCATAAGTCGGCGCAACACCATCAAATGGTCAAACGTAATGTTTTGTTTCGTTGAGTTCTGTTTGTTTTGTATGTCTTGAGTGTTTTGTTTTGTCTAGATCTAGATTCTAGTTTTTTTATAATAACTTTTGGTTCCATATTTTGTTAAATAAATTTTATATGATTGTTAAAAGTTTTTTTGTTTTTAATTTAGACTAAGGTTAGGTTATTAACCAGCCTGGGTTTAGCCGGGCTTGCACTGACCGGACGGTAGTTAGTTAGATAAGCCTAGGGAAGGGTAGAGTAGATTTAAGGTATCCCCCCCCCCTAGCAGGGCTTACATTTATTTTATACAAAATCTTTGTTTGGAACTGGCTAATTTGGGATAAAAAAAATTAATTCGAAAGAATAGGCATATTCGCGTAAGTTAAGATTTTAAAATACGTGTTTCATTCTCCGTATTTTAAAAGGTGCCTAAATAGCGGAGATGTTAGTGTACTATAAACCACGCAGGTGGTGCGGGTTCGAGACACAGCAAGTCAACTTGGATAATGTATTTTTTTTTTATTATGCTCGGGCTAAACTTAAAAAAAAAAATTCCCTTAGGATTCTAGATCTAGATCTAGATTGTCGGGTGTCCGATAGGGCACTTCCCGGTGCCGCAGGCGCTTCAAATTTGGCAGGATCTTGCCTTGGGGCGACAGAACACGGGGGCCGGTTGGCCGAAAAGTCTACGATGAGGGGGTCAAAACTGACTTCGACTGACCGGCGCCTTATAAGAGCTATAAATCGAAAAAAAAAAATGTCCATGTAGGAACCTCTTCATAACTCCTGAGGTCGTAGACCGACCCTCGGGCGAATTAATTAAGCATTCAAATTCTCAATGTTTTCGAAAGCCTAAGCGAAGCTGGGCAGCATGCCTAGTATGTTCCATGTGCCGTCACGTTTCGTTTTTCCTATAACTATGCATGTTTAAACTATAAAAAAAAAATTCTTTTAAACTTTTAGTTTCCAAAAACAAATTACAACATATTTTAAGTTAATAATAATTTACATAATGGCAAATATGTGATGGAGCTAAGTTTGATATGTACAAAAACCAAAAGAAAAACTCAAAAGGGGAACAATTATAAGTGGTTAAATTCAACAAATGGCCACAATTTACAAAGAATCAGAAGCTGGATTGAATTAATAGCTGTGTATCATTCAACGATGACAACATGTGAGTTTATGTACAACAAAAATTCAGTAATAACCTAAAGATATCAAATAAATTCTTATTAGAATATTCAAATTTGAAAAAAGGCATGTTATATTTTGTCCTTAGACTTAACCCTTTATTTACTGAATTATGTTCTGAATGAAATTTTTACTTAAACAATGTGTTACTATATTGCTTTTGGCACATTCAAAGCATATCTCGCAGGAAATTTTGTTTCATAATTTTTTAATGGCCCAAACCTATATTGGTACTTATAAGTACCGTCAGGAATGTAGGACATTTTTTTTTCAAAATTTTTTTTTTACAAAACAGGAACAAACGATACAATTTACTAACTAATAACATGGCAATCATTATAACAATCACTTTTTGTAATTTTCACATGTAAATACAGCACAAAAGTATATTTTGAGTACGATTTTTACTCGATTTTCTATCGGAACACATCTTAGACCTCAAACACAGTAAAAGTAGTCGACATTTCAAGCTCCCTCAATCTTGTCTGTGGTTTTCTGGTGTAGCAACGGTTGCCGGAATGAACATGCTTTTGCTAGAAGCTTCCAAAAGCTAGTAATATGAGCCACATAAACAAAAGCCTAGTCATTCAGCACACAACTACTAATAATGCTAGTATAATTGTAGCCTACTAGAATGTTATGACAAGTCTACACTACAGTGCAAAGTTCATAAATAGAAGTGAGCTCAATATGTTTAGGATAACCGTAGTGGCCTACTCTTGTTGGGTTACTGATTAAAATTTATCTTATAGGTCTATACTATATGCAGAAGTATGGACTATTACTAGTCTACACGTATACATTACGTAAATGCTAGTTGTTGTAGGCAAGATACTTTATCGAAGTAAATATAACTAACAAATTAAATCTTACAACTAGAACTAGGCTTTGGTATACAAAACCTTGTAAACTAAACCTTGTATACTAAACCTTGTAAACGAGCCTTCAACTGATACCTTTATTCTTGTTATTTTTTACTACTAGAAATTAACATGTAATTACAATATCTCTTAGGAAAACCATATGCTAACCTTCTTATAAATGTGTAAATATCATTTTTTGAGTACATTTCGATAATTAATCATCAAGACAATATTTATATAAATCCACATAAAAAATCTGCCATTTTCTAAAAATCCTAAAAAATGACCGTGTGCCCTGACGGTACTTATAAGTCCACTTGTAAACATCGGTCTAATACAAAGACAATTTGATTAAAATTGTATAACTAGAAGTTAAATGCGTTTGCCTGACTATTGGAGATGCCAATAAAAAATATTTGGGGATGAAAACTTCAAGAATAAGGTAAAACAAAGGGAAATCAAGAACGTGTGTGAGAACTGTACAGAAAAATTGTGAACTACCGATACAGCTAGACATTGAAAATGGTGTCACACCAGTAATTTAAAAAAAAAATTGATCCCTCCGACTACCGGCGACTCAGAGGAGATAATACTATTAATTACTTCAATAATTTTAAAAATTCGTATTAAATGAAAAATAATACAGGCACTTAATTAAAGTGGTACTTATAAGTACCGTCAGTAGATAAAGGGTTAAACTTAAAGTCATGTGGCTCTAAAAGGCTAACAATAGTGCAGCTAATGACTGCTGATTTACACCTTAATTAACTGAAGAGCACATCTCACTGAGTGGTTTGCACATTTTATTTGAGATTATGAATGAATGAATATCAACACAACGTTTCCAGATTACAGTTTCACTTTTTGATCACTTCCAAATAAAGGGAAAGAATCCCCCATACTCACATAGTAAATTTTAAAGGGTATTCTGCTTTTTTTTTTTTTAAAGTGATACATGTATAAACAACGGATGTAAAAAATAACTTGTCATGACTTGCGGCATCAATATTTAATACAATAATACAATTACAAAACCTGTGACATTCTGCCGGAATGGCATATAGACAATATTTTTAATCCATTTTTAATTGTTTAAACTTTTTATAACAGAATAGAATCTCGCAGAAAAAAAGAATCGCGCCCCCATTGAACGCCAAATAAAATGTGTAGTGCGGGATATAATTATTACTTTATAAATTCACATGCGTTTTTAGAGAAATCGGAAATAGCGTAAAATATGACTTCCGGTTGACGGAAGTTACTCAAAATATGTAGGAAGGCAGAGAACTAGATCTTTTACTTATATGTGAAATTTCATTTATCCATCTGAAATAGTACTTAATTGATAGGCTTTTGAAAAATTGAACGTAGAAAAAGTTCCACTCCCGGTTATCGGAAATCGCTAAAAAGTTGATACAGAACTACAAATTTGATATAATACTTATACATGAAATTTCATCAACCTAGCTGTAACGGTACTCAAGTTATCGTGTTTACAGACACACACATACACACACACACACACACGGACAAGATCTCAAAATTGTATTTCCGTCGAGATTTGCAAAAATCTCTTTTTTTTTTTGCACTATTACAATAATTTCTCTATAGGCCTACTGTGTATACGGGAAAGTGTGTTTTCTCTAAAGTAAAAGCGCTCCCAACAAATTTACACAACTACTAAAAATTGTGTGTATAGTTTACACTGTTTTCAAGCTTTTCTCTAACGTGTACAAAATATTAAATAACGCAAGTTGCAAAATATATTGAACTGATCAATGTCAAATAATATCTTCGCTCAGATTCCAAGTAAAATTGATTTCATTTTAATAACAGTAGGGTATAAAAAACTAATTAATTCAAATCTTTTATTATTTTGCCAGGGGAGGTAATTTAAAAATAAATTCAACTCAAGCAAGAGGCCTAATAAAAATAAACCGGGAGTGATATCCCTTAAATTTTCTCGAATATTCTTATATAAAACGAAAGGGGATGACAACTCAGGATATAGACATGATTTTTAATCCAATTTTAAGTATAATTAAACTTTTAAAAATAGAATAGAATCTCGTAGAAAAAAGAATTGCACACCAAGTGAACGAAAAAAAATGGGTATATTAGTGCGGAATATTATTAGTACTTTATAAATTTGGGACATCGGAAACAGCGAAAATTACTACCTCTATGATAGAAGTCAGCAAATTAGATCTTTTACTTAAATCTGAAATAGTACTCAAATAATAAGCTTTTGAAAAATTGAAAGTAGAATAAGTTCCACTTCCGCTTATCGAAAATCGCTCAAAAATTAATACGGATTTACGATTTTGATATAATACTACTATATGAAATTTCATCAACCTAGCTGTAACGGTACTCAAGTTATCGTGTTTACAGACACATGCACAGACACACACACATATATTCACACAGACGTATGGACAAGATTGCAAAACTAAGTTTTTTTCGACTGAGGGATGTATAAAACGTCGAGATTTGCAAAAAAATCTCGTTTTTTTTTTAAAACTTTCTTTTTGCACGATTACAAGACTTTCTCTATACTTTGTGAATACGATAAAGTAAAAATGTGAATGATAATTCCACGGGCGTACAAGATGGCATTACTGTTGGAATATTATAATTAGCATGCATTGATATTTAAGTTTTGTTTATGTTAAGCGTTTGCGTTAGCGTTTTCGTTTGTGCTTTTTGTGTTTGCACTTGTGTTTGCGTTGTGTTTGCGATTTTTTGTGTGTTTGTGTTTGTTTTTTCTGTTTTGTTTGTGTTTGAATGTTGCGTTAGTGTGTGAATTGCGTTTGTGTTTGCGCTTTCTTTTGTGTATTGCTCTTGTTTGAATTGTTTTTGTGTTTGAGTTTTGTTTTGTTCCCAAGTTTGTACATTTAAAAAAGATACACCGTGGCGGAGCACGGGTATGCAGCTAGCCATAATATACTGAAACAATTTTATGATGTCCAAAACTTATGAAAACATCTTCAAATAAAACTATTTCTATAAAAAAGAAGTATTGAAATGACGTTAATAATAAAAGTAGCTGTAGTATAAGATCTAGGTTAAACTTACATTTGTGATGACTTAACCCATACAATAGCATACAATCCCATACATTCATATACAATCCTATAAAATGCAATCTTTAGGGAATTTCAAGAGCAAAAGTTGGCTCATGAGGAATAGTTGGTTTTGTTATTTCATTAGTGAGTTGCCATTACAAAGAAAAGAGCAATAGTGCTGCTTGTGTAATTTTGTTGTTGTTGTTGTTGTTGGTGGTGGTGGCATTGGTGCTGCGGTAACTGTTGCTGTTGTACTAGTTTGATTAAGATGCATTTCGTGACTGTGTGGGCTTCCTAGAATTCCACATCGAGATGTTTTAATGATCTGGTGAAGACTCGCCCACATCCTATTGTCTATTTTATCGTACAAACTGATGGCTAGCAATCATCTCCAACAGATCTCTCACTCACGTTACACAGGAACTACGCCACAAAACATATGTGTATGCTATCTGTTTATTACATATAGGTTTTCAAAGCAAACTATTTTAATTACTAATATATTAATACAAATTTAATACAAATTAAAACATTAATATATAAAATTGCATAGAATTAAACTTAATTTTACATTCAAAGGTTTGTTAGATTAGTTTTATAATCTTCTATATTGATATAAAAAAACCATCTAAGATATATCACCAATCTAAGATATACCACCAATCTAAGATATACCACCAATCTAAGATATATCACCAGTCTAAGATATACCACCAGTCTAAGAAATACAACCAATGTAAGATATACCACCAATCTAAGATATTCCACCAATCTAAGATATACCACCAGTCTAAGATATACCACCAATCTAAGATATACCACCAGTCTAAGATATACCACCAGTCTAAGAAATACAACCAATCTAAGATATACCACCAATCTAAGATATACCACCAATCTAAGATATACCACCAATGTAAGATATACCACCAATCTAAGATATACCACCAGTCTAAGATATACCACCAGTATAAGATATACCACCAGTCTAATATATTTTCACCAATCATCAGAATGGTTAAAAATACTTTAATACTGTTTCAGTCGTTAACGGCTACTAACATAATGGAAAATCTAAAATATTTTTTACTGGATTTATTAAAATATTCTTTTACTAAAGTTATTAAAATATTTTTTTTACTGGAGGTATTAAAATATTCTTTTACTAAAGTTATTAAAATATTTTTTAACTGGAGTTATTAAAATATTCTTTTACTAAAGTTATTAAAATATTTTTTTACTGGAGTTATTAAAATATTATTAGATGTTTATGACGTTGAGAGCTGAGAAAATTAAGACACATTTTGTTTATTAATAAATATATGTTTAAAGTTAGAAAAAAATAGTTAAAAAAAAGTTCTTAAAAAGCGTGAACATTTGTTTTATTAATTTTATAAATGTAAGCAATAATATATATACATATATATATATATATATATATATATATATATATATATATATATATATATATATATATATATATATATATATGTCTATATAAAATATAATATATGTAAAAAAAAAATAAAAAAAAAAAAGTTGCGCCAAGCTAAAGTTTGTGTATAAGTGTGTGTGTGTGTGTTTGTGTGTATGTGTGTGTGTATCTTTTTACACCTCTATCTACCGGTAAAACACAAATCTATGATCTACTTGAATACAAATTTGTAAATATTTATATTATTAGTTAATACAAGGAATTAAATTCTTCATATTGACAATGATATCAAACTACATTTAACTTTTAGTTTCTTAAGTTCTTTTAAAAAGTATATATTAGAAATAAAAAAGTAAATTATTGATGAAATTCAAGTGCATTAGCTCACATAGAGAAGACTTGTATCTAAAATAAAGCTAACACGTCCATCTCTGGGTGTTACTTCTTAAGTTTCACTCCAACAAAATTCAAACTAAAGTTGCCTCAAAGTTTGTGCTTTTAGAGATTTAAATCGCTAATACATTTTTGCAAACTCACACGTTTATAAATTAAAAAAAAAAAACAACTTCGAATTAAGCTTTGACTAAGATTCAACTAAAATATCAGGTAGTATGTATCGCCAGGTGTGTGTGTGTGGGGGGGGGGGATAGGTGAAACTAGGGCGTGGCCGCGAACACCAGGGAAGCAAGGGCAGGGAGGGCGATCAAGAGGAGGAAATTGACCATCGTGGACACGGCTGCTGAGTTTCCAGCCGCCACGGTGGTCGTCGTGGTGGTCGTTGTTGGTTTGGTGGTGCTGGTCGCCTTGGTTGTGGTGCTGGTAGGCTTGGTGGTGCTGCTGTTTGAGGCTGAGGTTGATGCTTTTGTGGTGCTAGCTGAACCTGATGTTGAAGCAGTCGTTGGCTTCGTCGTCGTTGGTGCTGCTGCTGTAGTTGGTGCTGCAGTTGAGGTTGGTGCTGCAGTTGAGGTTGGTGCTGCACTTGTAGATGGCGCTAAAGTTGAAGTTGGTGCTGCTGCTGTAGTTGGTGCTGCTGTTGTAGTTGTTGGTTTAGTTGTAGTGGTTGTAGGTGTTGTAGTTGTGGTAGTGGTCGATGTTGTAGTTGTTGGTTTAGTTGTGGTGGTAGTAGGTGTGGTAGTTGTTGTTGGTGTAGTTGTAGTGGTTGTTGGGGTCGTAGTTGTAGTAGTTGTTGGTGGTGTAGTTGTAGTTGTAGTTGTTGTGGTAGTTGTACTTGTGGTCGTAGTCGGCACTGAAAAAGTAAAAAAAGTAGTTGTGAGATTTAGACGAGATTTTTAAACACGGCTATGGAAGCTTATATCTTGATGGAGCCCATATATAGCGTGTAGAGGTAGTCAACATAACGAGTAGAGGTGAAGAGGTAGCAGAGGTAACAGAAGTAGCAGAAGTAGCAGAAATAGCAGAGGTAACAGAGGTAGCAGAGGTAACAGAAGTAGCAGAGGTAACAGAGGTAGCAGAGGTAGCAGAGGTAACAGAGGTAGCAGAGGTAACAGAAGTAGCAGAAGTAGCAGAAATAGCAGAGGTAACACAGGTAGCAGAGGTAACAGAAGTAGCAGAGGTAACAGAGGTAGCAGAGGTAGCAGAGGTAACAGAAGTAGCAGAGGTAGCAAAGGTAGCAGAGGTAGCAGAGGTAGCAGAGGTAACAGAGGTAGCAGAGGTAACAGAGGTAACAGAGGTAGCAGAGGTAACAGAGGTAGCAGAGGTAACAGAGGTAGCAGAGGTAGCAGAGGTAACAGAGGTAGCAGAGGTAACAGAGGTAACAGAGGTTGCAGAGGTAATAGAGGTAACAGAGGTAGCAGAGGTAACAGAAGTAGCAGAGGTAGCAGAGGTAGCAGAGGTAGCAGAGGTAACAGAGGTAACAGAGGTAGCAGAAATAGCAGAGGTAACAGGTAGCAGAGGTAGCAGAGGTAACAGAAGTAGCAGAGGTAGCAGAGGTAGCAGAGGTAACATAGGTAACATAGGTAGCAGAAATAGCAGAGGTAACAGGTAGCAGAGGTAGCAGAGGTAACAGAAGTAGCAGAGGTAGCAGAGGTAGCAGAGGTAACAGAGGTAGCAGAAATAGCAGAGGTAACAGAGGTAGCAGAGGTAGCAGAGGTAACAGAGGTAGCACAAACAGCAGAGGTAACAGAGGTAGCAGAAGTAGCAGAGGTAACAGAAGTAGAATAGGTAGCAGAGGTAACAGAGGTAGCAGAAATAGCAGAGGTAACAGAGGTAACAGAGGTAGCACAAATAGCAGAGGTAACAGAGGTAGCAGAGGTAGCAGAGGTAACAGAAGTAGAAGAGGTAGCAGAGGTAGCAGAGGTAACAGAGGTAGCAGAAATAGCAGAGGTAACAGAGGTAACAGAGGTAGCACAAATAGCAGAGGTAACAGAGGTAGCAGAGGTAGCAGAGGTAACAGAAGTAGAAGAGGTAGCAGAGGTAGCAGAGGTAACAGAGGTAGCAGAAATAGCAGAGGTAACAGAGGTAGCAGAGGTAGCAGAGGTAGCAGAGGTAGCAGAGGTAGCAGAGGTAGCAGAGGTAACAGAGGTAGCAGAGGTAACAGAGGTAGCAGAAATAGCAGAGGTAACAGAGGTAGCAGAGGTAGCAGAGGTAGCAGAGGTAGCAGAGGTAGCAGAGGTAACAGAGGTAGCAGAGGTAACAGAGGTAGCAGAGGTAACAGAGGTAGCAGAGGTAGCAGAGGTAGCAGAGGTAACAGAGGTAGCAGAGGTAACAGAGGTAGCAGAGGTAACAGAGGTAGCAGAGGTAACAGAGGTAGCAGAGGTAACAGAGGTAGCAGAGGTAACAGAGGTAGCAGAGGTAACAGAGGTAGCAGAGGTAACAGAGGTAGCAGAGGTAACAGAGGTAGCAGAGGTACATGCTATACGCTACTGTTCAGGTAAACAGATGCTAGATGGCGGGATCAAGCTTGTTTTATTCTGAATTATAGATTTACTTTACTTAATACAAATAAACAATCTTTCAATCAAACCACAACAATCTTTCAATCAAACCACAACAACCTTTTAATCAAACCACAACAACCTTTCAATCAAACCACAACAACCTTTTAATCAAACCACAACAACCTTTTAATCAAACCACAACAACCTTTCAATCAAACCACAACACAATCTTTCAATCAAACCACAACACAATCTTTCAATCAAACCACAACACAATCTTTCAATCAAACCACAACACAATCTTTCCATCAAACCACAACACAATCTTTCAATCAAACCACAACACAATCTTTCAATCAAACCACAACAATCTTTCAATCAAACCACAACAATCTTTCAATCAAACCACAACAATCTTTCAATCAAACCACAACAATCTTTCAATCAAACCAGAACAATCTTTCAATCAAAACACGTGTCTGTCACGTGATGACCTGGGTGATCAGACGATTGAGACTCACGTGGTTCCATACACAAGAAGGGGTAGGTGTAGGTGCAGTAGTCGTCATAGAGTTTCTTGGTGACGCCGTCAATTTCCACACAGTCGTAGGCGTTAGGGTAGACTGGCCAGGGGCAGTAGTCGTCCCACAGGAGGTTGGCCGAGATCTGCGTGGCTGTGCTGTTGTCTTCGGCCCACACGAAGGTGCCCTCCACAGCAATATCGTTGGCGCCACACCAGACATAGTCTGTCCAAAAGTTGGACCTTCTCCGTTAGACATTTAACGATTGCCGTTTTCTAATTACAGTTAAATATTAAATAAAACAAATGTCTAACAGATTGTTAATCAAAGATTGCAGAAGAAACGATGATGGTTCCCTTCATCAAGACGGACAGAACATTTTTGTTAGTTAAAAACTACAAACTTTTTGAGTGGTGAGAAAACTATATGTTGTGTTGACTGTAGTTACAATACACAAACACTAGTTTAAAAAACCTTTAGTGTTGTCTAACTAAACTGCTTTACTTGTAAACCATGGACAACATTTTACAGCTTTGAGTTAGGTGAGAATGCTTCACAGTGTCCTACATTTAAAAAATAACGGCTTACAGTTAGTTCCGAACAAAGTCCTACATTAAAACAAACGGCTTACAGTTAGTTCCGATAAAGTCCTACATTAAAACAAACGGCTTACAGTTAGTTCCGAACAAAGTCCTACATTAAAACAAACGGCTTACAGTTAGTTCCGATAAAGTCCTACATTAAAACAAACGGCTTACAGTTAGTTCCGAACAAAGTCCTAGATTAAAACAAACGGCTTACAGTTAGTTCCGAAGGTTGGGACCAAGACGTTAAGCTGGTTCTGTGTCGTGATTGTGGCGAGAGCTCCACCGATAGCCACACAAGACGACTGAAAGAAGAGAACACGTTGCTAATGTTCTGTGAACATGTTGCTAATGTTCCTTGAACATGTTGCTAATGTTCTGTGAGCAAGTTGCTAATGTTCTGTGAACATGTTGCTAATGTTCTGTGAACATGTTGCTAATGTTTTGTGAACATGTTGCTAATGTTTTGTGAACATGTTGCTAATGTTCTGTGAACAAGCTGCATTGTTGCACAAACTTTTTTTTTTAAAACATGTTCCGATTGTACAGGAACAATGAAAACTAAAGTCGAACAAATGTGCAATAAAATGTAAACACTGTGAGATAAAATGTTAATATTGTGTAATAAAACATAAAAATGTAAACAATGTGAGATGAAATGTAAACAATATGAGATAAATTTAAACAATGTGAGATAAAATGTAAACAAAGTGAGATGAAATGTAAACAATGTGAAATGAAATGTAAACAATGTGAGATGAAATGTAAATAATGTAAGATGAAATGTAAACAATGTGAGATGAAATGTAAACAATGTGAGATGAAATGTAAACAATGTGAGATGAAATGTAAACAATATGAGATAAATTTAAACAATGTGAGATAAAATGTAAACAAAGTGAGATGAAATGTAAACAATGTGAAATGAAATGTAAACAATGTGAGATGAAATGTAAATAATGTAAGATGAAATGTAAACAATGTGAGATGAAATGTAAACAATGTGAGATGAAATGTAAACAATGTGAGATGAAATGTAAACAATGTGAGATGAAATGTAAACAATGTGAGATGAAATGTAAACAATGTGAGATGAAATGTAAACAATGTGAGATGAAATGTAAACAATGTGAGATGAAATGTAAACAATGTGAGATGAAATGTAAACAATGTGAGATGAAATGTAGACAAAGTGAGATGAAATGTAAACAATGTGAGATGAAATGTAAACAATGTGAGATGAAATGTAAATAATGTGAGATGAAATGTAAACAATGTGAGATGAAATGTAGACAAAGTGAGATGAAATGTAAACAGTGTGAGATGAAATGTAAACAATGTGAGATGAAATGTAAATAATGTGAGATGAAATGTAAACAATGTGAGATGAAATGTAAACAATGTGAGATGAAATGTAAACAATGTGATATAAAATGTAAACAATGTGAGATTAAATGTAAACAATGTGAGATAAAATGTAAATATTGTGAAATAAAACATAAAAATGTAAACAGTGTGAGAAAAATGTATACAATGTGAGATGAAATATAAACAATGTGAGATTAAATGTAAACAATGTGAGATGAAATGTAAACAATGTGAGATGATATGTAAACAATGTGAGATGATATGTAAACAATGTGAGATGAAATGTAAACAATGTGAGATGATATGTAAACAATATGTGATGAAATGTAAACAATGTGAGATGAAATGTAAACAATGTGAGATGATATGTAAACAATGTGAGATGATATGTAAACAATGTGAGATGAAATGTAAACAATGTGAGATGATATGTAAACAATGTGAAATGATATGTAAACAATGTGAGATGATATGTAAACAATGTGAGATGATATGTAAACAATGTGAGATCAAATGTAAACAATGTGAGATGATATGTAAACATTGTGAGATGATATTTAAACAATATGTGATGAAATGTAAACAATGTGAGATGAAATGTAAACAATGTGAGATGAAATGTAAACAATGTGAGATGAAATGTAAACAATGTGATATGAAATGTAAACAATGTGAGATGAAATGTAAACAATGTGAGATGAAATGTAAACAATGTGTTACCTTTGCTTTAGCCCAGGTGACAGCTGTTGTGTTGAGCTTAAAACATCTCCCATCTACATATATGGAGCCGCTCCACATGCAAGTACCTGCGGTCAATCAAGTGGTCAAATGTCATCAGTGGTCAAATGCATCAGTGGTCATGGGGAATGGACATTAGTTTAGACATTGGACGGATGTCATCAGTGGTCATGGGGAATGGACATTTGTTTAGACATTGGACGGATGTCATCAGTGGTCATGGGGAATGGACATTTGTTTAGACATTGGACGGATGTCATCAGTGGTCATGGGGAATGGACATTTGTTTAGACATTGGACGGATGTCATCAGTGGTCATGGGGAATGGACATTGGACGGATCGAAAATTCCAGTAACTTTTGTCACCTGGTGACGTCAAGTTAGTTGTCCTGCTTTGTTTTCATGAATCAAACGCTCAACATATAGTTTATGCCTCTACATATATTTAGAATTAAAACGATTATTTATTATATTCTATGTAGCTCTATGTACAACACATCCACAGTTGATAGATTTAGATTTCTGTTCGTAAAGTCGATACACAATAAATTAAAAACTTATTTCTCCTGTTCTAATATAATGACTACATGTAGCCAGTGGCGGAACTAGAAAAAAAGGGCCACCCCGCAAAATATTTTTTGAGGCCCCCTATATATATATATATATATATATATATATATATATATATATAGTTTTAACGATACGCCCGTTTGCTATTTTTATTTGGTTCTAACACTAGATCTATAATCAATTTTCAACAGTTCTTCTAATATGAGAATACAATAAATTTCTCTTGTTCTACAGATAAGCTGTCAGAGGAAGGGAAAGTCAAAGTAGAATCTCGATCTATACTTAAAATTAAACCAAAATTAATTAGATAAAAATAAAACGATTATAAAAACACAATAAATAATTGAGTTTATTTATTAAACTATTTTAGTCCTTAATTATTTGATATAATACTTTGCTTTTTGCTTCACGGATAATCTGATTCGAGAATACAATGTCTTTGTCTAGAGCTACGGATAAACTAGACTTAAGCCCTTAAGGCAGACCTATATATCTAGATTCTAGATCTAGAACTCTAGATATCTAGATATAGCAGCATTCTAGCTCTATCTAGATCTAAAATCTATGCCAATAATGAGTTTCTTTACTAAACTATTTCAGGCTATAATTATTTTATATAAATCTGTGTTTGTTTTGCCATGGAATTGGTTAATTTGGGACATGCTTTAATTTGAAATAATAGGGCTTATTAGCGTAACTCAATTTTCTTAAGAAGTAAAGAATCCGACAATTTTGCACTTAATCGGAAGTACCCAGCTAGATGTCAATGGTAAATTCTTTTTTTTTTTTTTTTTTTTTTTCAGATTTGAGTGACAAAGTTGCCTATTGGGACTTGGTGGGACACGGCGCAGGTGAAACAGAGTTCACCTGTTTCTGTGTCCTCAGCTTATGAAGGGATAGTGTGGTCAGACCCATGCACAGCCGAAATGGTTGTTTTTAGAATACAATAACACGTTGCCAGAGGTGTGACGTCTTTTTGCATGTGGGGTCTGACTTTTTGTAAAGATATGCGACAGTGGGAAGGGAAGGGGTAAGACATGGATGACCCCCGAAACACACGGTTAATCAAGAATAACGGGTAGTCTAGTAATATGTAATACGAGCCGGCCCGCGGCATAACATACGCCGCTATTTAGTTGTTGTTTTTTCTACTTTTCAGTAATTCATAATTTGTGAATTCGACAGTACCAACGCTGACACTGAAAATATTTCTTTAAAACACGAAACCCCCTTTCCCCCCCCCCCCCCCACGTGAAAGCAGCCTCCTCTTAGTTACCTCCTCTAAGTTTAAAATCGTTTCAAACTAAATTATCTGCCCCTATTGGCCGTCACCAAACCCGTCTCTATGATTGTAAAATGTAAACAGCGTGAACCACAGCTCACCAAACCATGTGAGGGGGTGGGGTGGGGTGAGGGGGTGGGGTGAGGGGGTGAGGTGGGGGGGGGGTGGGGTGTGGTAGCAATAGAGAGGAAGAGAGGGGACTAAGGCGAGGTTGCAGCTTGTTTTCTAACGGCTCCCAGAAGAGAATTATATATATATATATATATATATATATATATAATATTTAACACGTCATATAATGACTACATGTAACACGGCATAACTTTTAAAACTTTACTATTGTTAGCAAACGTTATTTTAATCTGTGGTATATGATATCTACATTTTTTGTAGAATTGTGACGTATGTTATCGACATATTGTTGACCAACTGTGACGTATGTTAAATGTGACGTATGTTATCGACATATTGTTGAACAACTGTGACGTATGTTATCGACATATTGTTGACCAACTGTGACTTACCTGTTTGAGACTGCACCGCCGTATAGAAGAGAGCGAGCGATACAAACAGCAGACCGAACTTCTTGACGTCAAACATCTTCACAATCTGCTCGAAAACCCCAGAGGCCACTGCAAGTCTAGACAAATACCTCAAGACGATTTCACGAACCTTTGAAAGAAAAAAAAACGGTCCAGAAGTAAATCAAACAGTGGAATTAACATAAGACGAACGTAAACTTTAAAAAGCTGGGTGAAGTAGTTTCGACGTACGTGAGGTCTGCCGACTGGTGCTTGCTGTCTGGTGCTTGCTGTCTGCCCCTAGATGTGGCTAGGTTTATATACTCGAGGATATCCGCCCCAACCCCACTGGACAATCTTCAACCTGATCTCGAGAATTGTAACCCCTGGGGCTGGACGACACACACGTCATATCTTTGTTTCAAGTCCGACATGAGAAGGTCTATTGTTGAGTAACAGGATAATCCTAATCTTTTAATTATCTACCTTTACAATTGATCTCACAATCGTGATAGTTTTTAAAATCCATGATCGATTTCTGACCTGAGATTTTATGTTCCGAAACAATCACATTTTTTATATTAATTAGAATTATCACATTCACATCTTAGTTCCAAGTAGCTATAGTTAAAGTAAATGTTGTCCAAGTAAATGTAGTCCAAGTAAATGTTGTCTAAATTAATGTGGTACAAGTTAATGTAGTGCGAAATGTAGACTTCATTAATATAGTCCAAGTAAATGTTGTCTAAATTAATGTGGTACAAGTTAATGTAGTGCGAAATGTAGACTTCATTAATATAGTCCAAGTAAATTTTGTCTAAATTAATGTAGTACAAGTTAATGTAGTGAAAAATGTAGACTTCATGAATGTTGTTCAAGTATATGTAGTCTAAAAGATCATTGAACCGGTTATAGTCAAGACGTCGATTTGTGTACGTCGTAAAATCAGTGATAGAAGCAATAATGCACAATTTCAACATTGCAGGGTCGTTTATTAAATGCGTTTTATTTATTTAGCAAATGATTTGAGTCTTATATAATAGCAACATAACTTGACACCATTTCAACATGTTACAACATCAACTTGACACCATTTCAACATGTTACGAAATAACTTGACACCATTTCGACATGTTACAACATAACTTAACACCATTTCAACATGTCACTCTATCAATATGTCAACACTTCATCATCTCATTACACCAACATGTCATTATACAAACATCTCATTACACAAACATGTCATTACACCAACATGTCATTACACCAACATGTCATTACACAAACATCTCATTACTCAAACATGTCATTACACCAACATGTCATTATACAAACATCTCATTACACAAACTTGTCATTACACCAACATTTCATTACACCAACATGTCATTATACAAACATGTCATTACACCAACATGTCATTACACCAACATGTCATTACACCAACATGTCATTATACAAACATCTCATTACACAAACTTGTCATTACACCAACATTTCATTACACCAACATGTCATTATAAAAACATGTCATTACACCAACATGTCATTACACCAACATTTCATTACACCAACATGTCATTATAAAAACATGTCATTACACCGACATCTCATTACACAAACATGCCATTACACCAACATCTCATTACACCAACATCTCATTACACCAACATCTCATTACACCAACATGTCATTATACAAACATGTCATTACACCAACATGTCATTACACCAACATGTCATTACACCAACATGTCATTACACCAACATCTCATTACACCAACATGTCATTATACAAACATGTCATTACACCAACATGTCATTACACCAACATGTCATTATAAAAACATGTCATTACACAAACATGTCATTACACCAACATGTCATTATACAAACATCTCATTACACAAACATGTCATTATACAAACATGTCATTACACCAACATGTCATTACACCAACATGTCATTACACCAACATTTCATTACACCAACATGTCATTACACCAACATCTCATTACACAAGCATGTCATTATACAAACATGTCATTACACCAACATGTCATTATACAAACATGTCATTACACCAACATGTCATTATAAAAACATGTCATTACACCAAAATGTCATTACACCAACATCTCATTACACCAACATCTCATTACACCAACATCTCATTACACCAACATCTCATTACACCAACATCTCATTACACCAACATGTCATTACACCAACATTTCATTACATCAACATGTCATTACACCAACATGTCATTACACCAACATTTCATTACACCAACATGTCATTATACAAACATGTCATTACACCAACATGTCATTACACCATGTTATTACACCAACATGTCATTACACCAACATGTCATTACACCATGTCATTACACCAACATGTCATTACACCAACAAGTCATTACATGACACCCGTATGACCTGACTTCAGTATGAGACAATATCAACTTGACAAGACATCACATGACATTAGCCTAACATGACATGACACGGATATTATTACATCAACATGATATGACACGACATCATATGACATCAACCTGATATAACTTGACATTACATCAACATGGCATGACGCATGACCTTCTATTTTGACCACTGAGTTAATATCTTCAATATTTCTGCTGTAGTTTGTAGTCTGTAACATATAACACCTAGCCGGTAACCTGTAACCTGTAGCCTGTAGCCTCTAGCCTGTAACCTGTAGCCTGTAGCCTGTAACCTGTAGCCTGTAACCTGTAGCCTGTAGCCTGTAGCCTGTAGCCTGTAGCCTGTAGCCTGTAGCCTGTAGCCTGTAGCCTGTAGCCTGTAGCCTGTAGCCTGTAGCCTGTAGCCTGTAGCCTGTAGCCTGTAGCCTGTAGCCTGTAGCCTGTAGCCTGTAACCTGTAACCTGTAGCTTGTAACCTGTAGCCTGTAGCCTGTAGCCTGTTACCGGTAGCCTGTAACCTGTAGCCTGTAGCCTGTAGCCTGTAACCGGTAGCCTGTAACCTGTAGCCTGTAACCTGTAGCCTGTAACCTGTAGCCTGTAGCCTGTAGCCTGTAGCCTGTAGCCTGTAGCCTGTAGCCTGTAGCCTGTAGCCTGTAGCCTGTAGCCTGTAGCCTGTAGCCTGTAGCCTGTAGCCTGTAACCTGTAACCTGTAGCCTGTAGCCTGTAGCCTGTAGCCTGTAGCCTGTAGCCTGTAGCCTGTAGCCTGTAGCCTGTAGCCTGTAACCTGTAACCTGTAGCCTGTAGCCTGTAGCCTGTAACCGGTAGCCTGTAACCTGTAGCCTGTAGCCTGTAGCCTGTAACCGGTAGCCTGTAACCTGTAGTCTGTAACCTGTAGCCTGTAACCGGTAGCCTGTAACCTGTAGCCTGTAACCTGTAGCCTGTAACCTGTAGCCTGTAACCTGTAGCCTGTAGCCTGTAACCTGTAGCCTGTAGCCTGTAGCCTGTAGCCTGTAGCCTGTAACCGGTAGCCTGTAGCCTGTAGCCTGTAACCGGTAGCCTGTAACCTGTAGCCTGTAACCTGTAGCCTGTAGCCTGTAGCCTGTAGCCTGTAACATGTAGCCTGTAGCCTGTAGCTAAGTACATATAACCGCACCTCTAGATCTTGGGATTATCGAACAATTATCTTCTGAGTGGTTTACTTTGTTACGTTAGTGTTACTGACACATTGATTTTAAAATATGTTGCAGCCAGGATTAAGTTATGTAACAACCAGGTTTTAAATTCTGCAACCAGGTTTTAAATTCTAGCAACCAGGTTTTAAATTTTGCCAACCAGGTTATAAATTCTGCCAACCAGGTTTTAAATTCTGGCAACCAGGTTTTACATTCTAGCAACCAGGTTTTAAATTCTGGCAACCATGTTTTAAATTCTGGCAACCAGGTTTTAAATTCTGCCAACCAGGTTTTAAATTCTGGCAACCAGGTTATAAATTCTGCCAACCAGGTATTAAATTCTGGCAACCAGGTTATAAATTCTGCCAACCAGGTTTTACATTCTAGCAACCAGGTTTTAAATTCTGGCAACCATGTTTTAAATTCTGTCAACTAGGTTTTGAATTCTGGCAACCAGGTTTTAAATTCAGGCAACCAGGTTTTAAATTCTGGCAAACAGGTTTTAAACTCTGCCAACCAGGTTTTACATTCTAGCAACCACGTTTTAAATTCTGGCAACCAGGTTTTAAATTCTGCCAAACAGGTTTTAAATTCTGGTAACCAGGTTTTAAATTCTGGCAACCAGGTTTTAAATTCTGCCAAACAGGTTTTAAATTCTGGCAACCAGATTTAAAATTCTGCCAACCGGGTTTTAAATTCTAGCAACCAGGTTTTAAATTCTGGCAACCAGGTTTTAAATTCTGGCAACCAGGTTTTAAATTCTGGCAACCAGGTTTTAAATTCTGGCAACCAGGTGTTAAATTCTGGCAACCAGGTTTTAAATTCTGCCAACCAGGTTTTAAATTCTGGCAACCAAGTTTTAAATTCTGGCAACCAGGTTTTAAATTCTGGCAACCAGGTTTTAAATTCTGGCAACCAAGTTTTAAATTCTGGCAACCAGGTTTTAAATTCTGGCAACCAGGTTTTAAATTCTGGCAATCAGGTTTTAAATCCTAGCAACCAGGTTTTAAATTCTGGCAACCAGGTTTTAAATTCTGGCAACCAAGTTTTAAATTCTGGCAATCAGGTTTTAAATTCTGGCAACCAGGTTTTAAATTCTAGCAATCAGGTTTTAAATCCTAGCAACCAGGTTTTAAATTCTGGCAACCAGGTTTTAAATTCTGGCAATCAGGTTTTAAATCCTAGCAACCAGGTTTTAAATTCTGGCAACCAGGTTTTAAATTCTGCCAACCAGGTTTTAAATCCTAGCAACCAGTTTCGGTCTTAAGTTTCGCCATGGATCACATTATGGGTAAAAGTAGCTACACTCTATATAAGTCTACACGCTGGGTAAAGGTAGCATGTAGCTACACTCTATATAGGTCTACATGCTGGGTAAATGTAGCATGTAGCTACACTCTATATAGGTCTACATGCTGGGTAAAGGTAGCATATGGCTACATATTTTGTGAGATTGAACTTTAAAGTTGGTTCAAATAATTGTTATGCTAAATAGTAAAATGTAAAGATGTATTTGCTAACAAATTTTATTTACAAAAAGAAGCCTACACTTGAAAAAAATGTAAGTAAACGTTTACAATTGTTGATATTGATAAATTGATAAGTTACACATTTTATGAGCATTGATTTTCTTAACACTTTCTATATTTCTGTGCTTGTTTGTTTGTGTGTGGATTTGTGGACATTCTCTAATTTGCTTTTGACCAACATTTTTGCAGCGCTTTCGTTCTAGTTTTCAAGGTACGTTCGTGTGTTATGACAGCGCTAAAATATCCAATTAAAATAATAACAACCTTTTTTGTAATAATGCACTAAAAAGTAGAAAATAAAGTATACGCTATTATTTAAATAACTATAAAAAAATATTTGGCCACTTTAGTATCTATTGGATACCTTTACTAATGTTAAGGAAGACACCCACGCTTTTCTTTATAGTTTTTTAAATAGAAGTCTATAATTTATTTTCTCTTTTTTTTAGTGCATTAGTACATAAAAGCTTGTTATTAAAACGTTTTTTATGAAAAACATTTTAGTAGGCCTACTTTACATGTTTTATTTACAGTAGAATTACATGACTAAAAACCATTGCGCACCTATTGAATGTGATGACGCGTGTCTAATATTGCGGAATAGTTTGATGAGTCAGCCTACTGATTTGGACAAAATTTTAATTAATTCATAAAAAATTAATTAGACACCCAGAGTCAAATTTAATGTCATGTTGCATTGTTTTCATGTCTTGACCCACGTACCAACGACGAACCGTATCTGTCAGTTAGAAGTGCCTGTAATTTAGCTCGGACGTTTCGATGTAGACAGACTGACGACAGACTGACGACTAAAGACAGAGGAAGTGAGTTAAAAAAACAACCTTGTAAAACATTTCATTAAAAACGTTTTTATACACGTTTTTATGTAATAATGCACTAAAAAGTAGAAAATAAATGATACACTACTATTTAAATAACTATAAAGAAAAGCGTGGGTCACTTTAGTATCTATTGGGTACCTTTACTAATTTTTAGGAAGATACCCACGCTTTTCTTTATAGTTATTTAAATAGCAGTGTATAATTAATGTTCTACTTTTTAGTGCATTATTACATAAAAGCTTGTTATTAAAACGTTTTTTATGAAAAAAAAACATTAATTTCTTTACATGTTTTATTTACACTAGGGTTGCATGACAAAAAACCATTGCGCACCTATTGAACGTGATGACGCGTGTATAATAGCGCGGAATAGTTTGATGAGACAGCTTACTAGTTTGGACAACCTTTTAATTAATTCATAAAAAATTAATTAGGCAACCAATTAAGTCAAATTTAATGTCATGTTGCATTGTCTTCATGTCTTGACCCACGTACCAACTACAAACCGTATCTGTCAGTCAGAAGTGTCAGCAATTTCGCTCGGGCGTTTCGATCTAGACAGACTGACGACTGACGAGGAAGTGAGTTAAATAAAAGCTTGTAAAAAAAAACAAATTGGGTTTTGAATAAGTCATTCAAAATTACAATTATTACATTATTTAATTCAGAAAAAAAGGGGATACCAAGATGAATGCAGGGTAACAGCAGTTACCTGTTAGTCATGGGAGAATGATTACATCAACAGACAAACTAACATCTTCATAAATTAAGACATTCAAACTTTCAAACTGAGCATTATCAGGTGGATTAGCAGCTTTACCAGGTGTATTAACACAATGAAACGAAGTGTCACCCTATGCTGGCTTGTAAAGAGTGAGCCTGCTTTGACGGATGTATTTATTCTCTGTGTGTGAGTAACTATCGATGTCCACTGAATTCAGTGTTTCATTTTTATTTTTGTTTTTTGTTTGTTGTAGACATTAAACTACTTTCTCCCACCCCCCCACCCCCCGCCGAAGAGATGCCTGGAAGAAACTCTGCTCCTGGGGAGCAAAGGATCACAGCTACACCTCTTCTGGGGAGCAAAGGACCGCAACTACACCTCTTCTGGGGAGCAAAGGATCACAGCTACATCTCTTCTGGGGAGCAAAGGACCGCAACTACACCTCTTCTGTGGAGCAAAGGATCACAGCTACACCTCTTCTGGGGAGCAAAGGACCGCAACTACACCTCTTCTGTGGAGCAAAGGATCACAGCTACACCTCTTCTGGGGAGCTAAGGGTTATAACTACAGCTCTCATGGGTAGCAATGGGCTACAACTACACATCTCCTACGAAGCTAAGGGTTATAACTACAGCTCTCATGGGTAGCAATGGGCTACAACTACACATCTCCTAGGAAGCTAAGGGTTATAACTACAGCTCTCATGGGTAGCAATGGGCTACAACTACACATCTCCTAGGAAGCTAAGGGTTATAACTACAGCTCTCCTGAGGACTAAAAGAAGGCTACAGCTTTCTAATCGACAGTTCTCTTCAATAATATTTCAACAGTTGCAAGCTATCATTCAAGCTCAATTTTCTTGATAAATGTCCGTTACGTCACTAGATTTTGTTTACAATAGAAGTCGTTAGCTGTTCCACGTGTAAGGTACAAATATCCAATTCTGGTTCAAGGACGACGAGTTGCATGGTTCCAGAACTGGACCGAGATCTGCTGCCGCCACACACAGCTCGCTCTCCTGGTGGATGATCTGTGTCTGGAGGCCAGAATACACGTCACAGTACATCAATGTCACATGTTGCAGTTGTTCATGTCATATGTTGCAGTTGTTCATGTCATATGTTGCAGTTGTTCATGTCATATGTTGCAGTTGTTCATGTCATAAGTTGCAGTTCTTCATGTCATAAGTTGCAGTTGTTCATGTCATAAGTTGCAGTTGTTCATGTCATATGTTGCAGTTGTTCATGTCATATGTTGCAGTTGTTCATGTCATAAGTTGCAGTTGTTCATGTCATATGTTGCAGTTGTTCATGTCATATGTTGCAGTTGTTCATGTCATAAGTTGCAGTTGTTCATGTCATATGTTGCAGTTGTTCATGTCATATGTTGCAGTTGTTCATGTCATATGTTGCAGTTGTTCATGTCATATGTTGCAGTTGTTCATGTCATATGTTGCAGTTGATAATGTCATATGTTGCAGTTGATAATGTCATATGTTGCAGTTGATAATGTCATATGTTGCAGTTGTTCATGTCATAAGTTGCAGTTGTTTATGTCATAAGTTGCAGTTGTTAATGTCATAAGTTGCAGTTGTTTATGTCATAAGTTGCAGTTGTTAATGTCATAAGTTGCTGTTCATGTCATACGAGTTTTAAATATAATAGTGCTATAAGTTGTACAAATCTATGATATCTTAACAAATTCCAAAAACAAATCTAATATCTTAACAAACAATTCCAAAAACAAATCTAATATCTTAACAAACAATTCTAAAACAAATCGAATATCTTAACAAACAATTCTAAAAACAAATCTAATATTTTAACAAACAATTCCAAAAACAAATCTAATATCTTAACAAACAATTCTAAAAACAAATCTAATAACTTGACAAACAATTCCAAAAAATCAAATCTGATATCTTAACATGTGAGTCTTTTCCAACAGTTTCAGTTATGATGCACATGGAGCAGTAGGTCAAATAAATCACTGACCTGGTTATAGATCCAGCCGTCAGCTGCACCCATGTAACAATCTTCAATCTGTAGGTGAGCACTGTCTGCACTGTCTGCACTGTCTGAGGCTACCACACAGTGCATCGTCGCCCTCAACAGGCCATCAGTGTGTAGCGAGAAGCCCTGACAGACCAACATCATATTCAGATGACAGACCAACATCAGACATTACATCAAACACCGACATCAGACATTACATTAAACACCATCATCAGACATTACATCAAACACCAACATCAGACATTACATCAAACACCAACATCAGACATTACATCAAACACCAACATCAGACATTACATCAAACACCAACATCAGACATTACATCAAACACCAACATCAGACATTACATCAAACACCAACATCAGACATTACATCAAACACCAACATCAGACATTACATCAAACACCAACATCAGACATTACATCAAACACCAATATCAGACATTACATCAAACACCAACATCAGACATTATATCAAACACCAACATCAGACATTACATCAAACACCAACATCCGACATTACATCAAACACCAACATCAGACATTACATCAAACACCATCATCAGACATTACATCAAACACCAACATCAGACATTACATCAAACACCATTATCAGACATTACATCAAACACCAACATCAGACATTACATCAAACACCATCATCAGACATTACATCAAACACCAACATCCGACATTACATCAAACACCAACATCATACATTACATCAAACACCATCATCAGACATTACATCAAACACCAACATCAGACATTACATCAAACACCAACATCAGACATTACATCAAACACCAACATCCGACATTACATCAAACACCAACATCAGACATTACATCAAACACCATCATCAGACATTACATCAAACACCATCATCAGACATTACATCAAACTCCAACATCAGACATTACATCAAATACCAACATCAGACATTACATCAAACACCAACATCAGACATTACATCAAACACCAACATCAGACATTACATCAAACACCAACATCAGACATTACATCAAACACCAACATCAGATATTACATCAAACACCAACATCAGACATTACATCACAGACCAACATCAGACATTACATCAAACACCAACATCAGACATTACATCAAACACCATCATCAGACATTACATCAAACACCATCATCAGACATTACATCAAACACCAACATCAGACATTACATCAAACACCAACATCCGACATTACATCAAACACCAACATCAGACATTACATCAAACACGTACATCAGACATTACACCAAACACCAACATCAGACATTACATCAAACACCAACATCAGACATTACATCAAACACCAACATCAGACATTACATCAAACACCAACATCAGACATTACATCACAGACCAACATCAGACATTACATCAAACACCAACATCAGACATTACATCAAACACCATCATCAGACATTACATCAAACACCATCATCAGACATTACATCAAACACCAACATCAGACATTACATCAAATACCAACATCAGACATTACATCAAACACCAACATCAGACATTACATCAAACACCAACATCAGACATTACATCAAACACCAACATCAGACATTACATCAAACACCAACATCAGACATTACATCAAACACCAACATCAGACATTACATCACAGACCAACATCAGACATTACATCAAACACCAACATCAGACATTACATCAAACACCATCATCAGACATTACATCAAACACCATCATCAGACATTACATCAAACACCAACATCAGACATTACATCAAACACCAACATCCGACATTACATCAAACACCAACATCAGACATTACATCAAACACCAACATCAGACATTACATCAAACACCATCATCAGACACTACATCAAACACCAACATCAGACATTACATCAAACACCAACATCAGACATTACATCAAACACCAACATCAGACATTACATCAAACACCAACATCAGACATTACATCAAAGACCAACATCAGACATTACATCACAGACCAACATCAGACGACAAACCAAAATGAGAAATTAAAGACTTTAAATACCTTGAAACAAGTACCCCCCTCCCCCACCACCACCCCCCATCCACCCACCTGGATATTCAGAGGCTGGTCACATGACCTCAGGTTGAGGGGCCCTCTGTCCTGGTACATGAAATTGGCCGTGTCAAAACAAGTGTTTGTTGCTGGGTTCATGACCTGTAGACACACATGGCACTTACAAAGGCCACTCGTGGTCAATTTATTCATCCCATGACCCGTGGTCATTTCATTCATCCCATGACCCGTGGTCATTTCATTCATCCCATGACCCGTGGTCATTTCATTCATCCCATGACCTGTGGTCATTTCATTCATCCCGTGACCCTTGACCCATGACCCGTGCTCAATAGATTTAATCAAGACCGGTGGTTTACTGCTCCCAGTGGTGACTAGACTTTGTACTCAGATGTCAGACACACTAGATGTCAGACACACTAGATGTCAGATGTCAGACACACTAGATGTCAGATGTCAGACACACTAGATGTCAGATGTCAGACACACTAGATGTCAGATGTCAGACACACTAGATGTCAGATGTCAGACACACTAAATGTCAGATGTCAGACACACTAGATGTCAGATGTCAGACACACTAGATGTCAGATGTCAGACACACTAGATGTCAGATGTCAGACACAATAGATGTCAAATGTCAGACACACTAGATGTCAGATGTCAGACACACTAGATGTCAGATGTCAGACACACTAGATGTCAGATGTCAGACACACTAGATGTCAGATGTCAGACACACTAGATGTCAGATGTCAGACACACTAGATGTCAGATGTCAGACACACTAGATGTCAGATGTCAGACACACTAGATGTCAAATGTCAGACACACTAGATGTCAGATGTCAGACACACTAGATGTCAGATGTCAGACACACTAGATGTCAGATGTCAGACACACTAGATGTCAGATGTCAGACACACTAGATGTCAGATGTCAGACACACTAGATGTCAGATGTCAGACACACTAGATGTCAGATGTCAGACACACTAGATGTCAGATGTCAGACACACTAGATGTCAGATGTCAGACACACTAGATGGCAGATGTCAGACACACTAGATGTCAGATGTCAGACACACTAGATGTCAGATGTCAGACACACTAGATGTCAGATGTCAGACACACTAGATGTCAGATGTCAGATGTCAGACACACTAGATGTCAGATGTCAGACACACTAGATGTCAGATGTCAGATGTCAGACACACTAGATGTCAGATGTCAGACACACTAGATGTCAGATGTCAGATGTCAGACACACTAGATGTCAGATGTCAGATACACTAGATGTCAGATGTCAGACACACTAGATGTCAGATGTCAGACACACTAGATGTCAGATGTCAGACACACTAGATGTCAGATGTCAGACACACTAGATGTCAGATGTCAGACACACTAGATGTCAGATGTCAGACACACTAGATGTCAGATGTAGATGTCAGACACACTAGATGTCAGATGTCAGACACACTAGATGTCAGATGTCAGACACACTATATGTCAGATGTCAGACACACTAGATGTCAGATGTCAGACACACTAGATGTCAGATGTCAGACACACTAGATGTCAGATGTCAGACACACTAGATGTCAGATGTCAGACACACTAGATGTCAGATGTCAGACACACTAGATGTCAGATGTCAGATGTCAGACACACTAGATGTCAGATGTCAGACACACTAGATGTCAGATGTCAGATGTCAGACACACCAGATGTCAGATGTCAGATGTCAGACACACTAGATGTCAGATGTCAGATGTCAGACACACTAGATGTCAGATGTCAGATGTCAGACACACTAGATGTCAGATGTCAGATGTCAGACACACTAGATGTCAGATGTCAGATACACTAGATGTCAGATGTCAGACACACTAGATGTCAGATGTCAGACACACTAGATGTCAGATGTCAGACACACTAGATGTCAGATGTCAGACACACTAGATGTCAGATGTCAGACACACTAGATGTCAGATGTCAGACACACTAGATGTCAGATGTCAGACACACTATATGTCAGATGTCAGACACACTAGATGTCAGATGTCAGACACACTAGATGTCAGATGTCAGATGTCAGATGTCAGACACACTAGATGTCAGATGTCAGACACACTAGATGTCAGATGTCAGACACACTAGATGTCAGATTCAGACACACTAGATGTCAGATGTCAGACACACTAGATGTCAGATGTCAGACACACTAGATGTCAGATGTCAGACACACTAGATGTCAGATGTCAGACACACTAGATGTCAGATGTCAGACACACTAGATGTCAGATGTCAGACACACTAGATGTCAGATGTCAGACACACTAGATGTCAGATTTCAGACACACTAGATGTCAGATGTCAGACACACTAGATGTCAGATGTCAGACACACTAGATGTCAGATGTCAGACACACTAGATGTCAGATGTCAGACACACTATATGTCAGATGTCAGACACACTAGATGTCAGATGTCAGACACACTAGATGTCAGATGTCAGACACACTAGATGTCAGATGTCAGACACACTAGATGTCAGATGTCAGATGTCAGACACACTAGATGTCAGATGTCAGACACACTAGATGTCAGATGTCAGACACACTGGATGTCAGATGTCAGATGTCAGACACACTAGATGTCAGATGTCAGACACACTAGATGTCAGATGTCAGATGTCAGACACACTAGATGTCAGATGTCAGACACACTAGATGTCAGATGTCAGACACACTAGATGTCAGATGTCAGACACACTAGATGTCAGATGTCAGACACACTAGATGTCAGATGTCAGACACACTAGATGTCAGATGTCAGACACACTAGATGTCAGATGTCAGACACACTAGATGTCAGATGTCAGACACACTAGATGTCAGATGTCAGACACACTAGATGTCAGATGTCAGACACACTAGATGTCAGATGTCAGACACACTAGATGTCAGATGTCAGACACACTAGATGTCAGATGTCAGACACACTAGATGTCAGATGTCAGTCACACTAGATGTCAGATGTCAGACACACTAGATGCCAGATGTCAGACACACTAGATGTCAGATGTCAGATGTCAGACACACTAGATGTCAGATGTGAAATACACTAGATGTCAGATGTGAAATACACTAGATGTCAGATGTCAGACACACTAGATGTCAGATGTCAGACACACTAGACGTCAGATGTCAGACACACTAGATGTCAGATGTTAGACACACTAGATGTCAGATGTGAAATACACTAGATGTCAGATGTCAGACACACTAGATGTCAGATGTCAGATGTCAGACACACTAGATGTCAGATGTCAGACACACTAGATGTCAGATGTCAGATGTCAGACACATTAGATGTTAGATGTCAGACACACTAGATGTCAGATGTGAAACACACTAGATGTCAGATGTCAGACACACTAGATGTCAGATGTCAGACACACTAGATGTCAGATGTGAAATACAATAGTTGTCAGTTGAAGCTGACACGTTAGACCAGAATTTCTAGAGCTAAGCTCGACCAAGATGACGTGACTGACCCTCCCCCAGGCCAGGACCTTCTCGTCGTACACGTTAAGCTCAGGCCAGACGTTGTACAGGTACCAGCTGAAGTCTCGACACTCTAGGCGCACTCGGATGTCATCTCGCTCGCTGACGTCACCGACATCTAGGTCCTGGTTGATGGGTCAAGAATTGATTTAAAAGAAAGTTACCCCATTCTAGGTCCTGTTTGATGGGTCAAGAATTGATTTAAAAGAAAGTTACCCCATTCTAGGTCCTGTTTGATGGGTCAAGAATTGATTTAAAAGAAAGTTACCCCATTCTAGGTCCTGTTTGATGGGTCAAGAATTGATTTAAAAGAAAGTTACCCCATTCTAGGTCCTGTTTGATGGGTCAAGAATTGATTTAAAAGAAAGTTACCCCATTCTAGGTCCTGTTTGATGGGTCAAGAATTGATTTAAAAGAAAGTTACCCCATTCTAGGTCCTGTTTGATGGGTCAAGAATTGATTTAAAAGAAAGTTACCCCATTCTAGGTCCTGTTTGATGGGTCAAGAGTTGATTTAGAAGAAAGTTATCCCATTCTAGGTCCTGTTTGATGGGTCAAGAATTGATTTAGAAGAAAGTTACCCCATTCTAGGTCCTGTTTGATGGGTCAAGAATTGATTTAGAAGAAAGTTACCCCATTCTAGGTCCTGTTTGATGGGTCAAGAATTGATTTAGAAGAAAGTTACCCCATTCTAGGTCCTGTTTGATGGGTCAAGAGTTGATTTAAAAGAAAGTTACCCCATTCTAGGTCCTGTTTGATGGGTCAAGAATTGATTTAAAAGAAAGTTACCCCATTCTAGGTCCTGTTTGATGGGTCAAGAATTGATTTAAAAGAAAGTTACCCCATTCTAGGTCCTGTTTGATGGGTCAAGAATTGATTTAGAAGAAGGTTACCCCATTCTAGGTCCTGTTTGATGGGTCAAGAGTTGATTTAGAAGAAAGTTACCCCATTCTAGGTCCTGTTTGATGGGTCAAGAATTGATTTAAAAGAAAGTTACCCCATTCTAGGTCCTGTTTGATGGGTCAAGAGTTGATTTAGAAGAAAGTTATCCCATTCTAGGTCCTGTTTGATGGGTCAAGAGTTGATTTAGAAGAAAGTTACCCCATTCTAGGTCCTGTTTGATGGGTCAAGAGTTGATTTAGAAGAAAGTTATCCCATTCTAGGTCCTGTTTGATGGGTCAAGAGATGATTTAGAAGAAAGTTACCCCATTCTAGGTCCTGTTTGATGGGTCAAGAATTGATTTTAAAAAAAGTTACCCCATTCTAGGTCCTGTTTGATTGGTCAAGAATTGATTTAGAAGAAAGTTACCCCATTCTAGGTCCTGTTTGATGGGTCAAGAATTGATTTAGAAGAAAGTTACCCCATTCTATGTCCTGTTTGATGGGTCAAGAATTGATTTAAAAGAAAGTTACCCCATTCTAGGTCCTGTTTGATGGGTCAAGAATTGATTTAAAAAAAAGTTACCCCATTCTAGGTCCTGTTTGATGGGTCAAGAATTGATTTAGAAGAAAGTTACCCCATTCTAGGTCCTGTTTGATGGGTCAAGAATTGATTTAGAAGAAAGTTACCCCATTCTAGGTCCTGTTTGATGGGTCAAGAATTGATTTAAAAGAAAGTTACCCCATTCTAGGTCCTGTTTGATGGGTCAATAATTGATTTAAAAAAAGTTACTGAGGTCGAAAAGAATGTTACCCGCATGACCTACATACAAACCAGAGGTCGAGAAGAAAGTTACCCCCATGACCTACATACAATCCAGAGGTCGAGAAGGAAGTTACCCCCATGACCTACATACAAGCCAGAGTTCGAGAAGAAAGTTACCCCCATGACCTACATACAAGCCAGAGGTCGAGAAGAAAGTTACCCCCATGACCTACATACAAACCAGAGGTCGAGAAGGAAGTTACCCCCATGACCTACATACAAGCCAGAGGTCGAAAAGTAAGTTACCCCCATGACCTACATACAAGCCAGAGGTCGAGAAGGAATGTACCCCCATGACCTACATACAAGCCAGAGGTCGAGAAGAAAGTTACCCCCATGACCTACATACAAGCCAGAGGTCGAGAAGGAAGTTACCCCCATGACCTACATACAAGCCAGAGGTCGAGAAGAAAGTTACCCCCATGACCTACATACAAGCCAGAGGTCGAGAAGGAAGTTACCCCCATGACCTACATACAAGCCAGAGGTCGAGAAGAAAGTTACCCCCATGACCTACATACAAGCCAGATGTCGAGAATTTACCCTCATGTTTGGATGGATGCTGTAGAGAAACCTGGTGTAATTCCCCATCCAAACGACGGCCGCCCGCTTGTAGTTGAAGTCCTCTATCGCCTGCCGCCCGCCCGGAAACGTGTAGGGCTGCCCACGTGCTATGTGACCTATTTTAGAGCAAGGCACATGCAGAAGGCGTCCACCACACAACCACACCTGGAAGATGATAGCTCAGGTGAAGTGACAAAAAATAAAGCACGTTTCTGTTTTTAATAGCTTCACAGTGTTCATAAGTTCCATTATTTTCCAGCTTTAAATAAATCTTTTTCAGCATTATTAAGGGTTAGCCCATGATTTCACGAATTTTTTTCTAGATCATTCTTTATATCATTCTAACTATTCGTCATACAATTACATGACATACACTACCTGATACATTACCACCCACCATAAAAATGACCCACCCTCCCCTGTACATGACCCACCCCCCCCTGTAAATCTGTAAATGACCCACACTTCTCTGTACATGACCCACCACCCGCCCCCCTGTACATGACCCCCCCCCCCCCTTACATGACCTACCACCCCCCTTACATGACCCACCCTCCCCTGTACATGCCCCCCCCCGTACTCACCCTCCATGACATCTCAATGTTCTCCCCACCCCAAATGCTCATGCCCTCATCATAGCCGCCTAGTTCCATGAAGTAGTTTCTGTCCACAGCAAAAGCTGAGCCCACCATGGACGGTCCCCTAGAACCAGATGGACACATCTTGACAGCTTTACAGTACAGCTTTAAATGTTTACAAGTTTGGTTTTCAGCTTTAGAACTAGGTTTTCGTCCGCCAACAAAATACAACTTTCAAAGAACGCTATACTGAAGTAGAACTGTTAAAAATAACGCTTAACGACAAAGAACTGAAAGGGGATGTATGGGTTGGATGAATAGTGGTGAATGTTATTTGTTCTTGGTACCCTATCCCGTTCGTCCTTGTTCAGTCCACGTGCAATGAATTGTAATAGTCCGGTTGGTACCAGTTTATGAAAACGTGTGTGATTGCCTCAGTTTCGTCCAGATCAAGGCTAGTATAGGTTAGGTCTATACTACTGTATCATAGTTTTACTAGCTTGTGTATTTTGTGTTTAGAATAGACTGTGTTAGGTGTAGATAGTGTAGATACTATTAAATTCTTTTAGTTTCAACGAGTCTTTGTTTCATTCAGTCTTGTTTTGAAACCTGTTTGTGCGTGTTTGTCTGTTTGTCTGATATGTTGCGCTACGCGTCGGATCACCCGAAAGGCGTGTCCGTGTGTTCACAACAAAATGTTTTATATAACACAATAACGACGTACAAATCGATAAATAGGTAAGAATACGACAGAATCGTTGGAACAAATGAAAATCATGTAGTCCAAGGTAGATAACTGAATTTGGCAATAGACGTAATACAACAGCAGAGTGCATTCAACTTTCTTTTAACAGTTTATTTCATATGTAACCCATTAAACTAAAATGACAATTTTATAGAGTACCTCTGCTAAACTTGGCATCCATTGAACTAACGTGACAATGTTAAACAGTATCTCAGCTAAACCTAACACCCATTGAACTAACGTGACAATGTTAAACAGTAGCTCAGCTAAACCTAACACCAATTGAACTAACGTGACAATGTTAAACAGTATCTCAGCTAAACCTGACATCCATTGAACTAACTTGACAATGTTAAACAGTATCTCAGCTAAACCTAACACCCATTGAACTAACGTGACAATGTTAAACGGTATCTCAGCTAAACCTAACACCCATTGAACTAACGTGACAATGTTAAACAGTATCTCAGCTAAACCTAACACCCATTGAACTAACGTGACAATGTTAAACAGTATCTCAGCTAAACCTAACACCCATTGAACTAACGTGACAATGTTAAACAGTATCTCAGCTAAACCTGACACACTAACTTACTCTCGGGGATCGCGCGGGTCTGGGCCGATTAGATCGTCAGGAAATAATCGTTCAAAGAACACCATGTTCCACGACCAGCCATATCGAACATGAAAATCCTTGTAGTATCGATACTCAAATGTGTCGTGCTGGATGTAGTCGAGCGATGCCATGGCCACAACTGTCTTGTCTTTGGCGATTTCATGCAACAGCGGGGGGAGCCTGGTAATTTGATGAAGAGGTGGATGACATTGTAGACGATAAGGCAGATACCATAGTAGCTATAGTAACCTTACTATGACCTACCAGTTCATGTTTACCTCCGACCTATGACCTACCAGTTGATGTTGACCTCCGACCCATGACCAACCAGTTGATGTTGACCTCCGACCTATGACCTACCAGTTGATGTTGACCTCCGACCCATGACCAACCAGTTGATGTTGACCTCCGACCCATGACCAACCAGTTGATGTTGACCTCCGACCTATGACCTACCAGTTGATGTTGACCTCCGACCTATGACCTACCAGTTGATGTTGACCTCCGACCCATGACCTACCAGTTGATGTTGACCTCCGACCTATGACCTACCAGTTGATGTTGACCTCCGACCTATGACCTACCAGTTGATGTTGACCTCCGACCCATGACCAACCAGTTGATGTTGACCTCCGACCTATGACCTACCAGTTGATGTTGACCTCCGACCCATGACCTACCAGTTGATGTTGACCTCCGACCTATGACCTACCAGTTGATGTTGACCTCCGACCCATGACCAACCAGTTGATGTTGACCTCCGACCTATGACCTACCAGTTGATGTTGACCTCCATGTGACTATCCAAAAAGACTAGAACATCCCCTGTAGCTTTACGAGACCCGCGCATGCGCGCCTTAGTGAGACCGACCCGCTGGTGGAGTCTAATGACTCGCACGAGACCGTGGGGCAGATGTGTGTCTAGGTACTCGTCCAGGTAGTCGTGCAGGTTTTCTGGGGAATAACAACACCGTAGTAGCACATTACAACACCGTAGTAGCACATTACAAAACAGTAGTAGCACATTACAACACAGTAGTAGCACATTACAAAACAGTAGTAGCACATTACAACACAGTAGTAGCACATTACAACACAGTAGTAGCACATTACAACACTGTAGTAGCGCATTACAACATCGTAGTAGCACATTACAAAACAGTAGTAGCACATTACAACACAGTAGTAGCACATTACAACACTGTAGTAGCGCATTACAACACAGTAGTAGCACATTACAACACAGTAGTAGCACATTACAACACTGTAGTAGCGCATTACAACATCGTAGTAGCGCTTTACAACACCGTAGTAGCATATTACAACACCGTAGTAGCACATTACAACACCGTAGTAGCACATTACAACACCGTAGTAGCACATTACAACACCGTAGTAGCACATTACAACACCGTAGTAGAACATTAAAACACCGTAGTAGCATATTACAACACCGTAGTAGCACATTACAACACCGTAGTAGCACATTACAACACCGTAGTAGCACATTACAACACCGTAGTAGCACATTACAACACCGTAGTAGCACATTACAACACCGTAGTAGCACATTACAACACCGTAGTAGCACATTACAACACCGTAGTAGCACATTACAACACCGTAGTAGAACATTAAAACACCGTAGTAGCACATTACAACACCGTAGTAGCACATTACAACACCGTAGTAGCACATTACAACACCGTAGTAGCACATTACAACACCGTAGTAGCGCATTACAACACCGTAGTAGCACATTACAACACCGTAGTAGCGCGTTACAACACCGTAGTAGCGCATTACAACACCGTAGTAGCATATTACAACACCGTAGTAGCACATTACAACACCGTAGTAGCACATTACAACACCGTAGTAGCACATTACAACACCGTTGTAGCGCATTACAACACCGTAGTAGCACATTACAACACCGTAGTAGCACATTACAACACCGTTGTAGCGCATTACAACACCGTAGTAGCACATTACAACACCGTAGTAGCACATGTCTGATCACTCTACATGAGTTCACGTGTCTAAAAAGTTGAACTGAAGATGGCAGCTCTAACCCAGTTAAAACACTGGCAACTCAATCGAAAGCCATCCCTGGTGTAAATGATTTGCTCTAATTGTGCTCATCATTTTCTAACTGCCATCCATGGTCAACGAACAGTCAAGGGCGGTAACTTGGTATTTTCAACAAATATTTGATTTACTTCTCTTTGGAAGTGCTTGTATTTGCAGTCAAAGATGTCATAAAATTCCACCCAATAATGCGATTAAAACATTTTCTTGGCTAAGAATACAGAGTACATATCCCAGTGGGATTAACTGAATCCCGGCATCTTAGTATGAGCACACACCGAAAACCACCACCAAAACTTTAATAGGTCAATTCAATTTTAATCTTTCCAAATTGTAGTACATCGTGATAACGTAACTTGAATGTTTGTTTCGTTTCTTTGTTTCTTTGTTTCTTTGTTTCTTTGTTTCTTTGTTTCTTTGTTTCTTTGTTTCTTTGTTTCTTTGTTTCTTTGTTTCTTTGTTTCTTTGTTTCCTTGTTTCTTTGTTTCTTTGTTTCTTTGTTTCTTTGTTTCTTTGTTTCTTTGTTTCTTTGTTTCTTTGTTTCTTTGTTTCTTTGTTTCTTTGTTTCTTTGTTTCTTTGTTTCTTTGTTTCTTTGTTTCTTTGTTTCTTTGTTTCTTTGTTTCTTTGTTTCTTTGTTTCTTTGTTTCTTTGTTTCTTTGTTTCTTTGTTTCTTTGTTTCTTTGTTTCTTTGTTTCTTTGTTTCTTTGTTTCTTTGTTTCTTTGTTTCTTTGTTTCTTTGTTTCTTTGTTTCTTTGTTTCTTTGTTTCTTTGTTTCTTTGTTTCTTTGTTTCTTTGTTTCTTTGTTTCTTTGTTTCTTTGTTTCTTTGTTTCTTTGTTTCTTTGTTTCTTTGTTTCTTTGTTTCTTTGTTTCTTTGTTTCTTTGTTTCTTTGTTTCTTTGTTTCTTTGTTTCTTTGTTTCTTTGTTTCTTTGTTTCTTTGTTTCTTTGTTTCTTTGTTTCTTTGTTTCTTTGTTTCTTTGTTTCTTTGTTTCTTTGTTTCTTTGTTTCTTTGTTTCTTTGTTTCTTTGTTTCTTTGTTTCTTTGTTTCTTTGTTTCTTTGTTTCTTTGTTTCTTTGTTTCTTTGTTTCTTTGTTTCTTTGTTTCTTTGTTTCTTTGTTTCTTTGTTTCTTTGTTTCTTTGTTTCTTTGTTTCTTTGTTTCTTTGTTTCTTTGTTTCTTTGTTTCTTTGTTTCTTTGTTTCTTTGTTTCTTTGTTTCTTTGTTTCTTTGTTTCTTTGTTTCTTTGTTTCTTTGTTTCTTTGTTTCTTTGTTTCTTTGTTTCTTTGTTTCTTTGTTTCTTTGTTTCTTTGTTTCTTTGTTTCTTTGTTTCTTTGTTTCTTTGTTTCTTTGTTTCTTTGTTTCTTTGTTTCTTTGTTTCTTTGTTTCTTTGTTTCTTTGTTTCTTTGTTTCTTTGTTTCTTTGTTTCTTTGTTTCTTTGTTTCTTTGTTTCTTTGTTTCTTTGTTTCTTTGTTTCTTTGTTTCTTTGTTTCTTTGTTTCTTTGTTTCTTTGTTTCTTTGTTTCTTTGTTTCTTTGTTTCTTTGTTTCTTTGTTTCTTTGTTTCTTTGTTTCTTTGTTTCTTTGTTTCTTTGTTTCTTTGTTTCTTTGTTTCTTTGTTTCTTTGTTTCTTTGTTTCTTTGTTTCTTTGTTTCTTTGTTTCTTTGTTTCTTTGTTTCTTTGTTTCTTTGTTTCTTTGTTTCTTTGTTTCTTTGTTTCTTTGTTTCTTTGTTTCTTTGTTTCTTTGTTTCTTTGTTTCTTTGTTTCTTTGTTTCTTTGTTTCTTTGTTATTTTGTTTCTTTGTTTCTTTGTTTCTTTGTTTCTTTGTTTCTTTGTTTCTTTGTTATTTTGTTTCTTTGTTTCTTTGTTTCTTTGTTTCTTTGTTTCTTTGTTTCTTTGTTTCTTTGTTTCTTTGTTTCTTTGTTTCTTTGTTTCTTTGTTTCTTTGTTTCTTTGTTTCTTTGTTTCTTTGTTTCTTTGTTTCTTTGTTTCTTTGTTTCTTTGTTTCTTTGTTTCTTTGTTTCTTTGTTTCTTTGTTTCTTTGTTTCTTTGTTTCTTTGTTTCTTTGTTTCTTTGTTTCTTTGTTTCTTTGTTTCTTTGTTTCTTTGTTTCTTTGTTTCTTTGTTTCTTTGTTTCTTTGTTTCTTTGTTTCTTTGCTTCTTTGCTTCTTTGCTTCTTTGCTTCTTTGCTTCTTTGCTTCTTTGCTTCTTTGCTTCTTTGCTTCTTTGCTTCTTTGCTTCTTTGCTTCTTTGCTTCTTTGTTTCTTTGTTTCTTTGTTTCTTTGTTTCTTTGTTTCTTTGTTTCTTTGTTTCTTTGTTTCTTTGTTTCTTTGTTTCTTTGTTTCTTTGTTTCTTTGTTTCTTTGTTTCTTTGTTTCTTTGTTTCTTTGTTTCTTTGTTTCTTTGTTATTTTGTTTCTTTGTTTCTTTGTTTCTTTGTTTCTTTGTTTCTTTGTTTCTTTGTTTCTTTGTTTCTTTGTTTCTTTGTTTCTTTGTTTCTTTGTTTCTTTGTTTCTTTGTTTCTTTGTTTCTTTGTTTCTTTGTTTCTTTGTTTCTTTGTTTCTTTGTTTCTTTGTTTCTTTGTTTCTTTGTTTCTTTGTTTCTTTGTTTCTTTGTTTCTTTGTTTCTTTGTTTCTTTGTTTCTTTGTTTCTTTGTTTCTTTGTTTCTTTGTTTCTTTGTTTCTTTGTTTCTTTGTTTCTTTGTTTCTTTGTTTCTTTGTTTCTTTGTTTCTTTGTTTCTTTGTTTCTTTGTTTCTTTGTTTCTTTGTTTCTTTGTTTCTTTCTTTGACAATGCAGGCTGATTTAATATTTTTTTCCATTGGATGCTTAATTAATAGTTATACAATTAATTTAAATTGCCCCTATTTACCACATTATTTTACGCGTTTTATCGAGTTCATTTGGTGCGAAAATTGTTTTAGTCTTGAAACTCTATTGTATTAATTCTTACAAGCTTTTATTTAACTCACTTCCTCTGTCGTCAGTCTAGACGGAAACGCAGGAGTGAAAATTCGGACAGTTCTACTTGACCGATACGATTCACAGTTGGCACGTGGGTCAAGACATGAAGACAATGCAATCTGAAACTAAATTTGACTTAATTGGATGCCTAATTAATTTTTTATGAATTAATTAAAATTTGGACCGAATTAGTAGGCATGTCTAGCCAACCACACCACACGCGTCATCACCTTCAATAGCTTCAATGGCTGCGTTCAAAAACCATTGCGCGCCTACTGAACGTGATGTTCGGTAGGCGCGCAATGGTTTTTAGTCATGTAACTCTATTGTAAATAAAACATGTAAAGTACTGAAAAAAAAATTCATAAAAAACGTTTTAATAACAAGCTTTTATGTAATGATGCACTAAAAAGTAGAAAATAAATTATAGACTACTATTTAAATTACAATAAAGAAAAGCGTGGGTCTCTTCTCAAATATTAGTAAAGGTATCCAATCGGTACTAAAGTGACCCACGCTTTTCTTTATAGTAATTTAAATAGTAGTCTATAATTTATTTTCTACTTTTTAGTGCATCATTACATAAAAGCTTGTTATTAAAACGTTTTTTATGAATTTTTTTTAAAGTATTGAAAACAAAATGCATACAAACTTTTTAGTAAAAAGCTTTTATAAAAATGCACTAAAATGAGTATACAAATGATTTTCTATAAATTAAAAATAATATTGAACAACCTGAAAAGTGAACGACCGTCTGACCATTGAGAGACATTTTTTTTTAAATGTCAAACTACTGATGAAGATTTAATATTTTTAGAGAGGGCACAAGTCCCAGGGGAAAAAAAAAAGCCTACCTAAAGTGCTGGCATCGTCCACTAGGATGATCTCTCGAATGTTCCGCCGCGGACTTCTGTTGAGCAAGCTGTAGACGGTCCTAAGCAGGACGGAGGGCCACTCGTTGTGGAAGGGGATGATGACTGAGGCGGTGGCCAGTTGCTCTGTCGGGTACTGAAGCTGCTCGCATCTGTCAGCAGTTGGATATGACAAGCACGTTCGTGTCAGTCATACACCGTCAGTATAACGCTGTCACTCATACATTAACACGACTGACTGACGGACTGGCTGACAGACTGACTGACTCACCCGACCGACCCACTGGACCGACCCACTCGACTGATACAGTAGAAAGACTGATTCGCTAGACTGAAAAACTTGACTGACTATCTAAGCTTACTGACGAAATAGACTGACTATCTAAGCTTACTGACGAAATAGACTATCTAAACTGACTGACAAAATAGACTGACTATCTAAGCTTACTGACGAAATAGACTGACTATCTAAGCTGACTGACAAAATAGACTGACTATCTAAGCTGACTGTCGAAAAAGACTAAGTTCGACTGACAAAATAGACTGACTATCTAAGTTTACTGACAAAATAGACTGACTATCTAAGCTTACTGACGAAATAGACTAATATCTCAGCTGACTGACAAAATAGACTGACTATCTAAGCTGACTGACGAAATAGACTGACACACTAGCATGACTGTCACACTAGACTGACTGACACACTAGTATGACTGTCACACTTGACTGACTGACACACTAGCATTACTGTCACACTTGACTGTCTGACACACTAGCATGACTATAAAACTTGACTGACTGACACACTAGCTTGACTGTCACACTTGACTGACTGACACACTAGCTTGACTGTCACACTTGACTGCCTTACCCCAGACTGACTGACACACTAGCATGACTGTCACACTTGACTGACTGACACACTAGTATGACTGTCACACTTGACTGTCTGACACACTAGCATGACTGTCACACTTGACTGTCTGACACACTAGCATGACTGTAAAACTTGACTGACTGACACACTAGCATGACTGTCACACTTGACTGCCTTACCCCTAGACTGTCTGACACACTAGCATGACTGTCACACTTGACTGTCCGACACACTAGCATGACTGTAAAACTTGACTGACTGACACACTAGTATGACTGTCACACTTGACTGACTGACACACTAGCATGACTGACACACTTGACTGACTGACACACTAGCATGACTGTCACACTTGACTGACTGACACACTAGCATGACTGACACACTTGACTGACTGACACACTAGCATGACTGTCACACTTGACTGACTGACACACTAGCATGACTGTCACACTTGACTGACTGACACACTAGCATGACTATCACACTTGACTGACACACTAGCTTGACTGTCACACTTGACTGCCTTACCCAATGATCCGTGAATCTGGCACCAGGCGGTTGAGAGGTATGACGTCACTAGCTAGGGTATTGATGTTGTACTCAGCCATGGCCCGACCGACTAGCTCCACCAAGGTCAGGTTCACCTGGGTCAGGTCCACCTGGGTCACGTCCACCTGGGTCAGGTCAACCTGGGTCAAGTCCACCGCCCTCCCCATCTCGCCAGGTGCCGACACGTTATTTGACCCATAGTCGTCTACCAGAGAGTTACCTGTCCGTGACCCGGCCCTGTACTCCTGTAGAGAGATGATGCGTCGTGCGCTCAGTTCCTGTACTCTCGTAGCCTCGTCTTGTGGCTGCTGGGGTTGATGCTGATCAAATATCTCGTCATATTCTGGGCTCCTCTGTGTGGACCACTGATGGTCTGTCGATCTCAGATCTGCTAGACCACGAGTTGTAAACTGTCTGGACAGGATGTGCCGTCGCGTGATGGCACCGTGCCAGAGCACGTGCACCAGCAGGCAGACGTGAAAGGCCACGAGTGCCAGCAGGAACCACACAGCGTGCTGCAGCAGACGTTTGGTGACGGAGCGGGAAAAGTATTCGACAGTTTTCAGCCGTATCAAGGAACACGAATCACAAGAAGCAGGAGTCATGTCAGAATGACATAGGTAGCTGTTAGATATATCATGAGTGGATGGTTTCTGGCAAATTTTGAAACGATTTTCGGAAACCGGAAGCGGTACTTTACTCTTTTTACTCGTGAACCCTTCAACTTGAGTACTATCTCCGTTACATAGACAACATTTCATTGGTAAGTATAAGATCTAATAGATGAATATTACTTTCAATTTATACACACGTTTTTTATTGTTCATTTGCAGAGTTTCTTCCAAGCATCTCTTCGGGGGGGGGGCTGAGACCCCCCGAAAAAAGTCTACCGCCCCACCCCCAAACGAAATGGATTTTATATAGTAAACATATACTTTTACTAGTGTCCGCCCCCCCCCCCCCCCTGAAAAATGTTGATTGCCCCCTGAAAATTTAAAGTGCCCCCCCCCGGAGAAAAAAGTCTGGAAGAAACACTGTTCATTTGGTGTACGACTCTATGTAATCCTAATATATAATGGGCCACGTTCGCACTTCTCTCTCTCTCTCTCTCTCTCTCTCTCTCTCTCTCTGTCTGTCTGTCCGCAAAATATTTTCGCCGGACATCACGTCAGAAAATGCAGCGATATATGAAGAACTTTATACGGACTTTTGTTGAAAATAATATGTTAGATGTTTTAAATGTATAACCACAATTTTATTTAAAGAAGAAAAATAAAGGCGTATTCGAATGTAGAGAAACAGTATTATTTATGCAACCGGAAAAGCATTTAAAGATGTGAAAAAGAACGCATAAAACTGTGACGTCACTAATGTTTATGCATTAACTAATGACGTCATCTGCCGTGTTTAGAATAAAAAGAAATGAACTATTTCATTCAAATTTGATTTAGATCTACGTACACTATGAAATGTATACAATACAATTTTTCCGGCCTAAACTCATAAAATTTATTTTATTTATTTGGATTCTAGATTGTAGATCTAGACTAGATCTAAATCTACGCAATAACTAGACGTGTAGACGCTAAGATCTAGATTTAGACTCTAACTACTCTAGAATCTATTCCAAAAATAAATTTCTATATTAGGCCTAAACTATTTCAAGACTTAATTATTTTATACAAAATCTTTGTTTGGAACTGGCTAATTTGGGATAAAAAAATTAATTTGAAAGAATAGGCATATTCGCGTAAGATAAGATTTTAAAATGCGTCTTTCATTCTCCGTGTTTTATAAGGTGCCTAAATAGCAGTGTACTTAAAATGACAGTGTACTTAAAACCACGCAGGTGGTGCGGGTTCAAGACACACCAAGTCAAACTTGATTATCTATTTTTTTTTATTTTGCTCGGGCTAAACTTAAAAAAAATTCTAATAGGATTCTAGATCTAGATATTCTAGATCATCTAGATCTAAATATTATAGATCATCTAGATCTAATGAAAAACTAGACTTACACAGATGTAGACCCTACCTAGATCTAGAATCTATTCAAATAATACATTTCTATATTAAAGTATTTCAGACCTTAATTACTTTATTGAAATCTTTGTTTATCTATGCAATTTGCTAATCTCTATAATATAAAAGCAAAGTTGTCGGGTGTCCGATAGGGCACTTCCCGGTGCCGCAGGCGCTTCAAATTTGGCAGGATCTTGCCTTGGGGCGACGGAACACGGGGGCCGGTTGGCCGAAAAGTCTACGATGAGTGGGTCAAAACTGACCTCGACCGACCGGCGCCTTTATATGAGCTATAAACCGAAAAAAAAAAATGTCCATGTAGGAACCTCTTCATAACTCCTGAGGTCGTAGACCGTCCCTCGGGCGAATTAATTAAGCATTCAAAATTCTCAATGTTTTCGAAAGCCTAAGCGAAGCTGGGCAGCATGCCTAGTTATATATATTTAAAAATGTAATACACGAGAAAGATTAAGGGAGATCACGCTTTACTTTAATTTATTAAACACAATTAAGGGAATAAGGAAACAAAAAATTAAGCGGGAGTTGTCTACCCTGAACTTTCTCCAATATATTTATAATAAGACTACTGGGGGATGGCAACTAGGGATATAGACATGATTTTTAATCAATTATTAATTACTTAGACTTTTTAAAATAGAATAGAATCTGGTAGACTAGAATAGAATTACGCACGAAGTGATTGTGGGTCGGCCAAAGAGATCACGGAGAAGAAACGGTAGAGGCCACCGTAGAGGTCACCGTAGAGGTCACCGTAGAGGCCACCGTAGAGGACGAGACAAGGACAGCTGGGCTTACATGGCCACAGATAAAGGGTCAGCCCAAAACCGAATCCGCTGGAAAAGTGTTGCCCTCTGCTCCCCAGGGCTAGAGAGGAGAAAAAATGATATGATGATGATGTTGATGATGATGATGGTGATGGTGATGATGATGTTTCGGACAGAGTGACGACAGAGGAAGCAAGTCAAATAAAAGCGTTTGAAAATATGCGCTTTTTTCAAATTTTTGCATACCAAGTATAGTGCAATATTTTGGACCCTTGTAGAATTCAGACCAGTAGCCTGGCAGTAGCCCTATTAAAATGTGTCGTAATCAAAAGTTTTAATATGTACTAAATTATAAGCAATGTAAATTTGATTGCTATAAATACATAAATAAAATGCCTTAGCATTTTTAAAAGTGCGAACAAATTAAAAAACGGCTGATTTTTTTCGGATTTCCAATGACAACCGAAATAGTTATTAATACTTTATTTTGCTGTTTAGTACTTTACTTTTATGTGCCACACATGGCGAAAGTATTTAAAAAGGGATTAAGGTGTTCAAATGAAAAAAAAAAATGGAAAAAAAAAACTAAGCATATCCCCTTAAAATGCATTAAATGTAAACCCTCCTTACCGTGAATGAACTAAGAGGCATACAGATAACCCAACACGGCAGTCCACTTGACAATTGGTTGGTTGGGAAACTCAATCAATCGGTTAGTGAGTCGAGCCGACAGAATAGCAGCTAACAGCAACAGGCAACTTCCCACGGAGAGATAGACCAATGACCCAGATCTAATTCCGTTAACATTTCTTATCAGACGATGGGCTCAGAGAAAAAAAAATAAAACTCGATTCGCTTTTGCTTGAAAGACTAATAGAGACCAAGATAAATTCAGTTCAGAACCGTACAAACTATAGACTTGCACACAGCGAATTCCGTAGACGGTTTTCAGACAAGATGCTCCTATGGTTGACCACATTAAGTTCAGACCGTACAACTATAGACTGCACACAGCGAATTCCGTAGACGGTTTTCAGACAAGATGCTCCCTATTGGTTGACCACAATTAGGTTCAGAACCGTACAACTATAGACTGCACACAGCGAATTCCGTAGACGGTTTTCAGACAACATGCTCCTATAGTTGACCACATTAAGTTCAGACCATACAACTATAGACTGCTCACCAGCGAATTCCGTAGACGTTTTTCAGACAAGATGCTCCTCAGAGGGCGTAGCGAGGGAGGGGCGGGGGGTGCGGACCGCACCGGATGACACCATTTAGGGGTGTGACACCAAGGCAAAAAATAGTTAAAGATATATTAGAGAAAAATATTGAGGGGGGGGGGTGTGCAAAATCGAAAGTTCGAGGGGGGGGGGGGGGTTGCAAATCGAAAAGTTCGAGGGGGGAGTGCAAATCGAAAGTTTGAGGGGGGGTGCAAATCGAAACTTTAAAGTTTTTTCCCCCGGGAAGAGTCGCTACGCCTCTAGGGGGGTGACACCATTAAGTGCCGCACCGGGTGACACCCGACCCTCGCTACGCCACTGGGTATCTGGTTTCAGTATTTTATAGACTAATTACAAAGCTGGAAACCGAGAGTATCGGATAGGACTTGATCACGTTACGTTGGAAAACTATGGATTTACTGTTCAGTGCAACGTTGTTTTTTTAGACAATAACACGTGTTGTAGACAGTAGATGTCATGTCAAAATGCTGTGTATTTAAAGGTAAATGTCGTGATTCATGACACTTTAAGGTAGTTGTATAAGTATAACTAATTGGTATTTCAAGTTGTGTAAGAATAATGAACTTCTAATTGTGTCGGAATACTTGATGCTTTAAATATGTTAAAAATTATGGGGTATATCTAATTGTCTGTGTAAGAACAGAATTCTGTGTATATCTAATTGACTGTGTCAGAATTCTTGATTCTTCTGTGTGAGTTAAAAGTGAGGACTAGGCGTGTCGAAGCTTATTGGTTTTTTGCTTGTATCATTTCTCCAACCCTAATTCTCTCTCTGAACCTAACTATAGCTCTGAACCTAACTATAGCTCTGAACCTAATAGCTCTGAACCTAACTATAGCTCTGAACCTAACTATAGCTCTGAACCTAACTATACGCTCCTGAACCTAACTATAGCTCTGAACCTAACTATAGCTCTGAACCTAACTATAGCTCTGAACCTAACTATAGCTCTGAACCTAACTATAGCTCTGAACCTAACTATAGCTCTGAACCTAACAATAGCTCTGAACCATAACTATAGCTCTGATCCTAACTATAGCTCTGAACCTAACTATAGCTCTGAACCTAACTATAGCTCTGAACCTAACTATAGCTCTGAACCTAACTATAGCTCTGAACCTAACTATAGCTCTGAACCTAACTATAGCTCTGAACCTAACTATAGCTCTGAACCTAACTATAGCTCTGAACCTAACTATAGCTCTGAACCTAACTATAGCTCTGAACCTAACTATAGCTCTGAACCCTAGCTCTGAACCTAACTATAGCTCTGAACCTAACTATAGCTCTGAACCTAACTATAGCTCTGAACCTAACTATAGCTCTGAACCTAACTATAGCTCTGAACCTAACTATAGCTCTGAACCTAACTATAGCTCTGAACCTAACTATAGCTCTGAACCTAACTATAGCTCTGAACCTAACTATAGCTCTGAACCTAACTATAGCTCTGAACCTAACTATAGCTCTGAACCTAACTATAGCTCTGAACCTAACTATAGCTCTGAAACTAACCCAAGATTAAGCTTACCTCTAATCCAAGCCATAATCCTAGTCCGGTTCTGTGCCTAATTCAAGCCATAATCCTAGCCCGGTTCTGTGCCTAATCCAAGCAATAATCCTAGCCCGTTTCTGTGCCTAATCCAAGCCATAATCCTAGCCCGGTTCTGTGCCTAATCCAAGCCATAATCCTAGCCCGGTTCTGTGCCTAATCCAAGCCATAATCCTAGCCCGGTTCTGTGCCTAATCCAAGCCATAATCCTAGCCCGGTTCTGTGCCTAATCCAAGCCATAATCTTAGCCCGGTTCTGTGCTTAATCCACGCCATAATCCTAGCCCGTTCTGTGCCTAATCCAAGCCTGAGTCTAAATCACAACCCTTACACCATTAACCAAATCGACAGCACGAAACCCGTTCATTAGATGCTATTAATTAATTAGCCGGCTTTCTTATTAGAGCCTAATTCTTTAATCACGGCCACAGTTGATGGCATTCGTGTGTACACTTTTAAAAAAATTCTATAGTCTAAGTTCGCACTGTTTACATTTACATTGGCTTCTGTAAATAATTTGATAGCTTATCAGAAAGAGCACGCCAGTATGTTCAACAAAGACAAACAGAAATACAACTTTGAGCTCGCTTCAGTTTAGCCTAATGCGCATTTGCTTGTAAGGAGAGTTAGAAGGGGGCTTAACTCAAAAATTTCTTTATTTTCCGAGTTGTGCTTTATAAAAAATGATAATTTAATTAAAGATGAAGTTATAGTTATCATGTTTGTGTTTAATATTTAATTATTTCTGGTAATGTATGCATTGATCTTACAAGTAATAAAGCACTTTTTAGACCAGTCTGTTAATTCTATTACAGCAATCATTCAGCTTTTAGCTATAATACAGTAATCAGACAGCGGCTAGCTGTAATACAGCAAGCACTTTAGACCATTAACATATAGTATATGTGGCTTCAAAATAGCATCATTTGAAATAATCGTTTCGTCAGTATAAGGTTAAGGTGATTGTATTTGGGATGATGGGTTAGACTTTGTGACTTTATTTTAGGGAGGAGGGGGGAGGGTCTGGCTTTTTTGTGACATCTAGAGTACATAGGTTGCTGAGTAAATAGTAGAGGTGGGCTAAAATAGCATGACATCATTTATAGACTACCCATATGGCGCTTGATTTGTATACAATATAAATATATATATATATATATATATATATATATATATATATATATATATATATATATATATATATATATTATACACTCTTCTAGAGGGAGGGGGAGGGGCTTGCCAAATGGTCAAATGATCTCAGGACAAATGATCTCAGACAAAATATCTCAGACAAAATATCTCACACCTAAATTTTAATAGTGTATTGGGTGACTTTAGTTGATCTGAACAATTTTTATTAACTGTCGTATGGTTTTGTTTAATATGTTTAATATTGTTTATAGGCCCATATAATAATTGTAAGAAATGTTTGTCGTATAAATTTATCATATTGCACTTTTAAAATTGTATATTGCATTTTAAAATTAGGATTATTACTATAGAATATTAAAGAAATTGTTCGATAGACAGCGTAGGCGGGCTTGCCAAACATGAGACAATCCAACCATGTCAGGTGGACGAAACTAGATCAAAGAGGATGAAATAACAATAGAGAAACACTTCGTATCAAGGTGGCAGCCCGCTTTGATGGTAGAGACATGCCTTAAGGGAAAGACATCCGCCATCCATGAACAATACAACTAATATTAAATTCAATAGTTATGCGTCGGTCACACCTTATTTAAGAAAAACAGCGGTCATGTCGAGCGAGAGTTCACACAATACATGATCACATAGTATTGGAGAGGTGTGATCATAACGATGTACTGTCAGCAAAGAAACGTCAACGTTATGTTTGTGTTGATCATGCAATAAAAACAATAATTTTACGTTGCGAACCTGGAGACCCATTAACATTTTTGAAAGATATTTCGCATGTTTTAAACATTATTGTTGTATAGCTACCGTTACTTTATTTTATACATTATCATTTATCATACCTTTCAGGCTAAAGGAGAAAGTTTGTTTTAATTTTTATTTTTTCAAATCAAAGGCCATTACAAAGAAATAAATCTTTTGATGGTTTGTTAAGTTTAACAAATTCATTTTATTCACAATTATGATGCGTAAAGAAAGTAAACAAAACCATATTGAAAGTCAATTTAAAAAAAATTTCAAATGAACTAAAATCATTGTACATACTATCAACATTTTGCTGTGAGATATTTTGTCTGAGATATTTTGTCTGAGATCATTTGTCCATGATATCATTTGTCCTGATATATTTTGTCCTGGTATCTTTTGTCCTTGAGATCATTTGTCCTGAGATCATTTGTCCTGAGATCATTTGTCATGGAACCATATATATATATATATATATATATATATATATATATATATATATATTATACACTCTTCTAGAGGGAGGGGGAGGGGCTTGCCACGCCCACCATCGAAGCACATCTACCGCCCAAACCCTAACCCTCCCCCCGAACGAAATA